TCCCAGGAGGCTGAGGCCAGAAAGAACTCGTAAGAATAAGGAGAGGGACCCTGTATGGGCTGAATTGTGTCACCTGAAGTCCTAATGCCCAGTACCTTAGAATCTGGCCGTATTAGGATATAGGATCTTTAAACAGGTATTCTAGTTAAAATAAGGCCCTTCAGGTGGCTAATACCAATATGACTGGGGTCCTTACATGAAGAAATTTGGACACAGAGAAGCTCAGAGGGAAGACCATGTGAAGACACATGGAGAAGCCTGCGAGCCAAGGAGAGAGGCCTCAGAAGAAACTGCCAACTGCTGAGCTCAGACCTCTGGTCCCCAGGACGGTGAGAAAATAAGTCTGTTATTTCAGCCCACCAGTCTGTGGTACTTTGCATGGCAGCCCCATAGGGGTACAGAGGGGAGGGTATCCTGCCTCCCTACAGAGGTTGGTCATTCTGTGTCAATCAATGACAATGTAGTATGAGACCTAAGTGCAACACCCAGGAAGGGGGCTGCCCAGGGAAAGAGTTAACTCTGTCAGAGGGGGCTCTCCAGGTGACAGGTGACACAGCAGGGTTTGGAGATTTGAACAGAAAGGCGAGAAGATGGAGGATATTTCTCAGGAAAACAGTAAGACAGGAGATGACCAGGCAGGTTGAGAGGATGGCAAGGGATTTGGATCATCAGGCCAGCGAACGGCGACGGGGAGGCCAGGAGTGTGAGCAGCTGCAGCAGGACCCAGAGTAGCCTCTGTGCCCAGGAGCAAGGGTTTTATCCCATGGGCACTGGAGCCACTAAAGCGTTTTTTAAAAGCAGAGGAACAAATGTGTCTGGGCAGAGAATGATCCAGAGGAGCAAAGACTAGGAACAGGGGGCGTTAGTAAGTGTCTGCCAATCCAGGCGATACTGATTCGGGCAGAACCAAGGCGGTGGTCAGGAGACTAGGAACAGGGGGCGTTAGTAAGTGTCTGCCAATCCAGGCGATACTGATTCGGGCAGAACCAAGGCGGTGGTCAGGGGGTTAGAGAGAGGAGGTGGCAGGAGAACACAGCAGAGGAGGGAGGGGGCTAGCTGCTCCCGGTCAAATCAGACAGCAGAACAAGTCAGGGTAGGATGCCTCCCAGGAGTGGGGCTTTCAGGGGGTCACCACCCACTGAGCATGAGTAAGCTTAGAGGAACAGAAGAAAATGAACTTGGTTTTGAACAAACTTAAGTTTGAGGTGCCTGTCTGTGCAGTAGCCTACACCTGTTAGAAGCTCAGGGGACATCCGGGCTCCAGAATCCATCACTTTAGAGGCAAAAGCCAGGGGCACTCACATAAGGGCAAGTAAGAGTTGGGAGGGAGACGTTGTAGCTAGATAGGAGTACATTTGCAATTATGAAAAAGTACTAGAAATTGTCACAGCCAAGAGGAACCTCAGGAGACGTGGCAACTGGATGTTATGTGGGATCCTGGAACAGGGAAAGGGCAGTAGGTAAAACTAAGGAACTCTGAATAAAGAATGGGCTTTAGTTTAATGATAATATGTCCATACTGATTCATTAAAGGTGACAAATGTGCCAGCCTAATGTAAGATGTCACTAATAAGGGAAACTAGGTATGGGGGGACTCACTGTACTATCTTTGCAACTTTTCTGTACATCTAAAACTATTTGAAAATAACAGGTGTATTTTTAAATAGAGTATTAGGCTTGGTAGGAATTATATTACGTTCCTAAATCAGAGAACTATAACTGGCGTATTTTCCCTGATGAGCAAAGAACCCTTGATGTTCTGCGGCGACGGCGGGGCACTGCTGCCTTGGAAGTCTACCCGAAGTTGCATGCCTGTAAGAGCACATTCCCTGCAGTGCCTTTTTATGGAGTGAGTCACGCTGTGAATCATCTCTGCCGATATGCTGCTGCCTGAGTTTACCCCCACCTTGAGGGCATATCAAGGTGGCAGTAATAACACATTTCACATCCGACCGCATCTTTCCTCTCAACCTGTCACCCAGAAGTGCACCTCCTGTCAAAAACTGCTTCATGTTGGAAGAGAGAAACAATGCCCTTGCAAACGTGGGAATCATCTCATTTTTCCCTGGACTAGGGTTATGACTAACATTTGGAGGACACTTCATCACAGTGTGTGACATATAGTTTCCCTCACTCAGGCACTGTGACAACCCCAAATCACCCTCATACATTTTCAAATGGGCCCAACTCCCCCCTCCGCCCTCACTGATGAACTGTAAACTGAGCCATTAGGGCTGCAACCGACTGGGAGGAGACCAACGAAAAGTGTTAAAGGAGTTGAAAACAGACATGCTAAAAGTTGAACAGCTGCACATGTGATAAAATGGTAGTGCACCAAATACACCTGCACACACACACACAAGTACAGGTGAAACAGAGATATCTGAGTAAGATGGGTGGATTGGACCAAAGTCGACTGCAGGTTGTGATACCATACTGTAGTTCTTCTGCAAGATGTTGCCCAGGGCACATACAGGATTTCTCTGTATTATTTCTAACCACTGCATGTAATCTAAAATTGTCTCAATGAAATTTTCCACTTAAAAAAAGACAAGGGCAGCCATTGTTAACTCATAAATGTAATCTCCCCCTCTGACCCTTCAAACTCTTGTTTGGCACTTATTCAGCATCAGAAGGTGAGCAAAGGTTTGGTTAGAGACTCAGGGAAGCCAGAGTGCAAACCCTGACTCTGATTCTCACTGTGTGACCTTGGGTAAGGTACATAACCTCTCTGAATGCAGTTTCCATCCAACATGGGAACGACAGGACCAATTTACAAGCATGGTGAAGATGATTAGATAAACGAATATATATACAAAGTGCCTAGCACAAGGCAGTGATCAATCAGCAGCAAGGACCCCACTTCTCCTGCCCTTTGGTACCACTGCTCAAAGAACTTTGTTCTAAGTTCTCAGTGACCACTTTCCCCATTCAGCACCCTCAACTCTTTTGGACCCACCCAGTTTCTTCCATTGCACCTACTTGGAAAACCTGGGGCCACACATCCAGCCTGCACATGGATACCCTGCTTCCTTACACGAGGGGACTGCACACCAGCAGACCTGGGGCCGCTCGTGTGGCCGAGGGTCAGGTTCCACACTCCTTTCGGAGCAGCCAGCTGCTCACTTCCTGCTCCCACCCCCACCCCCTCCCCAGGATGGCCAGCTGCAGGACATAAACTAGCCAGCATCTAGAAGTCTGTGAACCAGGCCTTTCGGTACCAAAATAACCTAGAGGGCAAGGGCTGTTCTGACCTCTGGTCTGCATGGATTGCCCTGCCAGCTCTTATCTTGCTCTCCCATCCACACAGTTCCAAAGGTTGGGACTATTAAATTAACATCAACCCTGACTTAGGATGTCCTGGGTCAAGCAATGCAGGAGCCAACCGGGACAGCCAGCCTGCCAGAGCTCGGGGAGGGCGGCACGGGCGGAGCTCGGATCCCCAGGGAGTATGCCGTCTGGCTCATCCCTTTTCCGAATATCCAGAGAGGGCTGTGGGTGGGAACACAATGTGCTGCGCCCTTAGCACCAGAGAAAACTGAGGAAGAAATTGTGTCTGACCCTGCAAACCCACAGGCCCAGCCTTCTACCTGTATTATTTTTATCATCATTCCTCCTCCAGAACTGGACCTCACCCCTGTCAAAATTCGAAAGCCCCAAACTCAACACATGCGTCCAAACCTTGCTTTGCTCATGTGGGATCCTGTCCAAGGTCCCCAAGGGGAGCCTCCGGTCTCAATCTGTCTCCAGGACCCAAGCCAGCCTGGAATCCTGCTGCACAGCCCCACATGGGGGAGCCTCCATGCACGTGGACCCCATGCTTCCGTCCAGTCCTCCACCACTTGCTCTTGGTTCTGGAGGCCTGACCCCAAGTGTCCACCCTACACATGACCCTCCCCTTCACCCTTCTACCTCCTATGAGTGGGTTGAACTGTACAGAACTCTCCAAAGCCCCTTTATCTGGCTCCCTTCATGTAGGGATCAGAGCCTCCACATCCCCCAACCCCTCCTTGGCCACCAAGAGAGCCGTTCAGTCTCTCTGCCATCCGTGCAGGCCCCCAGACTGGGGGCTACAAGGGCCAGAAAGGGACTTCACGCAGGACAAAGCCTCGGCCTCACCTCCACTGTGTCCCCTCCCGCTTCAAGTCCGCCTCCCTCACTGACACCAAGCATCTCCATCCCTTCTATGCCTGATCTCAGTGAAGACAATTAGCAAGAAGCCTGCCTGGCTCACAAGAGACCCCCTCTTCTGGAACAACCCATTGCCAGGGCTGGGCTCTGCCACTGCTGACCACAAGGTAGTGACCCACTGGCCCAGGAACTGCCCTGAGTGAAACCAGGTCACCGAGACTGGGAGCGCTGAGGGCTGAGCCACCACTGAGGGGGAGTGGCTGCCCCAGAGGGTGCACCACTGAGTGCCTGGGCAAAAAGCCCCAGAGCTTCTCTGATTTCCACTCGCCCCAGGTGTGACAGCTCAGATTCTTCTTTAACTCAGTTCTCCAAGCCACTCCAAGTTTCTTCCAATGCATTCCTATTTCTCCTTAAAGTAGCTAAATCTGATTTCATTGCTTGCATTCAATAGAAACAACCCACAACCCAGAGCGCGAACGAACAGGCTCAGACTCAAACGCTGAATCGGTGACCAAGGGCGGTCTTTGCCCACTGCGTCCTCTGCCCTGTGTCTCAGGAAGCTCTCTGGGGGCCCTGGAGCTAGGGCTGCTCAGGCCATTAGAAACACTGCTCCCACCACGTGTTCCCAGAGAAACAGTTTCCCCAGTAACTTGGAGAAAGCCCTGGGTACCCCAGACCCCAGCGGGTGAGCATTTTGGGCACCTTCTCGCCTTTCTGGGTCCATGCTGAGCCAGCCTGTGGAAGACTGGCCCCCCTTCTAGAGGTTACTCTCCCCCAACCCCCCGACTCCGGACCACAAAGGTTGTGGTTCCCGTGTTAGTGACATCACTCAGCCTCCCCAGCAAGACAGCCTGACTCATGACAGGACATGAGGAGAAGAGACAAACTTTATTTCTGTGACAAAGACTCAGACCTTGGTATTTCTCATGACTAACAGGCTAACGAAGCAGAACCACCATGCCTGGAACTCGCCCACGTCCCTGCGTCCTGGGCCGACCTCCTCATTCATGGACAGCTGCCCCCTGTTCCTTCTTCCCTTCCTCATGTTCTCCTCCGTCTTTCAGATTTTGGCGAGCAAACTCCTCAAAAACCAAGTTTTCATCCTGCAAACTAAAATAAAACAAAGAACATTTGGATCATGGCACACTCTTTGAAGCTTGTAACAAAATCTCAAGCCTTGATTTTCCTTTTGTAACAAAAGGGTTGGTCAAGGATTTTGTTATAATGGAACAAAAGGCCACTTTTCAGGTAAGATCTCTTTAACACAAAAAAAAAAGAGAAAATGAAGGACCCCATGGAGCAGACATACATACCCAGCATCACCGTGCACGCACACGCATGTGTGTGTGTTTTTGTGTGTGCATGCACATGCCTTAGTACTGGGGGCAAAAGGAAAACCAGGGCCTGGCAGTGTTGAGAGCAAGGGGTGTGCACAGAAAGACCCCAAAAGTGGTTTGTGCAGGAGGAGGAAGTAACAGAACACGGCAATTCAGAGCAGTCTCACCTTTCCTTCGCTGCAGCTGTGAGCATGGTGTGAAGGAGAGAGAGATTTGTCAGCATAAATTCCGTCTAAAAGCTGGATGATTTCTCCCTTATTTAGGCGACTTTACAGTTGGAGGGATGAAAAGCCTAGCTATTTCATTTCATTATAATTGCACGTAATTCCTGCTTCTCTGTCTTTTCCCACGAGGAAAGCCTTTCTCCCTGCATTTTTAACTATCACTTTTTTAAAGTGCCACATCCTCACCTCCTCAAACTCAACAATCCACAGCCTTACCTCTAGGACCCTTTTCCCTGATTAGCCTCACCCTCTGATGTCACCCTTCTCTTTTCAAAGCATTTCTCCCCACGTGTCCTCTGGATCCTGTCTAGGTCAGAGTCCCAGGGAGCTGCCAGGACCACACTCCGGGTCCACCTGACACCTTCGGGCCACCTGTCTATGAGAGAGAATCACTCCCTGACCTCTTAAGAGTTCAATTTCCCTGTTAATACATTGGCCTCTTTTTGTTGGGTTATATTTTCATATGTTTTGCAGCCCCAGGTTAATCGCTATTAAATTGACTGGACTTTTTGTTCTTGTTTTTCTTTTTTCAATTTCTGCCCACCTAGTAAAGCACTGGTGTGACCCTCTAGCAGTGAGCCACCGCTCTTGTCTCACAAGCCCACCTCGAAGCCAGCAATGGGCGGCAAATGTCAGAGGGAGCCGTTAGCCACAGGGGACCTAGGAGAGGCTGACTCATCAGAACATCTGTGGGCGAGAAACATCCCGGACCCCACAGTGCCAACACATTATCCTACCTGGGACCATCAGCCTCGAAGAGAATCAAATCAATATCCTACATTCCGTATGGATGCTCTTGACAAGGGATAGTAAAAACCTGGTAGCATGTCTGCCGTGCTCATCAGGTACAAACCACCTGGGCCCCAGCCCTTGCAGGGCTTCCTGAACACACCGTATCCTTTGTCTGCTCAGAGTCTACCTGTCTAGACTCAGGAGCCGGGGAACTAGGGCAGATGGGAACACACATCTGTGAATGAAATGTGGTGACTCGTAAATCTCTGGAAAGCAGAATTTTGAGGCCATGGGGTAGTGTGTCCTCTCCCCCTGAAATCTCACGGTACAAAAGATCATTGTTTAGTCTTGACATTGTGGTATGTGCAATGTAAGGGCCATAATGACTGGAACACGAAAATGCCAGACCCAGGGAAGGAGTGACCCCACTGCCCCCAAGTTAAGCCATGCAGTCTGTCCCCAGTTCCAAACAACCACCTGACATGAACCATGAGGTCGCCTCAGCTCAGAGTTGCGCACTCGCCTTTTACAGTGTCCTTGAGAGGGGCAAGATGCACCTCAATCTCATGTAGCTAAAACCTAGTACTTTAATGATACAAGCACAAATGCATTAAAAAATATAGCAAGACTGTATTTTTTTCCCCAAGGTAAGGTTTTGGCAAAGTACATTTAGTATTTGAATCCAAAATATTTGGAAGAGATACTTTGAGACAAAATATCTCTGAGACAAACCCAAAATGAATACGAGGCCTCTTCTAATGTTTAAATGACACTAAGAAAAATAAACCCTGCTTGTTTATACCACTTTGACTTAAAATATCCTTTATTGCCTTTATATAACTGGAGAATGCTCATTCAGACAGATCTGTTTTTCTTTTCTTTCCTGACAAAGTAAACCACCTTGACACATGGTGGAATTTTTTTTCTCAGAATTTCTGAGATTGCACCCATATTATTTTTGCTGCTTCATTTTTCTTTTGTAAAAGAGCTGTAAGGAGATCAAATTCATATACCATACAATTCACCTACTGACACGCACAGTCAGCGTTTTTAGTATATTCACAGAGTAATATACTAAAAAAAGCACAGCCATTGCTTCACTTATTTTTAACATCCCTCCCAGAGCCAATAGATCTACAAGGCAAAGCAGCCAAGGGGTCAGGAACACAGCCTGACTCTCTTTCCTAGTATTTTCTGTGTTCTCATCACAATCCCGATGTCAAAAGACTCACCATCTTCTGAATGCCTGTTCATATTTCCAAATGACATGCAAACACCTCAGGCTCTCAAATTTATTTTTCACCTAAATTTTCTTTAAAGCTAAATCCAAGTCTGTTCATAAAAGAGCTTCCTCTTTTACATTGTTCCTGATGAGACCTAAGGGTCTACGAGCAGGTGTGCCCTGTCCTGAACACATGGACCATGGACAAGCCTCCTGGCTCACCACTGAATAGGTGAGCACTCCTTTCCAGCCTGGCCCATGCACTTGACCCTGACGTGGAATCTCACGCATCTGGCCACACCCATGCTCAGAGATGTGGTCGAGAAAGACTAGCAATGGACAAATAATAAATCTGCAATAGTAAATGACTAGAGAAAGCCAAGACAGAGTATGACTGACCTGGGTTATCAGGCTGGGGGTGCATGAGGCGGAAAGGCACCTCTGCGGCCACTTCACTAGAAAAAAGAATGTAGAGCATGAGAACACAAACACAATTACAAACTGCACCGTGAAGGACTGTGGCTGCAGAGATTCACAAAAGATCCCAGGCCCAAGCTGAAAGAAGAGCCCATGAGATTCAAAACAAAACAAACCAGAAATCAGGAAGTGGTCAAGTAGGAATTTAAAATGTATTCCCTGGAATGTGGTCCAGAAACTTCTCTTACGCAGGGCCACGGGGGCTAGCATTTTTAGGTTTCCTTCATCCTGATTATTAGTTTGACATGATATTGTAGGTAGAGGAGAGGTGAAATCCTGGAGAAAGGATAGTTTTGAAAAATACCCTTTGCAAAAATGGACAGTATTTTTTACATGTTGAATCTACATAAGGTTGGTGTGTTGGGGGACAGGCGGACAGTCTCTTGCTAGAGAGCAGAACAGAGCTGAGCAGAGTCGCCGAATTCCAGGCACTAAAGGGCTTTGGGTAACTTGGAATATACACAAAAAAGGAGGAAGGAAAGGAGTCAGGACGGAGAGCAGAAGGGACGTCTGGGCAGAGGAAGAAGGGAACGGTCCTTGCTTCACCCGGGACCCACCATCTCCTCCCCTGAGGTCACTGCCTTCATCACAGCTCATCTGTTCACAGGTTCACGCCCACCAGACCAGTGCAGGGTCTGGGAGGGAAGGTGCACCCTGGGTTCTGCGCGAGGGAAGGAGGTAAGAGTCGGGGTGAAGGGGCATGCGAGGTCAATGCCTGCCTCAAACATTTCTTTCCTCTGCCTCTGTCATTTAAACGGTAGCTGCACCAAGAGGTGGAAACAGCCCAGACGTGTACCGGCTGATAAATGGGCAAAGTGTGGTCTGTCCATACAATGCACTGTTATGCAGGGGGAGCTGACACATGCCACAACATGGATAAACCTTGAAAACATTATGCTAAGTGAAAGAAGCCAGTCACAAAAGAACAAATGTTGTCTGATTCCACTTATATGAGATAACCAGGATGGGCAAATCCGTGGAGACAGAAGGCAGATTAGTGGTTGCCAGGGACTAGGGAAGGGGATAAAAGGTAAAGACTGCTTAATAGGTGTGGGGTTCCCTTTTGGGATGGGAAAAATGTGCAGGAGCTAGGCAGTGGGGACTGCACAACATTGTAAGTGTACTCGAGGCCACTGAAGTGTACACTTTAAAGTAGCTAAAATGGCAAACTTCCTGTTACACACACACAGGCAGCTGCATGGAGCGTGCCAGTTTTCTGAGTGGGCGTGTGTATGAGTGCTCTTGCCCAGGTGTAGACCCCGCTATGGTCTCACGGAGCCATCCCGGCCGCACACCATCAAAGTTTCTGTGCTGCATTCAAACAGCGGTTTTTCATGAGGCCTCTGAGCATAACTACCAGGAAATCAGATTCTACTGTTACTGTTTCGAACCTCAGATTTGTGCCCTTTCATATCCTGCGAATCAAGTAGAGAAGGAAGGGGGCGAGGCTTACCTGGAGGTGAGCTCTCCCAGAAAGCTAGGAAACACAAAAGCAAACCGGGCTGTGGTCACTGTCCGCAGTGGCTACACGGCCTCATCTCTATTCCTCAGGCAGCGCACATCCCAGGCACATCCCTCACGCACACCTTTTAGGATCTGCACAACCCTTCATGTTTAACTCAGCTGTTCCTCTTTACTTGTAATTTCAGCTTTTCCCCGAGTGGGTTAGCTGAAAAGAGGAATCACTTAGATTTATGAACAAATGCTCAGGAATAAACTACAGACCAGAATTTCTCTCTTGGCTGCAAAGGTCATTGTGAAATACCTGCTATTCTTTATCTTGACTGCTAAAAGAGACTATCCTATTTTAGATCTTCTCAGAGAAAATGAAGGAAAAACTGGACACTTTCAAAACCATGAGGAATATTTGCAAATAACCAAAATTCGCAAAATCAACCCATATTCTACTTTGTTGCCCCAAGCAAAATTTGGAGAATGCTTCAGATACTCAGACTTACAGGATATACAAAGAGAATCACCCTGACGGCCCATCTACCCAACGCTCACCAAGGGAAAAGGCCAAGGGCCCTCCGCAATGGAATTTGAAAAGGAAATGAGAATTCAAGTTTTCCCCTTTTGATGAGATTTTAAATGGGGGAAATTCATTCCATTAAAAAATGGAAGACCATGGTGATGGGGGGAGTCTAGTAAACATAATGTTCCTCATGTAATTGTAGATTAATGATACCAAAATTAAAAAATAAACAAACATAAATTTTAAAAATGAAAGACCATTTCCCAGAACCCTAAGATATCCATGCTCTTGCATGAAAAGGAGACCCCGTGAATCCTGTGGTTACCCCTTGGGAAGGGAAGGAAAGGTCTCTGCATTAAAGATGGACTCCTCCTAAGGTGCAATCAAATGAAAAGTTCATTTGGTAGCCTCTGTCCTTTTCTCAAGTACCATATAACACTAAGCTGATACTCCTTTTTTACACACCAACTTCTACCATGTGAGCACACGCACACCCATTTTTGCCAAGTGGATAATAGAGCACATATTCTGTAGTCTGCTTGTCTACCTTTTACCACGTGATATTATATCAGACAGAATCATGAAACTAGACAGAGTATCTCCAAAGCTCTACATGGTTAATTGGTAGAATTTGTGGACCTCTCTTTCTGTCTTCCAACCATTCATGGAAGCACTGTGTACTGCCAGACGCCAAGACAGAACCCTGGAACTTGGACACTTACCCTGACACCGTGAGCTTCACCTTGATCTGGTAGGACACCAGGATCCCCAGGACAGACCGGTCTATGCCCTCCTTTATGCTGCTCAAACAGAAAGGAAAAGCAGAAGAATGCAGGGGAGCAGGGGAGAGCAAAGACTGAATGAGCTCTCATCTCCTGGCAGGCACGCCACCATGGGGCGCCTTCTCCAGGAGCTGGGGAACTCGACAAGCTGTCAAAGTCCTAGAACTTTCTCTACTCAGGCAGGGAGGGTTCCTTTCCTGCATTGCAGCTTGGCGTTTCCCCCCCGGAAGCTCAGACTGCAGAGCGCTTCCTGGTTCTCCCTGCTCTGCCTCATCGGTATTCGTCCACCTGCTCATCAGCCAGAAGCCCTGTCCTCCTCGGCCCCTCCTGCCATCCCTGGTCGGCCACTGAGTCCTCCCAAGGCTTTTCCTGCCTGGATTGCCTCCATAGCTTACTCCCATGTGTCAGACTCCTTCTCTGAGCTCTCTGCCATTTTGCAGCCAGAGGGATCTTCCAGGGTCAAGCGTTAGCCTGGCCCGGCAGGCAGTTCACAAGCTGGCCTCCTCCTGCTTTAGCCACCTCATACCCTGCTGTGCCCCAGCGTCCCCCATGCGCCAGACTTGCCAAACACAACCTGCCCCAGCATGTCCTCTTCATCTTCCTCTGCCCCGCAAGACCTCAAGTTGAAGTTGATCCTCCTTCGTGAGACCTTCCTGGACACCTGCCAGGCGGCGTGGGTCTCCCTCCCTTACGCTCTGCGTCCCCAGGAACCAGCATCAAGTGAATGAATGAAGCCAACAGATGTGCCCCAAAGACAGTCAGGCTAACTTTCCAGATTCCACTAACCTGTACTGAGTTCCTACTGTCTGACTGGCACCATGCTGGGCATTTTAACACAGGATCTCATGTGGTCCAACATGGGGATGGAAGCATGCCAGCAGGTCCAGTCACAGGAATTAAGGTATAAAGACCATGAAATGCTGGCTAAAACAATGTGGACAATGACAGACGACCTGGAAAGAAACTGAAGGCCTGAGGACAAGGGCAGGGCAGGGTGTACTGAGAGGTCTGAGAAGGGTCTGAGAGGGTGCAAGGCAGGTTGTGGCCTGGAGGAATACCCCTGCCCAGAGAGCCCTCTCACAGGAGGCACCTGCCTTCCAGGACCCCAGGGCCGCCCCCGACCAAGGATTCCAGTGGCTCATCTGTGCCTGCGGCTCCTTGAAGAAGGTAAATGCCTTTACCTGGAATCACGGAATGTGGCCAAGCGCTTGGTGGAGTGAGGTTGGCTCCAAAGGAGGAAAAGAGGATGCAAGCCTGAGACCCCACCCCCTTCCAGGACTGACTCCCACCCTGTACTGAACGGGCTGAACAGCTGGGGAAGAGGATGTGCTTTGTCACATGCCTGAAATACCCACAAGCTCTCCCTGCTGCCATTGCTGTGAATGGGACACCCCTGCCCCCCACCCCTCAACACACAGAGACTGGTTAATTCAGGTTCTGCTCTGGGTGTCACTTTCTGGGGCCTGGGAAGGTAGCCCCGAAGCTGAGAGTTGAGGGACTCGGGGTTAGAATAGACTTACTCTGCCATTAACTGACCAGATGACCTTGGGCAAGCCTCTCAGTCTGGCTGAGTCTCAATTTCCTTTTCCAAAACATGAGTGTAAATTCACCTTCCTCACAGAAGCTTGGGCTTGCATGTTTATAAAATCGCCCATAAACCACTAGACATTTTTACAAATGCAGCGTGCTATCGTGGAGGCCATGATTACTACACCCTTGAATAGGTGGATGCAGAGAATCAGCCCCATCACAAATGTGATTTAGAATCAAGCATGCCACCTGGGAAAGTTATCCTCAGCAAATCCTCTGGCGCCCACAGTTATGCTTGCTACAATGCTTGCCAGCACAGCACTGTCTCGGACAACATGTGCTGCTGAGGTACAGGGTCGTGAAGGTCAAGCATGAGAACCTCTTCCTGGTGGCATCACCCTAAGGGTGGTCTGCTGGGGCCACGGAGGGAGCCCAGCACATCCCATGGGGGTGGCAGTGACTGGGCCTTGAGCCTGGGTCGCTGCTCCTACCCCAAATACTCGGGGCTCACAACAAGACATGCTCCAGGAATTGGAAGCCTCAAAGGATGGCTAGAAGTGGCAGTGGGTATCTGACTTTGAAGCTCCACTCGAGTTACTGCCAGATTTGCTGGCTAAATTCGGCCACTGATCTTTGAAGTCAAGGTCAGATCTTTAAGCAACATGTGTAGCCATGTAGGCCTCTTGATCTTTACCTTTCCTGATCAGAATGAGTAAACGGCATTTCCATCACTCATGCAGCCAGCTGCATTGCTCAGTGTGTGTGCTTCAGCACACTAGCTAATGATATTCTGAAAGGTAACAGCTGACATTTCTGGAGCACTGGCTGGGTGCCAGGTACCACATTCACATGGACTGTCTCACACAAGCCTTAAAACCTCTCTATGGGAAGGAGCTGTTAGTAGCACCCCCACTTCACAGACAGGAAGACTGAGGTTCTCGGACAGCTCAAGTAATTTGCCCAGGGTGACCTGAAGGGTAGGCCCTGCTGCTGGGTTTGGTGCACAGCTGTGTCCAGAGCTTTGCTGCAACCGCTCATCACACTGAGGCTGCACTCGGCACCTTGGACAACAGCCCTCTTGCTGCGTGGGCACACCCCTGGGCCGGGCAAGATGGGCAGGGGGAGCACCCCAGCACTGAGCTCTGTGGACTCACATGGTACTGGACGCCAGATTCGTGTCCTCGTGCTTGATTTTCCCATCTAGGGCGATGCCCCTTCTTTCACGGTTGTTAGCCAGCAAGGGCACCAGCATCAGTGTTGTGGTCAAAGTGCTGTTTGGTGGCACTTTTTCTCTGCAGAAAGGAAAACAGAGAGGACATTAGCTAATTGCGCACCCTTGATCCCATGAGATCCAACCTGCTATCAAGCATCTTCCAGGATCCAAGTTGCCTGCAACTTCCTGGAAAGAGAGTTAGGGCGCCTGTGGAACAGTGTCAGCGACATCTCAGAGCAGGCAGGTGGCAACATCAGACGCTTCAAGTCCCTCAGCCTGCTCTGAATTGCTCAATTTCTGGAATGTTCTGTGGGGTTAAATGAGACTGACTCAAGGGTTGCGGGTCATTCCAAGTTTCCCCCAAGACTTCGTGGACTGTGGGATGCAAGGTCATCTGGCCAGTGCCAGTAATAAGCCCAGGCTAGAAGTTGCCTGTCGCCAAAAACCTGTCACTAAAATGGGGATCAGCATGTGCCCAAGGTGGTGGGTTGTTGAGAAGGGCAGGGTGGGGTCCCCCATTTGTGAACTGTACAGTCAGGACTGGTCTGTGTTCAAGCAGCACATGCTCTTCCCCAGATCTCCATCATCAGCCAGGAGGCAGGTTTCCCAGCATCTGACAGATGCAGGGAACATGTGCCAAAGGGTGGCTCTGTGGGTCTGGGATGGAGCTGGGGACACGGCAGCATGGGTTTGTCCAGGTCTGGCAGCATCCCCAGCTCTCTGAGGCTCGAGAGGTGGCGCTGCCACTCACCCACATACACTGCACCCCAGGCCTCTGCCGAGAGCCATCTGCATATCTGACCACAGAGCCCAGGCGAGCCAGCAGTCTGTGTCAGTGCCCCTAGGATGCCTGCCATCCTTGTACCTGCCCAGTAGGCAGGCCCAGGGCCCTGGGAGCGCTGGGGTTCAGGGACAAGGGCTTATGCTCTGCAGCTTCCTGAGTGGTTTCTGGTCTGAGACCCGCTATGCACGATACAACAGCCCAGCTTTCAGTTTCTCTGCCTCCCACCCCTAGGGGGACCCTAGAATGGCTCCAACTTTCCTGGGAATCATTTGGCCCAAAATGCACTGAATTGCTGGGAAGAGATAATGGGATATATCAGGAAAAAAGTCGGCCAGGGACCATTTTCTCTGATTCTTATTGGGCATATGCCGCCAGGTGAGCCAGGAAGATCCCCAGGATGTGCAAGGATGCCCCCAGAAGAGTAGAACAGACCCCAGCCTGACCCCAAAGAGGCACCTGATGAGCTACGGTTCTTTCCTGCCTCCCTCCCCTCCAGACCTGTATTTAAACTTATGTCTGGGTCTGCTTTGAGTGATAGTTTAGCCTGAAGTTGTCCTTTAAGTATTCTGTAATGTCGTCTTGCTGAGTCAATTTGTTCTTCCTCATGCCCCTCCTTCCTCTAACCGTGGTAATATTTGTTGTGCATGGTAGTGCTTAGAAAAAGGCAGTGAGACAAAGAGGAAAGGAGCCTCCCAAGCGGTCCTCAGGGAGGTGCAACCCCCCAAGCCTGTGCCTGAAGGGATCTGGCTGCCAAGCCCACAGCACCCGGGGCAGGTCTCCCTCCGCCATGGAGAAGCCACTGCAGGATTCTCATTTGGTTCGGGTTCTAAGAAAGGCAGAAGAGTCATTCACGACAAGCTGAGAATTGACGCATCATTCTATTCCAGTTGTTATTGGCACGAGGTATTCAAACTGAGGAGAAAATCAAGATAGCCCACGTGGGCAGGCGGATCATTTGACTCTCTGCTCCAGGAACAGAACTAGGTATCAGCTTCCCACCAGCTTATTCCAAGGGGCAACAGAAGAGCCACCTGTCCCACTGTGACACTTCAATCTTCAAATGCCTCCTCTCCTTCAGCCTGACTGATCTCTCAGACTGGGCAATGAGAACGGAATTGAGATGCTGGCTTCCTCTGCAGCCTTCAAAGCGAGGAAAGGGGAAGGACACGGGAAGCTGGTGAGCTAGCCCAGCGTTCTACTTCCCGCCTCAGGGTGAGCAAAAGGGGAACTTGACAAAGAAGCCGGGGCCGCCCAGGAAGCAGAAACCCAACAGCTACTCACTGTGTTTCCACCGCGGCCACTGACTTGGTGTAATAGTCACTGGAGTAAAGAACCACGTTGGCCACTTGTTCCACTGCAAAAGGGGACAGGGGAGGGGTGACTCAATGCAGGCCCCGCCGCACAGATGTGACAAAGAGGAAAGGACCTTCCTGTCTTATGGGGACCTGGTTGGTCTTCCCTCGCTAATGGCCATGTCAGTGTATTTCTCAGGCCCACTTTAAGGCTGAGATTTCTGGGTTCTGCTCTCAGACCACCTCTGCTTACTTGGACCCAGCTCTGTGGCAACTCCCACCAATGAGCCAGTGTCCTAAAACCACACCTCTGGGGGGACCCCTCCTTTCTTCCGAGTCCATGGAGTATCCCTGGGTGCCTTTCCGAGACACATAAATCTTCCAGTGTCCCAGAACTCTCCATTTGCTCTCTCTTAACCCTCCCCCTTCTTTTTTAATGCACATCTCCTTCCAGTCACCCAAGCTAAAAACAAGCTGGAGGCAGACAGGGTTGGTTTGTGGCTATAGAACGGTGCACAGGAAGGTGGGCTCTAGACCAAGCTACATGGGCTCAAATCCCAGCTTTGCCATCAGCTATGGAATGAGTTACTTAGCTCCTCTAGTCTCAATTTCCTCATCAGCAAAATGGGGATGATAACTGCATTTAACTGATAAAAATTTATGATGATAAAAAAGTGATTCTTTATCTCCATGAAAATAAAATTTGAGGGTTAAAAGAAGTAATTTGTGTGAAGCACCCGGTATAGAGCCTGGCCTGTAGAAAACTATTAACATCTTGTTTCAGAAAATTCAGCAACTTTTTTCAAAAATTAGTGGCTCTGACATAAGAAGAAAAGAAATCTTCTGATTTCCAACAACATGGATGGATCTACAGAGTATTATGCTCACTGAAGTAAACCAAGGGGAGAAAGACAAATACCAAATGACTTCACTCATCTGTGGAATATAAAAACAAAGCAAAAGTGAAGGAACAAAAATAGCGGTAGACTCACAGACACTGAAAAGGGACTAGTGGTTACCAAAGGGGAGGGGCTTGGGAGGGTGGGTGAGGAGGGAGAAGGGGATTAAAGGGCACTACAATTCTCAGTCATAATATAGGTAGGTCACAGGGACAGTAGCACAGCACAGAGAATACAAGTAATGACTCTAACATCTTACTACGTTGACAGACGGTGACCACAATGGAGGGGGTGAGGACTTGATAATATGAGTGAATGTTGAACCACTGCATTATGTATCTGAAACCATTGTAAGATTGTATACCAGTGATATCTAAAAAAAAATTAGTGGCTTTGATTTGAGGATTCTAAAACTTTGAGCAATAATTTTAAATCAAAGCATCAGATGATACTTTCTAAGTCTTGCTACTTTGTAGGACACTTGTTGGACACTACGCACAACATGCTAAGTAAGGCCAGGTCCTACAAACACTTAAAGGTACATGAACTAAACAAACATAAAACAAAGCCACACATACAGCATTCATATTAGCATCAAGAAATTCTATAATGCTTCAGTATGCATGCATCAGAATCCCTGAACCTTATCTATGATGGACACACCGGGGAACAGAAAAGTGACAAATGACGCTCAGGGTGACCGACAGTCCTGATCTGCCTGGGACTGGCCTTGTTTGAGTGCCGAAAGGCCCCAGTCCTCAGTCCCGGCCAACCCAGGAGAGGTGGCCACCCTACAAACTCTAAGTCTAACTTTGTCTTAGTCATCGAGTGAATTAGAATGTAGAGGTCACGCCCCAAGTCACTGTATCATGTCTTTTTCATGCTGCCCATCTAAGATGGTGATAAAAGACCACACTGTATTTGATGCCCTCTAAGCTGAATTAATGTGCGTGGCAGCAGTCAGAGGTCATTTCCTGCAGTACCTGGTGTGCTTGGCCGGGACGTCATGGCGAGGTGACAGCAGGGCTTTCCCACTTAGCCAGCACTCCCACTGTGACCAGTCCTTACAGTCTCACAGACCCCGGGGAGGCAGACCAGGCACAAGCGCCATGGGTCCCGGCCAGGGTGCAGAGAGGCCGCGTGCTGCATGGGCTCCCACGCTAAGCCCTGTGCAGGGCTATGCTGAGAGAAAGAAAACATCTCTCACGGCTTCCCCCCAGGGTTTTGACACAGGGACCCCACAGGGACACCTGGAGATATGGGAAGACTGCCTACCAGGGATGTTGTCCCAGGACAAAAGACAGCCCTAAGCTGGGCACAAAGTTGCATGAGATGACACTGAAGCGCTCTCCTCCCCCTGAGTTCCTGTCACCCAAGCAACAGACAAACAGGCGCTTCCAAGGCCCAGAGGAGAGACCCTGGGGAAATACGATCAGATTGAGAGACTATGGAAGACTCTGCTCTCCAGTTCTGAGAAGGTCCTACCTAATGCCTTGATCCTCTTCACTGTCTTCTCTGTGTTATTAGCCACACTCACAGTCACAGGGATGGGTTCCCCATGGAAATAGATCTGCAAAAGATCAGTCAGAAAAGGGGAACAAACGGTTGGTATCTTTAATCTCATGGCTCTAAATTCACCTCAGTCTTTCAACAGAAGCGGCTGAATCCTCACACTTCCAAGGAAGATAGTGAAAGCAACATGTTTCCTTTAGCAGGAGTCCTGAAGGCGTGGAGTGCAGCAAGCATGCTCCCACTGGAACGAGTGCGCCTCAGGCACCCAGGGTGGACTCAGGTGATCTGGGGCAGCAGGAGAGGTGTGAAGGTGTCAGCGGGGAAGCCAAGAGCAGGGCTCTCAGCAGCAGTGATTCCAATGTGATCTAGGTGCAGATGGGCACACCTGGGCACACACTTGGGCATGCACACGACTGTTGAGCTCTTGCCAACATGTGTGCACAGCCCTGGGTAACCAAGGAACAGAGAGCCTCGGCCAATGGCCCTTCACCTCTTTCTGCTGTGACACACCTGATAGATGACATGGTCATCTCCTCACCATTACTGTGAAACTGAAATTTTCCAGGTAAGTAAACAATTTGTAATACCACCCCCATTGCTGCCACACTATAAACAAGGCCCCTGGGGACAACGGGGTCAGAGATCGCCTAGGGCAGGGGTATGTGGAAGTATCTCCCCAGCTGGTCAGTGAATGGAACGCAAGCCAGTTTGACCCTAAGGGCAGCTTTACTGGCTCCAGATTACAAAAAACAGCGAATTGTTCAGATATTGGTGCTTCAGCTGTCCCTGGAAACATGATCTCTTGGAACACGCCCACAGCAGCTAGAGCCGCAGGCAGGGCCTGTGCCCCAGGCCTGCTCCCACAGGGGCGTGTTGGCAGCAGGGGTTACCTCTTTGCTGAGGGACACTGCCAGGTGCAGGGGCTTGTCAGACATGAAGAACTGCCAGGCGGCCTCAGCGCGGGGCTGGGGGCCCATCTTGAGCGGCGCGTGCTGCACTTTGCGGATCAGTAAGCACACAGAGCTCCTGCAGGTGAGAAGGCCCGGGCAGGTCTGAGGGCGCGGCTGCCTCCTCAGGAGGGCCTCCTTGCTCACCGGGGCTCTTTGGGGATGCTCCCAACAGACGCGGCTGACCCAGAGGAGGGATGGGCATTGGCGGGGGGAGGGCCATGAGGACTGGTTTCTGATCCTTCCTCTGCCATTTCACGGCGGGGTGGCCTGGGGCTGGACTCTCTTGGTTTCGGGTAGGCCCTTGGCTGGGCTGGAGTTCATGTGGGAATGTGTAGTGAGCCTTACGTAGCGCTCCACAATGTGACGCACCATTACCACCACTTGTTACGAGAAGCATCGCCAGGTGTTGGGTATGAGCTCAAACTGCCAAGGGCACAGTTGGACACCTTGCTCAGGTTCAAGAGGAGAACAGTGCCAGGGCCTGGGAGGGTAGGAGGAACGCTGAGCGGTGGGTGAAGAACTTCTGTTTGGGATCAGATCGTGGAGAGCAGTGCAAACAGGGTCACACGGCAGTGAATGCACTCCATGCCTCTGAACTGTACACTTAAAAATGGCTAAAATGATACACTTATTGTTGTGTATATTTTATCACAGTAAATACAGAAGTTACAACAGAAGAAAACTAAAGAAAGAGGGACCCCGGGGTGGGGGGGGGAGGTTGCTAACTCCCCTGGCATTTTCTTTTGTGTTTTTTCCCCAAATTGCCAGCCTTGACCCCACCCCATGGATTGATGGCTCCGCTCTCACTGCCCTGACCTGGGGAGGCCCCATCACTCCAGCCTGCCACTCAGAGAAAAAGCAAGGGGTGCCTTCTTATCCCACCTCCTTGCACCTGGGCCCACACCTATTCCCACAACTGCACTCTTACTTCTTGGAAATTTTGCCCTCTTCGCAATCCGGGTTGTCTGTGGCAAATGCTTTGACCTCGAAGTCGACCCCACAGCACTGCGGAGGACAGGAGAGCAACAGGCCTCGGTCAGCGCCTCCCTTCCCAGGGTGGCACAGGCATCACACTTCATGCAGGGATGCTATGTGACAGCCTAGCCACGTCTTTTCTAGGGTTGCACCACAAAGACAAGACTTTGAAGTGCACCAGTAAGGAAATAATGACAATCGTGCCAGGAGAGCCAGGTGCTGCAAGCCCCAGAGGAAAGGGAGTCAGCCCGGGATGTGCCCCTCCAGCAGCTGCAGGATTCAAGCAGCTGACTGCTCCTCGCTTCCACCACCTTGTGAGGGGTTCAGCCCCCCCCGCCACATTTAGCTGTCCTTCCCTATGTTACCCTGCATGTATGTTTCCCACAGCAGGGGCCAGACACGGGCATGCACAGGCCAAGCAGGAGTCCACCAGTGCCCATACTGGAGCCCAACCTCCTGACCCCAGTGGGCAGCTGCTGCCCAGCTGTAGCCAAGCACGGCCAGGCTAGAATGGGGACCTGGTGCCAGCAGCTCTTCCAATTTTTGAAAAGAAATTGGAAATGGAATTTGGACTGAAGCCTCCTGATTTTTAAAAGAACTGCATAAAAATATGTTGCGTATGGGTCAAACACCCGTATCTGCTGGCACTTCAGCCCCCAGCCCAGACTGTGAACTCCTCCCTCACCTGGCTCGTGTCCACACGTTAACCTGCATGGACCTTTCCACCTGCCTGGAGGGAAAAGCGGAACCAGTGAAAGTACATGAATCGGTCTGGTCACAAGTGGAGCGAAAGCCACAGGCTTATTCATCCTGGAGCTGTGGACAGGTGGCAATTCTAAAACCCAGGTTGAAATAACCCTGAGTTCTGGCCCACCATCACCAGGCACGCTCAGCCAGGCCGGCCCTGCTCTATGCCCCACCAAGCCGCTCCCTGCACGCCGCCCTCCTTTTCACTCGTCCACCAAGGCACGTGCTGGCCCTTCCTCCTGAACACTCACCACTTCTTGTCTCATGTTAGACAGTCTCCTACCTACTCTCCTTGCCCAGCTCCAAGGTCTCAGCCATAAGGCCCAAGGTCCCCAGGTAGGTAGCCACTCCCCTGCCAGGCCCCCCTGGGCTCAGTCCAAATCCCTTTCCACAGCTACCTTCCTCTCCTGGGACAGAGGGAAGTGGCACCTTGGCTGGTACAGGGTCCCCCGCTTGGATTTAGTGACTGTCCTCCTCCATCTTGGCCGCCCACACCCATTTTCCTGGATGAGTGGTTTTCAAATGTTTCAGGCCACCGCCCACGGTAAGTAGTTTACAATGTGGCCCAGGAAGCAGACACGCATGTGTGCAACAGCCCTCATGAAATAACACTGAGCTTTACTACGTGGGAGGCGCCCTGAGATTTCCTCCTCTCTTCTATTTCATTCTATTCCATTTCTCTTACGTGCCTTTTCTGCCCCACTACCCTGTTTCACGGAGGGAAATCCCTGCCGTAGGCCCTGTCGCTGGCTGTCACTGCACCCCTCCACAGTCAGGTATGCACCTGCTCTCTGAGCCCCCTTGATCTTCTGAGCTCTCTCCCTCACGACCCTCATGCCTTGCAGAGCCCACAGTGCCTGGGTCTTGGCACCTTCACTCTCTCTGCCTGTCCTCACTGCCCCCTGCCTTGGTCTGTGGTCCGCCATGATCGCTCAGCCCCTCTGGCTTCTCTCCTCTTCAGAGCTCATGCTTGGCCAACCCAACCCCATTCTTAGCAAGTCACCAGAGTGATCCCCTGGAAACCCAAGTCAGAACCTACTGCTCAGACAGAGCCTGCCAGTGACTCCCACAACACTCTGAAAAAGTCCAAGTACCCACCGCAGTCTACGAGGCCCTTCACATCCAGCTGCACCTCCCCACACCTCTTTGACCTGCTTCCACCATCTCACCCCCGCTCCTCCGGCTCCGACACTCAGTCCACTTGCTGACCCCAGGGCATGCCGTGCGCGGTGTTCCCTCTACCTAGAAGTCCATCCTCTAGGACAGAATGGCTTCTCCTCTACCCTGTTAGAGAGGCCTTCTGGAAACACCCAGAACAAGCACCCCACTGGACTCTCCCTTTGCTTCTCGTGAGCCTCTCACTCTCCATGGTGCCTGCTGTCCTCAGATGTGCCCACGAGTTACTTGTTTGTTTTGGGCCTGTTTCTCCCTGTTAACTTGTGGGACGCAGACAGGGAGGGACTGTCCTATTTGGTTCGCATTCTTGGTCATAGTTAAACTGCTGAAGACAAGTGATGGATTCATTATCTTCTCTACTTTTGTGTAGGTTTGAAATTTTCCACAATAAAAGGCCATTTTAAAAAGTCTTGTGAAGAAATGAATGAGCCCACGGCGTTTGTTCGTGCACTGACCTTCCCCACGTCTTGCGGAGCTGGCTGCAACATCACCGAGCAGGGTAAGTAGTCCGGAAGCTGAGGGAAGACACAACAGGGCCTTTCTTTCAGAGGGTTCATTCCACGTAATACATACACATCGCACAACACCTGGAAATGCAGACGAGGAGCAAGCAAAGAGGAAGAGGTATCTACCCCTACTCCCAACACCCGCAGTAACACCCACTTCCAAGTGCACCCGTACACAAAATGTGCATGCAGGCATATGTGTCTTACAGAAATTAGACCAAACGCGCACGTCCTGTGGCCTGCTTTGCCCACATCTGTCCCTAATCCTAGCCCTACCCAAATGCACGATGACCATTTCCCTACACCATGAGACAGAGTCCTGCACTGCTATTTTTCGCACTTCTGCAACACCACATTTGATTTTGCCAGTCTCCTCTGTTGACTGGCCCTCAGTTAAGTAGTGTATTTCTTTTTCCATTATAAATAATGCTGCAATAAATATCATTCTTCAGTTTAGCACAGTTTTATCCCATTAATTCTATAGGCTTGCTTACTGCTAGAAAGGGAACTGTCAGGTCAAAATAACTATTTTAAGGTTTTTGGTACATAGTGACAGGTTATCTCCAAAAGGTCATGTCACTTCAAACTCCCAGTACCAGTGCCTGGGAGCACCTGGGGTATAAAATTTTTTTAGGGTTTAAAAAAAAAAATGTGGAAAAATATACATACCATAAAACTTACCATGTAAGAGTTCAGCTCAGTGGCATTAAGTATGTTCACCTGGTCCTCAGTGATCCCCACATTCATCTCCGGGACTTTTTCATCATCCTGAACTGAAACTCTGCACCCATGAAACACCAGCTCCCCTTCCCCAACCATCCCTGGCGACCACCACTCTGCTTTCTGTCTCTATGGATCTGAGTACGCCCCTCCTCTAAGTGGAATACTGCAATATCTGCCCTTTTATGCGGCTTCTTTCACTTAGCATAATGTTCTCAAGTTCATTCATGTTGTAGCATGTGTCAAAATTTCCTTCCTTTTTAAGGCTGGACCATGTAACTTTGGAGGAATATGTAATCTCTGAAGGCACATAACCACATTCGTGCCCCAAGTCTTCAGAAGCATGAATGCTGGCACCATGGGCAGCCAGGTTTCACCAGGGAAACTCGGGCCCCAAGAGAGATGACGCGGGTACTCTGCCTCGACCCACCAGGCTGTCAGGGCTACGGATAGCTGCTCATTTCCCTCAGGTCTCCTGCCCCACAGGGGACTCTTTCCTGTTCAGAACTCTGCGGGGCCAACTGAGGGACACTTCTTTCTTGTTATAGATGAGCAAGTGAATGAGTAACATGCACGTATAATTAGGTGGCCAGAGGAAGGGAAACACTTAAACTGTAGGTTGAAATGGTGCCTTCAGAGGCTGAGAGGCTATTTTCAAGGACTTAAAAAAAGACAATCACAGCCCATGCCATCCAGAACTTCCTCCAAGTGTGGAATTTGGAGGCCCACAAACATGTCCCGTCCTTACCTCCTGCTGACTATATGAGGTGCTGTGGGTAAGGAACCAGGGCAGGGAAGTGGGTAGCAGGGGGAGTCACCCACCGTGAGCAGGAAGGGGTACGTGTTGCCCCCCAGCTTCTTGATCAGGCTCTCCTGCAGTTTCGTGGGGGTGCCCATGGCCTCCACAGGAGGGAACACCTGGACCTGGGAGAAGTACAGGTCTCTGCGGAAGGTCAGGCCTATCACGTCGATATCTTCCTGGCCATAGCGGAAGGCGCAGGTCAGAGAGACAAACACTGTAAGGGAGACAAGAGGAGGGTGGGCTCCCCCATCGGCATGGCGCCCCCACTGGGGCTGAGAGCACGGGGCAACCGCTGATCCTGCTACCCGTCCCGCGAATCCAACTCTAGGCATCTGGAGGGGATGGCATTTGAGACCCAGACCACCCAGCTGGCCCCACACCCGGAGAACCAACAACTTCCCTAGGGCTTGTTAGTTGCTCTAAAGGGGTACATCAAACGATGTGGGGGCACCTGCCACGGAAAACATTATTTTGCCTCCTGAGTCCACTGCTTCCTCCATCTTACCACCCCTTCCTCTTGGTCCACCAGCTCAGTGACCGCAGGACGCTTTTAAACTGTGTAAGGTTGGTTGGGTTCTGAGGGCAGAAGTCAGGATGGAGTTGAGAGGGAAGGTAAGAAGCAGTGGACAACAGAACTGGGGAGCAAAGCCGATGGGGGCTGGGCTGGGCCTGCAAAGGGGGCCAGAGAGGCTGACGGTCCTGGTGGAGAGGTGACATGAAATCTGAGAAGATCCTCTTTTCACATTGCTGGGAAACAGATTAAGTATTCTCTAAATCTATACTTCCGAACATTCAATTTTATTGAACAGTTGTAAATTGTATCCCCCATGGACCCAAAGAATTATATGAAACTGCACATGCTTTGAGTGGACTGTTGACTACTCTTTACTGTGGTTAAGTAAAACCACATGAAGCGTGCTGTTCTTGAACAGAAAGCATTTCAGAAGGGGTCCTGCCAAGTCCTTGGCAGCTGTCAGTTGAGGATTTGTCTGTGTCCACCCAGGTATACTGCCCCTCACCGCTCAGCTCAGAAGGGCCACTGTCACTTGCCTACCCCTCATCCAAAGCTTGTAAGAGGAAGGTGCCCGGAGATGACCTGGGTTTACACCGCCCTCACTGGGCACTGCTTTGCCCTGGAGCAGATGGGCATGGGCTTTAGGGCTTGAAGCAGGCCTCTCCTAGGGCTAGAGGAGCAGGGCACCCAGGAGGAAGTTGGACACAAGAGAGGGGGTGATTTTCAGCCTCCTTTCTGCCATGCCCCCTTAATGCCAACAGCCCCGTGGCTGACACACTCCCATGAGCACATCCAGGGTTAGGAACAATTCTTTGAGGTTGCCCGTAGCAACCACTTAAAGAGGCATATTTGGAAGGGAACTGAGTCAGTGACACAGGAGAGCTCAAATCTGCTCTCAGTTAATCCACTAACTGCTGTTACTTGCCACACACACCACCGCTGCCAGAGCTCTTCGAGGGCACCGTGGTACCGCCATCTGGAACCACCCCGTTGAGCTAAAGCATCTGCCCCCCAGCAGGCTTGATTCCCTCTGGGACAAACCCACCGAGGAGCCTCCGGAGTCTGCCATGGTGGAACTAACTACACGACACGGGGCTGAGTGCAAGGCCGGGGAGCCGACGGCCCTGGGCCCCGAGCTCTGTCCACGCTCCTTATCCTGCCACCCAACAAGGGTTCCCCTAAGGCCTCACCTCCATGCGGGAAATGGGGGCAAGGAGCTCCGACAGCAGTGGGACCATGCCCTGAGGCTGGGGGTGAAGGGGCTTGGCAGCGAGGGGGTGCAGAAGCACCCGGCGCTCCCCTTCCCGGAGGATGTGGGGCTCTGCCTCACCTTTCTTTCCCTTGACGAGCTCAGGATCCACCAGCACGACACCATCTAAACCAGAAGGGAGAATGATGAGGGCAGAGACGGGGGCAGCCAGAGGCCTCCTGTGAGTGTGAGCATGGGGAGATCCAGTTCACTACAGGGAGATCGGAGCAGGAGGCCCAGCAAAGACAGGGTCACCCACGTTCCACTACTCGGAGAATCCCACTGTCAAGACACTGGTGCAGAATTTTTTTTCCAGATGTATACATGCTTATATGAATATTTTTACTGAAATTTAGATCCTACAATACTACTGGTAACTGCTTTCCTCACCAACTGTATATTACAAACGCCTATTCCCACACACACACACACACACACACACAAATACATCCTTTTTATGGCTATACATTATTCCACTGAATAGATGTAGCATAATATAATTAAACCCCTCTTGTCAGGGCATTTAGGCTGTTTCCAATGGTCTCCATCATAATTAAATTGACACAAACATCCTTATAGAGAAATCTATTTATCCATGGTAGAAATGGATATGGCTTTTGCTAACATATTGCCAAATGTCCTTCCAGAAAAGGTTTTGCTGAGAGACATTCTCACCCTCAGTACCTAAAAATGCCATTTTTTAGGTATCTTTAAAAAAATTATTATTTCAGTTGAAATAATTATAGATTCAAGGAAGTTGCTAAGACAGTACAGAGAGGTCCCCTGTGTATCCCTCATCCAATGGTTACATCTTAGATAATTATGGTACAATATCAAAACCAGGGCAGTTGATATGTGTACAATGTGTGTCTAAATCATTTGGTCACAAGTGGAGATGTGTAATCCCCAATCTGGATAAATCACTGTCCCTCACCACAGAGATCCGACTCAGGTCATCCCATATGTCCTCCCCCTCCCCCACCCCAGCCATTCTTAGCCCCTGGCAACTACTATTCAGTTTTCCATTTCCACAATTTTGTTATCTCAAGAATGCTGTATAAAAAGAATTACAAAGCAAATGGCCTTTTGAGGCTGGCTTTTCTGCTCAGCATAGTGCCCCTGAGACCCACAAGCTGTTGGTACCACTAGTTTGTTCTTTTTCATTGCTGAGTAGAATTCCATGGTCTGGAAGGGCCACAGCTTGCTTAACTGTATTCATCTAGTGAGAGACACTGGTTCTTTCCAGTTTGGAGCTATTACAAATAAGCTATGAACAATCCTGTACAGGTTTTCATTTCTCTGGGATAAGTGCCCAGGAATGCAATTGCTAGGTGACACTGTAAGTGTATGTTTAGTTTTGAAAGAAACTGCCAAGCTGTTTTCCAGAGTGGCCGTTCCATTTCACAGTTCCACCAGCAATGGATGAGGGAGTCATTTCTCTACATCCTCACCAGCATTTAGTATTGTCACTATTTTTAATTTTAGCCATTCTGATTTCCATGTGCTTTTTTGCCACCCAAATGTCTTTGATGAAATGACTTTTCATGTTTTTTTGTCTATTTTCCAATTAGATTTTGTTGATTTTACTGTTGAGTGCTCTTTACGTACTCTAGAAATGAATCCTGTCTCCCCCACTCTATAAAGTTTTCAATCAGCTAGTAGTACCTCACTGATGTTTTAATTAAATTTCTTTGATTAAATTATTAGCAAAGCCAATTTTTAAAAATATGAAACTCACAGTTGTCTGATGACTTAAAGGAAAACCAGCATTAAAATTTTACATGAAACTCAACTTACCCACAGGTTCTACTTGGTCAACATGGTCTATATAGTCTCTCTTCCCAAGGTAGATGGTCACCTGTGGGAAGAACAGGTGTGGATTCCAAATAACACTAAGGCAATTACATTAAAATTTAGCAACAACCAAAACCTTTTAATTATTCTTGAGAAGAGGAGCCTCCTGGCTCTGCAGGTCATCCCCCACCTCACCTCTCCCTGCTTGGCTGTGGGTAGAGATGATGGAGTGCAGGCCAGGTGTGCTCTTTCCTCAGCCTCATAAATCTGCTCTAAGGAATTTCTCCCACTCCTTTCGATGGTCCCTGTCTTCCCCACCTTTTCCCATTAAGCCCAGGACTGATATCAACCAGGAAAGCTTGTTCAGTTAATTGATAATAACTTTAAAGGAAAATTATGCCAATGCAAATGAGGCCTTCCCACCCATTTTCATGCTCAGCCTGTTATTTATGGCTGTGAATGAAAGGTTTCCCCTCCTTGTTACAATTTCTGGACTGAGCAATGAGGCAGGAGTTCTAGAGTCCCTGAAACCCTACTAGGTGAGCTTCTGCACAGATGCACACTCTAAGGAAGCAGGGAGGGGGGATCTGAGGGGGGTGACCATTGTCTCCACCCTCATCCTGTCTGATTTTACGACCCGGGCAGCAAGGCTGTCTTTACCAACCCCCTTTGTGGGAGAGCATGATTGGGTTTACCACCACTTACCACTTTAACCCGTGGGGCTATGGGTGCCTTGGTGGTAAGAATTCTGGTGCTCATTCACCTTTCAGCCATCACAGTATCCCCAGAGCATCTGGTACAGAAGAGGACTTAATCCCCTTTTGCCAAGTGCACCAGTGGGTGAGTGCCTGCCCCCCTGGTCGGCTCCCTTCTTCCCTAAGCCTCTGAAATTTAGTTTTATTTCCATGAACACCCCAAATCATTTTTGTTGGCACCTAATCATCTCTTAAATCTATCTCCTCATATCAGATAAGCTCAGGGATTCTAGATTATTTGTAATATTGATGTTGAAGCCCTGAAAGACAGCACAGCCAGGTGACCAGGACTGGGAGCAGGAGGTTGGATGGTGAGGGGATGCTTTCTGGGCAAAATGATTATGTACAGATGCATACAAAGCCCAGAGCCAAGAGAATGCTTCCAGAATCGCCAGTAGTTTCATCCACAGGTGAATGGCCACCTAATGGGGATGCAGGCTGATGCCAGAAAGGATCTTCTAGGACCTTAACAAGTGTAGGAAGAGGCTGGAATATTTTCGGCAGGATGAAAATCTGTAGTTAAATAGCATTTAGAGTGATTCTCATGTACCAGGTGCCAAGCTAAGTACTTGGACTGCCTTATTTTCCTTAATCCTATTACTACTCTAGGAGATAGGAATTAACCCTATTTATAGAGAACACGGGGACTTGATCGTGTTGGCAGCCAAGTGGAGAACGGATTGGCGAGGGGAGGGCCAGTTAGGCAGCTGGCTGCGGTCGGGCGGAGGCAGGACTGAGGGTAGATGGGGAGAGCGTGTTTTCTTCTTTTTCCAGCTGCTGTGAAGGAGGAAGAGCTAGAAAGGGGAGAGGGTCAAGGGCAGTTTGTTGTTTTTAAGATGTGTGAGGTCAGTACTGGTGTTCACACTCAGGCAAACAGAGGCGAACCTGGAGAGAGGGAGGTGCTGCAGACACAGCCTGGGGGAGGCTGATGGTAAAGGACCCTCCAGAGCTGGATCAGGGACGCAGGGTGTCACCAGCATGAACCTCAGACAGGAGCGCTGGCTCTTCGGCTGCAGTAAATGGAAGGGGACGGAAGGGACAGGAGCTGCTTGCCCAACCAATGGCCACTTGCCACCTTCTTCCTGGATAAAACGTCACCTATGTATTCAGGGCCCACCATCTGCCATGAGGTCCCACTAAGAGGCAGTCAGCCCCAGAGGATGATTCATGATTGGCTTGATCCACTTATGACCATCCAATTCCTTTGGCTCAGGATTGGTTAAGGGTGTGTGTGTGACCCAGTTTTGACTGAGACATGAGAGAAGCTACAGGGCTGCTGGGAAAATATTTCCTCACTCTGAAGAAGAGACCCGAGGAAGCGACAGCCTCTTCCTTCTTCTGGAAGGAAGTGAGGGTGAGGTCCCGTGGAGCCACCTTGCCACCAGCCAGAGGTGAAAGATCACAGAAGGCAGAGTGGAGAGAATCACAGAGAAATGGACCCAGAGCCCTGGCCCATGGTGCCTGGAGCCATACACACAGAGGTCAGCTGGAATGATCCTAATACATGAGACTAAGTTTCTCGGTTCAAAGGATATCAAACTAGGTGTGAGGTAGAAAAAAGTGGGAGAATGGTATGATTTCTGCCAGAGTTAAGATACAATGTTCTGGGAAGACACAAGTTGGGAAAGAGTTTGGAGAATCAAAGGCTGAGGGACGCCTGACTTGTCAACCCCAAAAACCAGAATGCTTAATGAGAATGATAAGAGTCCTCCACTGGAGACGAGGGGGCCAGAGTGCCTGTCAGACCCAATGTCCTTGTGCAGCACCACAAGGATGGGAGTTTCTTCTGGGCCCAGTACAGGCTTCAGGAGTCAGTCTACTAGAAGAATGATTTAGACCCACTCTGTCCAGTAAGGTGGCCACAACTACAGGTGGCTACTGGTCATTTGAAATATGTGCCCATTCCAAATTGACATGTACCATTATGGAAAATACACATATTTCAGACTTAGAAAATGAATGCAAAATATGTCTACTTTTTGTATCATTTACATGTTGAAATGATAATTTTTTGGATATATTAGGTGGAATAAAATGTAGTATTGAAGTGAATGCCACCTGTCTTCCTTTTTAATGTGGCTCCTATATAATTTAAGATTACATATGCGCCCTGCATTGGATGGCACTGAGCTAGATTGCTGGCCCCTAAGAAGCCACTGAGGGGAGAAAGAAGACCTCATCCAAGGAGGCTATGGGGTGGACCTTCCTTTGGCTCTCCCACTGCCAAGGTCATGGGCACATATAGACTACCTACTGGGCCCAATGGGGCCATCAGTGGCATCATCCCTGATGAGTATGCAGGTTCCCAAGATACTGGTGGCCACACCGCCACAGTGTAGAGCAGCAGGGGACTGTTCCCTTACCCAGAGGCCCTGAAGGCCTAGGGAGTTTTAGGAGCATGGCAGCATGGGTACATGCACAGAGTTGCATTAATCCAGCATTAGGGCTTTCCCTAGGCAGGTAGGTGACATGATAGACCAATGGCCAAATTATTACAGGTATCAACAAAATGTAGTTGAAATGGTAGAGTTGAACCCTTTTTGGGTTCAAGGTCAGATAAGAAAAGAGGTAAAATTAGGGATAAGGGGATAGAAAGAGATTAGGAGAAACGCAAGGGTCTCAGGACTAAAGTCTTGAAGAGATTGAACAGAAGTTGTATTTCTGCAATTCATTCATTCATCTCATTTACCATCCATTTGAAACACAGATCAAACAGTCTCCCTTGATCTCACAAGGCTTTGATGATGATCATGTCCATTCCTGAAAAAGTTCCTTTTAGGAAATTTTCCATTAAACCACTCGCTCCTGTACCACATACCGATTTGTCCCGGGAGATCTTCTTGAAGATCACATGGCTTGGTGTCTTCACGTTAGCTGCCATATTATCTGTCTCTGGCAATGCCTTCTACCTTGGGATGTATGTCAGGTATTGAGTGGGCTGGGAAAAGGCAGAATGATCCTAAACATAAAGTCAAGAACATTCTGAGAATAAAACCTACTTCTGAGATCCTGTGTATCCATAGACATTTCCTCTACCTGCATCAATACTGATATTTGATTAAATAAGAACATTGTCCACTTTGTATTTTATTACAATGTGCCTTTTTAAAAAGATGTGTTTTGTTTTTCTTGATAAGCCTCAAACCCTCCTCAGTAAGCCTTGCCAGGAAGTCCAGCTAAATTCCAAAGACAAGGTTTTACAATATATTAAATTCTCAAAAGTTCTGTTCAATCATTCATCCTCAGGACCGCTTTCTTCTTGCTCTCATCACCCCCAGCTTTACAGGCAAGGAAGAGGCCACTTTCCTGTCTGGAATTCAGTGCACTCTGACATTCCTCAACTAGCAAAGTCCCTGGACCTACCCGGAAAAGGAGAAACTGGGACAGACTACAGGAAAATGCCCGTTGTCCCGACCCTTGCTCCTTGCTGCGCCTGAGTTTCTGACAAGGCTAGTGCTAGGTCGGTCACATACCTTATAAACCAGTGGATGGGCCCAAGAGGCAAGCAGAGGGTCTCTATCCCTCCAGGTCAGCAGCCAGCCCTTGCTCTGTCTAAGCAGATGCCTGCACAAGGTCCCTGGATAATGTGTGTGGGGAATTTGTAGGGAGTCTGGAGAGAGTGCCCTGCACCCAGGTCTCCAAGTCTAGAAGCCAAATCCCTTTTAAGAAGTGGAGTGGAAATTAGATTAGTGTTGAGACAGTGAACCGGTAGTTTCAGCAGTTCTAGGCATTAGGCAAAGCAGTCTCCTTCCAGAGGGGCTCACAGACACAGGGGCCATCAAGCTGGAGTGCAGAAGGCATAGTGGGAGGGGTAACAGCTAAAGGAAAGCTACTTTTCATCCTAACCCTCTTTGGGTTCTGGAAATAGACTGATTATCCCTTTACTCCCCATAGCACCAAGACAGGATTATCAAGTGCTCAACAAACTTGCTTCAACTCAGGGGGCAGTGAAGGCAACCTTGGGTGTGGGGATATAAAGAAAAAGGTCAAGGAGATGTCAACCTCAGGATGACCCTGGTATCATGCAAGCCAAGCTAGACATGTCCCTGTCCTCTACCCTGCATCCAATGATTACCAGTCCTGTCAATGGCCCCTGGGTTCTCTGGAATCTTCATGCCTTCCCAGCCCGAGCACCTCCTTCAGCATCCACACCACCGTCTGCTTTCCTGGACAATGATGTTTCCTGCTTTCGGACTACAGCCATGTACACCATCCAGGCCCTTCTCCTCACTGCAAGAGAAGACCCTCTGGACCTTCCAACCTCTGATTCGTCATCCCTGCTTGTATCTCCCGTTGCTCTCAGAATACAGGCACAAACCTTTACACCCTTTCGAATTGCTTTTCCACATGGCCCTGCGCTGCAACTCCATGCTCCACACACTGCTGTTTGCCTGGAACAATCCTCTCTTCCTCTTTCCTTGTCACAAACTCTTTTCTCCCTTAGATTCTGGAAGGGGTGAGTTCCTTCCTAGGGGGAGCATCCCCAACCTCCCGGCCTAGGTCAGAGGTGCAGTCACACGTGACACTTGTGTGGGAGGTTATTTTAGGGTCGCTCTTCCAGTTCTTGACTCTGGGCTCCATAAGGGCATTCCTGTCTTATTTCCCTCACCTTTGCATTCTCAGTGCCTAGAACAGTAGCTGCTCCCAACACTCAGGGAATCAATGGATGGGTTCCTGAAGCTACTAATGCATTTACATACTGGACTTGACCTGGCATCTGGGGATCAAGCAAGCCTAAGCAGAAAGCCTGTTCTGACATTTGTATGCTAGCATTTATGGATATAGTTCAGTGGCTTTTTGCCTGTCTGGATGAGGCCTGCATAGCCCTGCATGACTTATTCCCATTACCTCTGACCTTATTTCTCACCACCCGGCCTCTTTGCTTTTCTTTCCTCTTCTGGAAGACTCTCCCCACAAATAGCACTTGGCTCACTCCCTTAATTCCTTTAGGGCTTTACTTCAGTGTTGCCCTATTCATCATACACCCCACAGTGTAGCACCTCACTCAGCACTATATCCTCTCTGCATTTTTTCTCTATAGCAGTTACCACCACCTAACACTAATAATTTATCTGGTTTACTGTCTGTCCCCAAACCCCACCATTATTAGAGGGTAAGTTCCAAGGGTATAGAATTTTTTGACTATTTTGCACCTATCCCATTTCCAGCCTCTAGAATGGGGACCTCCATATACTTCAAGTACATCAATGAGACACTGGATTCCAACAGGGTAATAGCAGGCAATAGGTAAAGTTGGGGAAACTTTTTTAATTTCTAAGGGAGAAAACTTTTTTTTTAAATAGAGGAATGCCAGCTAATGAAAAAGTAATGAGAAACTAGAAAAACATTATTTGACAAACTCAGATTGTATTAATCATGACTTTCTATTTTCTGTATTTCTGATGCTTTGACATCTGGGGTCTCGCTGGCCCTGGAGAGATTGCCCTCCCAGGGCGAACCCTTTCCTAGAGAATGATTCTCAAATGCATATTGACCAAAACAGACTCCGTACACCCAATGATCTCCTTTCCTGTGCGGGCTCTCACACTCTGAGCCACCGCTGCCCTGCCCTGAACATCCCAGGGCCAGGTATCAGACAGCTGGGGAGCCCCTACGTCCCCGAGGCCACTGAATTAAAACTCACCTGCTTACTCTGCCTCACCGTTTCTTTCCCATGGAACACAAATGACTTTTGCCCATGTTTCCGCTTTGATCCTCTGCCTCCTGACTGATCCTGGTGCTTCCCCCCATGGCCCTGTGTGGCACAGCCTGCCCCTTGTTTTGGCAACTATGAGTAATAAACTGTCTTTTCAATGGCCGTTGTCTCCTGCTGTTGGCCTTACTACAGCTGAATAACAGTAAAACCTATGTTTTAAAACGCTGGTGAAATTGAATCAGACAAGAACTAAACAGGTGAAGAACTGATGGGCAAAATGGCTGTCCCTGCAGCACCAAAGAGATGGCCTACGGATCCTGGGCTCATCACCAGGCACAAGCCTAACAGGGGAGACCAGGCATGGTCCATGGTCAGTCTTAGACAACCAGATCTGCTGTGTCACCTCAGGCTAAGCGGAACCCATGAAGCCTTTAGACATCACTCCTAGTTCATAGGAAATACAGGCAACAGAAGAACAAGCTAAATGACATCATGAGAGCTACCAGAAGAAACCAGAGGCTGGTCTTTCATGACTCGATGTCATAGAAAAGGGATGTACTAGACTAATAGACACTTAAGGGGCTCAAGATGCAAATATAATGTGTGGTCCCAGATGGGAAAATCTGAATATGGTCTAAGTGACAGGTTAGATGGAAATATCTTGAACAGGAATGTAGAGATTGTGACTGAATAAAAGTCATCAGATGGTATGAGTAATATGATCACATTTTGCAAACACATAGCACACACGTGTGTATATATGTACACATAAATATATGCATGTTTTCATACCAATCACATGCATATCTGCAAGGCTATGCACTAAGGACTTAACATTGGTGGTCTCTGTGTGGTGGGAATGTTAGGTTTTAATTGTTTATATATATACATAACAGGTATCAGACAGCTGGAGAGTCCCTACACCTACGGTGTATAAAAATTTTTCTGATAATCATTTACTACTCCTGTAACATAAAGATTCAAATGAGATAGTTATAAATTTTTAAAAAATCTAATTATTCCCTTAATAACATAGAATAAGAGAAAGACAAATGACTAGGTTGTTTTTTTCCTGTCCTGCCCTGCTCTGGGCCTGCCCGAGGACCTGCCCTGTGCTGTGGCTGCAGGACCTGAGAGCAGTTTGCAGCAGTGGGTGCGCCTGCAGCTGTGCTGGCAGCAGGCGGCTGGGAGAGTATGCAGATGCGCGGACCTCAGTCACTGACCTGCCAGTGCCTACAGGTGGGAAATCTGGGGGTGCTGGGGGAACGGGCCTCACTCTTTTTGAAAATGGAGTCTCTGGTGGTCATTCCCGACCCATGGTCTGTGCAGAATTTTTCTCTGCTTGGTGGAGAAATGAGAAAAATAAGGACACTGTTGTTTCTTCAGAGTCAAATGTATTCAACTAGAGGATTATCCTTTACTCTAAGGTTATGAGGTCCTCAATATTTTGATATTAAGATGCCCTCCTTCAATCTCCCTATCTTTATTGAGGTATGCTTTATGCACAACCAAAGCTACCCATTTTAAGTATGCAATTGGTATCAGTTTAACCACAACTATGATCAACATAGAACATTCTCATCACCCCTAGAGGTTCTCTGGCACCCACTTCAATGACCTCTTCCACCAACATCCCCAAACCTAGGCAACTAGACAGGCCTTCTGTCATTGGTTTTGCATTTTCTGGGATTTGTGAGTTTTACAATACAGAGAAAAGTTGTATTGTTAATACAGTGAACATCTACAGTCAGCATTGAGACCGACAGTGAACAGTTTACTGCATGTGCTCATCCATGTCTCTATTTCATTTTTTTTGAACCATTTGAAAGTAAATTGCAGACATCATAACACTTTACTCATAAATATTTTTAAATGCAGCTGCTAAGCCTAAGAACACAATGTCCTTTCATTTATAAAATAAAGATGAGACTAGATGACAGTAGGAAAACATCCTCACGTGGCCAAACTAAATGTCAATCTTCCCCTACAATTCTTTGGGAAGCTTACTGGTCTATAAATTCTGAGAACCTCTGGATATAGCAAGGCCTGTTTCTCTGGAGTTGGGTGACCAGTAAGGTGAAGCTACATGCTCTGTTCCATCTGTCAATACCAAAAGTAGCGCCAGTTCATGGGTGTGGTAACGGTGGGGACACTCAGTTAAGCTTATGGGCTGCAGGTAAGCATCTTAGGGGTTTACTAGTGCACCCGAGGAGAACTGGTACACTGCTATACACCATCCACAAAGGAAAACCCCGTGGCCCCATTGTTAGATTTATCAAAGCTGAGAGCACTTGAGAAGTTTGAGGCAACTCTATTTATAAAGAATGCCAAGAATCCGAGCTTTCATAAGCCACCCTGATTCTATAATGTGCCTAATGGTGATGTTTTATGTACAACCAACTAGCCTAATGAACAGAGAGAAGGCTGTTATGGGTTGGGTTGGGTTGGTTTATAGTATCTGAAATCATAAGTGGAGTGTGGCCTCTCAAGCTGGGCAGAAACCTTTAAGAAGTATTTAGTCCACACTCCATCTCTACTTGGATTTCCTCTACAACATCCGTAAGAAGTTGTTGAATGCTTGCAGAGATGAGGAAGCACTACGACTTTTCTTTGAAACTGAATTGTGAGAACATTTTTAGAATGGAATAAGCCTCGCTTCCACTTCTCTCCATTGCTCCAACTTAATTTCTTCCACGTGTGAATCTGTCGTGATTAGAACACAGATGCTCAATTCTCATGAGCATTAAAACCCTCTCATCATCCCAGGGGTCCTACCTTAGATTTCAAATGTCCACCTTGAAGCATGGTGCTGACATGGTGCTAAATGCTCCAGGTTTCTGTACACCAAGAGTATGCTGCACCAACAGCCAGACTGGAGTCCTGGGTTCTGGGGCCCACTGATGACTCCACTGTGACCTTGGTAAAGTAGCTTGGCTTCACTGAGACTTCATCTGTAGAGGTGGGCCGATAACCTGCCATCTTGCAGGGCTGGAGAGATACATCCAATGTGCAGACGAGTCTGCTATGGAGGCAGACGGACCCTAACCAAGATGTTCCCTCGTCCTTTCCGACGTGAGGCTGATGTCTGCCTTGGGTGCTCCCTCACCCTCTGGTCATACCACATGGGTCTCAGTACTAAAGTTTCAATGGTAACAAAGCTGCTTTGACACAAGAATTTTGAGCCAAACACAAATTGAGCTGCTTACTCTTCAAGCGGTGCAAAACCAGGCAGATGGCTTTCAGAGAAGTCTGTTACACTCAATATTTGTAGCCCCCTTCCCCTCGACTCCTAACCAAGAATTCATACATTGAAGCCCTAACTCCCAGTGTTGTGTGTTTAGAGATGGGGCCTTTGGGATGGATTATGGTTAGAGGAGGTCATGAGGGCACCCTGATCAGCACACTTAGTGTCCTTAAGAGACTAAGTGCATAAAGTCACAGAGCACACAGCATGCTGGCAGTGACCTACAAGCAGAGGCCTCAGAGAGTAACCTACTTTACTGGCCTTGATCTCAGACATCCAGCCCCCCAGAACTTCGAGAAATAAATTTGTGGTTTAAGCTACTCCACCTGTGATATTTTGTTACTGCAGCTCTGAGCAGACTAAGACAAGGGAGGCCCCATGCTTTTTCAATATCAACTGCTATAGATCAAAAGGTTCAGGGGGGTGGGGAACTGACACCAATCTAGTTTAAGAAATACCCCTGGAGGCCATACAACACAGTGGATACACTAAATGTCACTGAAGTGCTCACTGAAGATGGTTAATTTTGTTACGTGAATTTCAACTCAGTTTAGTAAATAGTAAAAAAGAAATACATTTTTTACATTGTGACCTAGTAAACACACATACACGTACAGAACAGAATTTCTCTGAAAGGACACTTACCTTTACTATGTGGGTTGTCCTATTTTTAAGCTGCTCTCCCATCCTCTCTCCCTTTCGGCTGGTCATAGTCCACTGTCTTGGGAGTGTTGTTCGTTTTTTGTTGATTTATCAAACTTCTCACACAATTTTGGGGAACTTATGGAATGTTAAGTTCGTTAAAAAAGTTAATTCCTAACTTCTGAGATATGTTAATGCCTGGACCAAAGCCCCTGACACTTACATGAGAGCATACACAAGCAGAAGCCAGCCAGGATTCATCTAAGAAATTCAAGAACTTCTGTGCCTGCCTCCCACCAAGGCAGAACCAAAGCCCCGGGGCAGGGTTCCAGATGACTCGGCAGAGGGGACGGTAGAGACCATGTGCTGGATTGAGTCTTATCCCACCGCCCCGTGAGCCCACTCCCTGTGCTCAGCCGTGGCAGGCAGGAGACCTAAGGAGAGCTTTACCATGCGGATGCATCTCGGACTGAGAAACCGTTGTCAAAATCACAGAAAGAAGATGGCTTCCCTCCAAGTTCAAAGAAAACAGGATAATCAGAAGCCACAGCAATGCTTACTTTAGGCCTCTTTCAAGAATGCCTTACCTCCTTCAAGTGGCTACAAAGGCCCTCCTTGGTGTTTTGGAGACTGGCTGAGACTTCAGATCACGGTGGCCTGACTGCGGCTGCTGGGCTAAGCGGACATTGGGCCAAACCCTCAGTGAATAGTGTGGTAATGGAACTGGACAGCGGTCTTTTGGGGGACATTCAGGGGAGATCATAATTTGTTGTGGCACAAGGCTGCTAACTAGGTATCTGAGCTGCCAGGAACTCAATGAGGTAATTCATGCCCTTTCAGGAAAGAAGAGGCCTGGATGCCAGGGGACACATTCACTATCAATCTTATGGACAAAGTCTCAGTGCAGGGCCCAGAACTGTCCCCACTGTATAGGGGAGCAGACTGCAGAAGTCACATCAGTGCCCTGGACTCTTGAAGCACAGCTGCTGAAATCTGGAGAGACCTTCTCCCAACTTCAGTTAAGACGTACAAACGACGTAAAAACTGGAACGCTGATGTTTACAGGCACTGCTAACTTGGGCTTAAAGGACTAACAGTGAGGAAAGACACCAGGAAAGTATTAGCCATTATTTACAAGTGAAGAAATACTAGGAAAATAAATGAAAGAAAGAGCTTTTTTCTCTTAAGGACAAAGGGGAGTAAAATAACCACCAAGAGGCATAGTTTGAAAAGTATATAACAGATTTCTTTTTTATTTACAATCAAGTTCTGTTGGGCAACATAATTAAATAAATACAAGATGTGCCCTGGCCTGTGAATTTTAACTCCCCTTAATCCAGTTCTCTGAACAGCAAATCAGGAAGGGAAGCGGGGACCAGAGGAGCGGGAGAATGGAGACCACGCTCCTTGTCAGAGGAGAGGTGCACCTCATTCCTCACTTGGCTCTAGCACTCACACTCACAACTGTCCAGAGAACAGGGTTGGGAGAAAAAAAAATAAAGTGCAAATTAAAAAGTGATGGAAGTATTGGTGTTTCAGTCACTCAATGAACTAAAATGTTATACACAGGTAAAATGGCAAAGATAAATGTTTTTTTTTAAAAAAAGCCACAGGCCAGTTTCTCCCTGGCCTTATTTATAACTCCTGAAACCTAAAGATGACATGACCCTGCCTCCTGGAACAGGTTTCTGGCACTAAAGCACCAAGGGGGTATTGCACATAGGCTTGGCCAAGGGGCAGTGACCTGGAACCACTGGCTCCAGAGTAGTACATCTGAGGCCTCAAATCCCTTGTCACCAACAACTGGAATTCGAGCACAGCTGGAAGGAAGGGGAAGTGCCAATTCTTTCTGGGAATTTAAAGGAGGATACAGGAATACAGCTTTACTCCTGCAGCACACCCACTTCTCCGGAAAAAGGCTTTTGCACTTCCTCTACTACCTCAAAAAAACCTTTTTTAACCAAACTGAGATTTCTATCTTGACCAATAAAGATATGCAGAATTTTTGGGGGACTGCAGGGAAAGGGATTCAGAAGCGTTGAAGAACAGTTGCTTTCCTGTACATTTAGGAGGTGTAAGGAAATCCCAACAGTACAGCTGAGACAGGAGTTAAGAGCCTTGTGTGACACAGACCAGAAGGGAGGACCACCCCCCCGACTCCTCAGAAGTCAGGGTAGCCCCTGTGAACTACCTGAGGGCAGGGGTAATCCTGTTTTGGTTTGTCAATCCAATGAATAAAAGCAATTTCATTCAAAATGAGGAAAATGACCCCAAGGTGACAGGGCATACATTAGGCCAGAACCCACTTTTGAAGGACAGGACAAAGCACAGAGGGTGAACTGACACCCACACATGGGGGGCTTCTGGCGATGCCATGCAGTGGGGGTGCCTGTGCTCTCCCCACCGAGGTATGAAGATCAGAGCCAGTAGTGTTTCCACCCAAATCAACACAAGGACCTGAAAACCTGCTAGGTACCTGCATCAGATTTGTTCAGTTACCCTTTCAGGCCATCAGAGACCTCAGCCCAAATCCTCAGAAATCCTGTTCAAAGGAAGGCCACCCTGCCACACGGCTCAAGCTCTTCTCTGGAGGTCAGAGCTAACCCGACACGCCATCTGCCAGGCCAGAGCTGCAGAAGCCCTCGTGCTCCTCCGGCTTTGGATCTGCTGTCTCCTGAGGAGGTGCCATCAGTACTCTGACCACAGCACGGCCTTGCTTCCCTTGTCCACGCTGACGACGTGGGACCCGGAGGGGGACCAAGCCACCGCGTTGATGGATGAGCTTCAAAGGGAGAGGTTGGAACAGCTGTGAGATGTCATGCCCTGGGCACCAGGCCCCTTGCATTCAGGGAGCCAGGCTTTGTCCAACACCTGTTTCACTGCCAATACAGCCCACTCACAGGCAAGCCCTTATTAAGGAGCAGAATAGGAGGGAACCCAGCACTGCGTGTTAGGAAGCAGTTTTGGAATGAAGGAGTCAGGCCTTATTGGGTCTACCCGAAGGGAGTAGCTCCCTGCTGTGGCAAGTGTCCCAGGGCGCCTGACTCTCAGAGAAGGAAACCAGCCTGCTCCTCTCTCTTCAAGGCGGGGAGGAGCCTGGGGCTCCGTATTCTAACGAGCAGTTGAGCTTGGGGACAAAACATAGCTAAGGAAAAACATAGCCTGGGGAGATACAAAAATGTCTATGAAACCCAGTGCTTACCACAAGTCAACTTACTGAGGAAAGGGACTCGGAGGGAGGCAGGAGGGGGCGACGGGAACAAAGAGGAGCTGCCATATAATCAGGGACAATGTGCTGCCCTGACTTTTCCTCAGCAGCTACTGCTCTAACTGCTCTAACTGGAATGTTCTGTAATAGAAGTCAGTGGAGCACTGTTTGTTGTGCTGTGTGAATGGCCCAAGCTTCTTCCCACAAACATAGCTCACAGCACAGCAAGTGAGCTGACACTGCCCTCACAGCCGACTCAGGTCCCCCCCAAAGAGGACACAAGCCTTGGGATGAAGTCACAGGACCTGCTCACAACAGCAGAGAGGCTGCAGGTTCACCTTACCTGTGCTGCTTTGACAGGACCTTCTCCACTTTCCCTGACAGCACACTCCAGATGTAGAGTGAGCCCTCGGCCGAGCCTGCTGCCACGTAACTGCCATCTGGGCTGGAGAATACATGGTAAGGCAGAAAAGGTGTCAATACTGTGCCCACTCCCAGTTCCAGTCCTCATGGACCCCTTCCCCAAAGGTAATGTTTACTCTTCATTTATGAGTCAAACACATGCCCATTCCTGGCTGCCCAGAAATCACAGCATGCTATGCAGGCGGGACCATTACGGCCAAAGTCACTCCCTTCTCTTGCCCTGGCCTCGTGAGCTAAGGAAGAGTGGCGCCACCATATTGATTGTTGGGGCCCCAAGTCCCTTGGTTAGCTATGCTGACCATGGCTCAGATTCCAACACGGCTCGCAGGAAAACCAAAGCCGACCCCCAGATGGTAAAGAATTCCTCTCAGTCGATGAACTACCAGGTTACATGGTTCGGTTAAAGCAGGAAAGGAAGCAAAGGAGGAGGCACTGAATGTGGGGAAGTTTCTCCACGGTATGAGAAGTGGCCATGGTAATGGCTTGGGGAAAAGTTCCACGCACGGCAAAGGGAGAACTAGGAGAGAAAAGCTGCCCTCCTCAGCTGTCCAAGGGACTCTTCCACCCTCCCAGGAGGTCTCCCAGACTTCTTAAGCACATGTGTAGGTAGGTGAACCTACTGCTCCAGAACAAACTAACTGCCAATCATTATTTTTGGGTACAACACACTTATTGTCAAGTAATCACCTGAGGGACACTAGAAAGGAAGGAGCCAGTAACAGTGACCTCTAATGATGAACTTGAACTTGGAGGTTCACTCCTGCACACGCACTCATCAGGCTTAGGCACTGCACCAATCCAGCTCCTTTCCCCAGTGGGCAATGCCCTAGCTCTGTCATTTGAGATGACCCGAGTGGGTGGGTGGGGTGGGAGGAGGAACATCATTACTAACCTGAACACAACTCTAGTCCAGTCAGAGCCGCACTTGAACCCAGGAGCGCTGCAAGGAAGAAGGGCACCGTCAGCCAGCACACAGCCTCGGAGAGCTCGACAGGGAAGGGCCAGGCCACAGCTACTCTTGCGATCCTCAGAGATCCTGCAGGACTCAAGTGGCCCCCCCAACCCAGTGTGTCTCCAGTTACCTAAACGTCTGTCTGACTGCGTTTATTCGGAGATCAATAATTTTGAGCAGGTCATCACGGGAGCAGCTTAGGAGCTCAGTTCTCTCCGGGTTTAAGTCCAGGGCAGTAATCTTTCCCAACAGCTCCATCTCCCGGACAATACTCTCTGATCTAGAAGAGATGGAAAGTCTGAGGAAATGCAACATGGAAAGGCCATGGCTTCCCCATTTTAACCAGGATGCCGTGCCTTGGAGAAAGGCAGGGGAAAAAGCAGTTAACTAGAATGCACTACTTTTCAAGGGCAGTTACTGTGCTCCCAACCTTATAAAAATAACCTGACTCTAGAGTCTATGATAGTAGTTTGGAGTACTAGAACTCTGAATTTGATAATTATTTCCTTGCCCATTTTTGGAGTGACAGAATAACTGCCAATCAGAGCTTCTAACAAGCCTAAGCTAATAAGCAGGCTTATATCCAATAGTATTATTTCAATTATGTTACTTCTACATATCCCAAGGCACAAGGACTTGCATTAGTGGGCCTGGGCTGCCACAAGCGGACAAACACGTGTCCTCTCGCAGGCTCCCTGCATGAGGAAGCCCAGCTCGGTGATTCCAGACGTAGACCTGGGACTCCAGGGCAGGTACTACCCCAGGCAACTGTCTCTTCTTCCTTTTATTCTCCCAGTCCCCCTGCAGCCCCAGTCCACGCCCAGGTCTGTGAACAGCAATCCCGGGCAGGACCCTGCTGGGGACACAGCCAAAGGTGGTGCACACCCTCCTGCAGTCATGTTGGTGTCATTTTTCAATGAAATAATTTCCTACCTCAAACCATAGCTAAGTAAGAGTCTATCTTGTTGCTACGTAAGTGGCTGGAGGCAAGCCACTCCACTTCTTGGGATTCAGGGTTTTCATCTGTCAAATTAGTGGTGGAGGAGTACACTTTTTAACCTGCAGTTTAACTCTGAAATTCCATGTTGCAGATTCAAAAAAGTTAACCAAAGGTTATGAAGAAAAACCTGAAGTAGTGTCTAGGAGCCAGGAGTGTCGCACCAGGCCTGCCCAAGCATCACCTGTAAACACTGGGTCTTCACTCTGTAACTGCTGGGCAACTACGCATCTGCAGTCTGATCACGAGCACCTACACCACCTCACCAAACAGTCTGTCTGACCTTACTGGACTCCTCCTGCCACCTGACCCCTCTCCTTGCCCAAACTTGGTCCACCCACAGGACTCCAGCTTTCTTCCATCTCTGGCCACCCGTCCTTAGGCATCTCTCTAAGTGCTGCCCTCTGCTCGCTTAGTGTGTCTTTCAGCAATCTGTTCTTATGTCTTCAAAGCCCTCCCTTGACGACCTCTGATTTCCTCCCTAACCTCTCAAAAATTCTGCTTCTGATTTTTCCAAATGCCTACTTGAAACTATGAACTAACGTCCTTAATCTGAACACATTCTCTACACCCTCTTCCTAAAGTTGTCATTTCTTCTCATCTTGCTTTGCTTCTCCCCTCTCACCCTCCACATTCAACCTGTCCACAAGCCCAGTCAGAATTCCCCTAGATGGATTCCCTCCAGCCACGTCTTGCTCCACTGCTCTGAGTTTGATCCTTAGCAGCTGAGTTCCCTGCTGCCAAGCCACCCTTCAAACTCCCAGCGTAATTAATCTACTCAATTTATGCGGTGCAATCCTTGGCTAAGCAGCCAATGGCTGGTAAGATTTACAAGTGGGTAGGAGGCCCGGGGCACGAGGCCCCACCCACTCTGCTAGACTCATCTCCCCACAAGCTGGCCCTGTTCCAGCTATACCAGGTTGCCTGTTCCAGTCTCAAATGTCTTCGGGTGGCTCTGCTGGAATGTGAAGCCCACTCACCCCTCAGAACTAATATTGAGAGGCATTCTGTAACATCCTTGGACAAACGTGCCTGGCTCTACGCCAGCACACCGTACAGACATGTGTCTGTCTCTCCTCTTACATTTTAAACTACCTAGCAGTTCATCTTTGTTTACCTAGCAGCTAGTGAAGTGCCTCGTTAGTACACAGTACATGCTCATGACTGCTGATCAATGAAGAATATCAAGCTGTTAAGATACATGTGGATTAGAGCTCAATTCCACCATTTCCAGCGACTTAAAAAATACAGCCCATACACAAAACATCATCACGGCTCTACCTCATACAAACCCTCCCGGCTGCCTCCCTGTCAAGCTCTTAGGTATTATACCGGATGTCCCAGAAACGAATTTTCTTGTCAAAATGTCCACTCATCACACACTGCTCTGTGCAGACGATGTCATTGCAGCTGGATCCCGCAAACACTGTCTTTATGCCTGAAAGAACACGAGCATCAGGAGTCAAGCAGAGGCTCTTGGCAGCAGCGCGCATAACATTGCCCCCCTCATTCTGGGTGATCTGAACCGCTCATTTTAATGGAGCCTCAAACGTAAGAATGGTCACTACCTCAGCACCACTCTGAATATGAAACCGCCTTGCATCGCACTAAGCGCAGGCTTTGACGTGGAAACGAATGCCTCTGTGGTTAACGTCTAACGGTACATATACAGACAGAGAGACTGAATTTCCTCACAGACTTTGCTGCGTAGATCCCAGAGTTTGAGGGTACGGTCATGACTTCCGGAAACAATACGCGCATGGTCCAGCAGGAACTTGGCAGACAGCACTTTGCCACTGTGGCCGGTGAGTGTGTGCTAGGAGAGACAACACAGCCAGGGTAAGCCTCGGGGCGCCGTGCTAACAGCCAGGGGCAAACTGCCAGGGAGCCAGCTTCTCCCGGCACCCTGAGACCTGGTTGGGGCAGCTCAGAGACAAAAGGATGAGTAGCTTGGGGAAACACTTAGAAAGCTATCCTTGGGTTTGACCAGAAGTGAGGTGTCGAGAGAGGACGAATCTCCTGCCACAAATAACACATGAAGCAATACAACTCCCCTCACCCCAAAACAAAGCATTGTTAGTACAAACTTCACATGCCCCATCCTTAGAAAAAGGGGAGGGCAGTCAGAGGAGCTTTGAAATAAGGCCTATTGAGATACCTGCCAGGACTGTTCTTGCAACTTTTGTAAGTTTGGACTCTTAACAAATTACAAAATTTTAAAAGCCTGGATTTTACCCAGTCCCTCTGGAAGTCAACTTCCTATCTAAAGTCAGAACAAACAGGTTCCCTCTGGGCATAGTTTACAAAAGGAAACATCAGGTCTCCTTAATAAACAATTAAAATCCCTGTAGATATTTAAATTGGAGGGCTCAGCTTGAAATGTCAGATCATAACTACAGATCCAGCACTCCCAACCATCAAATCCCTCTGAGAGCAGCTGCAGGATGCCAATAACAGTCTTCACTGAACTTACCAAAGGAACACAGGCCTGGGACACCATGGGTGTCAGCTGCCCCTCTATCCACCACCCCACTACTGGAGCTGGACAGCAGTGATGGGAGGCAGCTGGGGATGCTGAGCATGCAGGGAGGTGAGCTGGGGAATCAGCCCTTTCGCCACTCAACATTGACCTTTTTAATGCCCATCCACTTGTTTATAAGCGCAAAACCCTCAAAGGTTCAGAAGGTATTTGCTGACTTTTTCCCCCTCACTAAAAAAAAAAAAAAGTACCTGTTAAAAACCCTAATATACTTATTAGTAAAACTGCTACCTTACTGGGTACCTGCCCTGACTCCCAAAGATGAGACCTCATAGGTTAGTGGTAAGTTTTTGGAAATCAATCTTTCTTCTGCACTCAGTAAAACAGAGAACTCAGGGCCATATGTATGTACAAGGGAGACGTCTGCATGGATTCTAACCCTCATTTCTCCCACACTGACAGCTCTGGAGGCACACCTTACATCTGCTGCCAGCCAGGTGGCAGCTGGGCTGAAGCTGTGCAAAAACCTCCCACGGATCCTTCTGGTAGACCTAAAAGTCCAGCAGCAAAGCTCACATTAAATGCAGTTCGGGAATAATGGTTCCATTCGGTATAAATCATCCAGTACGTACAACTCGTAAGGAGGGACAGAAAACTTGGGGCAGGCACTTCCCATGCTTATTAAATTAAGCTCTTAATAAAGAGCTACTTCATTAAAAAGTTAAATGTTTTCTGCACATGCACTGTTTTCTTTCTTACTACAAAGTGAAATCACATTTCACAAACACAGGGAGGAAAAGACATTGCCCATAAATGGGCTATGCAAATGGAATCATTTTTGCATACTCAAAATGCAAATAGTATCTTCAAATATTTCATGTGAGAATACTCCCAAAAATATATCCGCTGCTCTTTCAACATTATAGCATAAGCAGTTTTTCACATGATCACTGAAAATGCACAGGATATGGGGTCACAGTGATTTGGCTCTAACACCTGAGTTCTGACATATGTGAGACTGATCTCACACCGTTTTAGCAAGGACAAAAACAAGGTCACTGTGCACAGGCACACGGTTAAGAGGTTAATTCTTTTCCTTCAGCACCCCCTTTGATTCTTCGTAACTACTTTATCAAGTGGTGAGATAACAATTGAACTGAAATTTCGTTGGCCAGTGGACACCTATGAGCATATGGCTTTCTCTTATTTCCTCGAATGAAACTACTGGACTAACAAATAAAGGAAAAGGGACATTTTATTTCCTAGCTCTTTATACATATTATTAGCTTGCTTTTTTAAAAGTCTGGACTTCTACTAACATTGTTCTTGGGGGAAACCTGGATGGGTCTGCCTGAGGCCCACTGGCTCCATCCCCATGCTCTCAGCGGTCCAGAATTCTGCCTCATACAAGCACTCACTTTTACCATTGAAAAAGTCCTGTTTAAGTGGTTCAGATTTACTAAAATTCTTTTACCCATTCAGTGTTACTGCTATTTATTTTTAATATTTAATTTAAACCTACTTTTAGGTTTTATCTTCCTCTTTTAAGCAGGGACTCAGAGATGGGGGGGTGGGGGGGGTTGGGATTTCACAGTAGCCCAAGCCTCCAAACCAGGAGGCTTAGGGTTCTCTTCTCTAGGGCTCTGAACAGGCTCCCTGGGCTGCAGGGCAGGCCCTGAGAGCCTTCCACAAAGCAGGCAGCCACATTAACACCAACCAAAGGCAAGTGACCCCAGAAAAACAGAAAACAGAGAACTTGATGAGGAACTTTCTGAAATAAACACCACGGCCTGAAAGCCAGTCCTTACTCTCTGGCCACTTCTCCCTGTCACCGTTAGAAAGATGAGAGCAGGGCAGGTTCTGCAGCCCAGTTCCTCAAGCCATGCCTTAGAGAGCAGCCAGGCAGTTCTGCACTGACCTTCCAGGTGTTTACGGATGTCTACTACCCCTGGTACTGAGGGAGCCCTCTGTAACAACTTCCTCAACACCAGGCTACTTCAAGGATACCTTTTTGGAAAGGATTTTAAAGCCAGCACTCAACCAGCTGCTCCTTACATTCACTCTGGCCACTTCTCCCTGTCACCGTTAGAAAGATGAGAGCAGGGCAGGTTCTGCAGCCCAGTTCCTCAAGCCATGCCTTAGAGAGCAGCCAGGCAGTTCTGCACTGACCTTCCAGGTGTTTACGGATGTCTACTACCCCTGGTACTGAGGGAGCCCTCTGTAACAACTTCCTCAACACCAGGCTACTTCAAGGATACCTTTTTGGAAAGGATTTTAAAGCCAGCACTCAACCAGCTGCTCCTTACATTCTGGTCTCTCCCAACACCATTCCCCTATCAGAAAAGCTGAAAGGAGACACAGACCAAGGCTTGGATCTTGAGTTTTAGAACATGAATGTTCATTCATATCCTCTGTTAGTTAGGGTCCCAGTAGAAGCCACAGTCTCCTACAAAAGGGAGCCTACTTACTTCCCAGACCCTGGTAGGAGTTTCACGTGGGTTCAGAGAACCTGTAAAAAAAAGGCCTTGGTATCTTTCACACATTTACTAAGGGACAGGACATGGCTATTAGCAGCCCACAGTCCTCAAAGCCAGCTAGTCCAGCAGAGGCTGTAGCCCTGGCACCCCCAACTTGTCAGCACCCACAGCCCAAGCTTGATGCTCCAGTGCCTGAGCCCATCCTCTCCAATGAAACTCAGCCCATCTTTGCTCATATGAAAAGTGTTTCCCAACATTATGACCTGTCTTCCAGATCTACCCCCTGCCTCCAACTCGCCATTCTTGTTATTTCAGACCCAAAGGCTGATGCCTGCCTGTACAGAACTCTTGTACCAATTCAAAATGACCAGCCTGCACAACTGCTGGCCCCCTCCTTGCTTTCTTCCTTCGGGAGTCTAAACAGTAAGGAAGGCTAGATGCTCCTCTTCAGCAGTTAGAGTTTTGCTATATCTCAGTCTAGAATAAGCCAGGCCGACTGAACAAAGGAAAGAGCACAGGCCTCAATTCCAATATTTTATTCATCAACTATGTGGCCTTAGGCATTTGGGGGGGGCTTATTTGAGCCTTGGTTTTCTCATCTACTGACCTCACCTGGTTCCCCCTGAGGATTAAAAGCAGTAATGTATATAACATACCTTGAATCTATGTCTAACACATACAAGCCACTCAAGAAAAGTCCCTTCAGGCAAAGTAATGATTACAGAAGTGTTCAACCCCTTCTTACAAGTCCAGTAATCAAAGGGTGGTTATACAGAGTATGACATCGCACGGGACGGATTACTGCGCTGTCATGAGGGCAGACTAGGCTATCTTTTCCATGTTTAGAATACAAAACTATTGTGCTCCAACTGAAAACTCACTGGAGCATTTGAACAGATGTGACTTGCTTGAGGAAAGAGTCTGGCCCTGCCTGCAGGCATCCAGCAGGCCCCCTTCCTGCTCCTCTGCGGCTACAAGACCAAGGCCCGTGCCTTGGCTTTCACACGAGAACATAACCTCTGTCATCTTCTCGTCTCATACTTTGCATGTGTAACCCTGGATGTTCTTTCCATTACGAATCAAGAGTTACTGCCCTTTAGCTACTGGCTAGCTTCTAATACTGGTTATTTTCTGTAAAATTTCCAAGAAAATGGAAAGCCTGAATGGCAACTAAACTGTTTCTAAAGATCCTTCTAGCTCCATCTCTGCATCATCAAATCGGATGCAGAGCCACCCACGGACCAGTCTACTGCAGCTTCCACCTCCCTAGACATTTACCTTGCAGAAGTTCATCTCACCATCATGCCCTCTGCTTTTCATGGGGGCTGACACACAAAAGCTTGTGTCAAACCATTTTTGGGTAAAATGCCTACTTCTGCCAAGTTCATCCTCCCTCTTCTCTCTCAGGAGTCTTCATTTAATAAGTTCATGTGAACACTGCTTCAACTTTAAGGAGAAAAACAGATCTTTGTATGTTTTTCATTAGAACAAAAGTGATATGACCATCAAGTTTTGGTCTTTGGGTGCTAAGAGACTACTCGGCAAGTCTGGGTTCAAACGCAGCTTTCTACAACATCTGACCCCATTATTCTCCCTTTCCCACATACCCATCTCCTAACTTCCATGGCATCAGAGTTGTTTTGTCTCTATCCTAAGTGCATCCATATGTATTTCTATATCCTACTTTCCAACTATACTCTGAGGTATAGTTCTTTATGAGGCTGTAAGACAGCCCATAAAGAACAATTTATATGATGGGGTTAAGACTGCTGAAGTTAAGCTGAAACTGACACCTTCCAAAAATATTTAGTTCTTATGAACAAGAATATCCCAAGTCTTTCATGGAAATGTGATAGTTTTCTACTACAAATATTTTGAAACTGAACCCTGAACAAGGTAAGAATGTGAAGTGGAAACCCCTATATTCCCAAGGAGGAAAGGGCAGGGGGAATCAAATGAGATTTTGACGAAAATGTACACAATTCTCCTAATTAATCAGCCTGCCATTTCCTACACTTTGTGCCTTGATAACCACAGTAAGTCTGAAGATGATATTTTCTTAACTAGGTCTTACCCGTAACCGATAATCATCCACAGTCCAGATTCGGCTTGCAAAATCATTTGAAGCTGCTAAGAGGTAAGATCCCTATACGAATAAAGAGGGTGGGGAGGATTGACAAATTTTAGCCAAAATAGGAGAATTCAGTTCACACAGTCAAACTCCCCAATATTCAAGTCAGAGAAGATTTGGATGCCTAAAGCTACACGCCTAATACGAATACCCACCGTTAGCACCAGTAAACTGTCCACTCACCAATGCCGTTAAGTTCAGACAGTTTTCCTGAGCTGGCTCAGTCTCACCTGAATGTTGGAGCCTTCCAACTCAAAATGGAACTCATCTTGCAGTGTTTACTAGCCCCTGCCACCTTCAGTAACAGTAAGTACTAATTGTACACTGTCCAAGTCAGAGAGCTGGGAGGCACAGACTCACCCCTTGCCTGACTCCCCAATTACTCCCTTCAGAGCTCTGCTCATCTCTGATGCATCTAGTTAGACCCCCTCCTGTCACCTGCACTGCCTTAGCCCCAAGGGGGCCTTAACAAGTCTGCAGAGAGACACTGGCTGGCTGGCTGGGTTACCGCAGACCTGCCTTCCCAACACAGTCTCAGCACAGAATTTATAATCTACCTGCGTTTTCTAATATTGATTTAAAATAGAGAATAGCAGCAAGACCAGGTAAGTTATTTTAAAATTTCAAGAACCAAATGTCTCAAAACTACTTCTAAAAATCTCTTAACCTATTTGCATGGATACAATACTTACAGCACTATCAAATTCAATGCTTGTAATTCCTGCATTACTGCCGGAGAGGGAACCCTTGAACTCACATTTGTCTAGATAAAAGAAAGATTAAGGAAAGAAAAGAAGGAAAAAACCAATACATGTGTTAAAACTGGGCACCTGAGACATGGTGGAAGACAATTACATCTCAGAGCAGCAGCTTCCCTGGGTCTTAACAGAATCAACAGCAGGACAAACAGAACAATGAGACAAATAAACCATTAGTCAGTTTCTAAGAGCAATGAATGTGCAAGTCGCCACAGAGCCCAGCACGGTGCATGGGTCTCTAAGCTGTTCTTTTCAAGAAATTCCGTAATTGACTCCCTTTACTAAGAGATAAGTGCAGGAATTTAAAAATCCTGTCAACTGACCTAGAGATTGAGTTTTAGTTCTGTCATTTCTCAGTGAAATGCCCTAATGCATAAATGCATCTTTGGGTTTGATCAGTATTTGTGCCAAAGTAACCATCACTTCAGTAGATCTTGACCATTAAATTTTCAGAATCCAAGGTATGATAGTTCTCATTAAGGTCTGAAAAGAAATTTTTTTTTTAAAGTTACATAGCTGACTAGTCATTAGAATACCAGTAAACCTCGTTTGGAGTTTCTGGAAGTTTTTCTTACACTTGCTCTACCTCCACACGTTTCTGATTCTGGCTATCCAACTGTGCCAGTGCTCCCCTCCGCTCCCCAGGCTCCCTCCCCACCAGTCCCAGACACATGCTCCTGGACTGCTTTCAGATGGCTTTGGCGACCTACATGGAAACTTCATGAGGCAGGCACAAACTCAGAAGAGCACAAGTCTCAATGATGACGTGGCTAAGCTCCTTTTAAAAAGGGCAGCTTAAGGATGACCTATATGTACATGCAAGGAAGACAAGGAAGCATTCAGATCGAATTTGTAAAAGGGGAGCACAAAACAGGAAGCATTTCACGGAACAGCCTTTTGTCTTAATACTTCCAAACAGTAGTAAGATTAGATCTTTATAGACAAAAATATTACTGTAAATTCTAAGAAATATTCCTGGCTTATGCTCAAAATACTGGTCTATTTGTTTGGCAGTTAACACAGTGCCAAAATGTAAGAAATGATTGGTAAATGCTCTTCTACACAAGAGACTGACCTCAAATGACAAAAGACCTCACCAAAGCTTTGTTATCTAGAAGGCGGGCAGCGGGGAGGCTAAACCAACAGCACTTACATAAGGAACTCCCAATGCAGCCCTTGCTTTTGCTAGAATGAGCAAGAACAGGTGTTCCTACTGGGTAGAAAGTGCTAATCTTCTGTTATTTTAAAAGAGTAATAAACAGAGCTCTCAAACTCTTTCATAAAAGTCCTCTTGGACTTTGTCTCTTCCAAGATTCAGTAAGTATAAGCCAAGGGGAGAAAAACTGCAGACTGAATAAGCTGTTTACAGAAGAAAGGTCTTATAATAATTAGGACATGACTGATACTTGTTCCTGAAAACTATTTAAAAATGCTGCCAAGTCTGTTATTTCTGTAAAGCCAGTAGAAACTCTTCATCTTTTTAATACAAATATGTCAATATTAATTTTGTTTACTTCCTCTTCAGCAGCAAAAAGGCAGCACTGTTACTAATGGCTGGTTCTCTCTTAATTTTCTTAGGTGTTTTTACTGACAACGGAGTAAAACAAAAATATTTCTCATTTTTGTTTAATCACAAGGCATAATCAAAACAAGACTACCTGTTTAAACTTTAAAAACCAAATCTCATAAAATTTCTCTTGATATGGTTTATCGTTTATAACAGTTTCAGCAATAATCATTCATAGGGTGTTTCTGGGTAAAGGAGTACAAAGTTTACTGGGCTTCAACTACTGTAACTGCCAGGGATTTAGCTGAGTCATTTTCCTGAAAACCAAAGGCCAGGGCAGAAAAGTTCATTGCTTTACTGGTCATCTGTTCTAACCAAGTGGACCAACAGACTCTTTGGCTTCAACCGTATCAGAAGCAGTAGCCCATGCTGCTCAAGGAGCTGAGAGGAGGCTGTGGTAGAAAGAACAAGGGATTTGCAGTCAGAAGACCTGGATTGGGTCTTGGGTCCACTACTCTCTTGACATGTGTATCATTTACTAACCATGTAAATCAACTACATAAATCAAGTACTGTCTCTGAGTTTTCATGTTTTCATCTGTCAAACAGGGTAGATACTCACCTTTCTAAGTGGACCAGGCTACTATGAGGATCAAAGGAAATTACACAAAGGCACATTGTGCTCTTTATCACTGGACAGTGAGCATGTATGTATGCGCTCCAACTATGGAAACTTGACAAAATGGTTCCTGATAAAAGCCTACAGCCTTATTCTTTGACCTTTACTTAAAAATGCATGTAAATTTAACTGAATCTCAAAAAGTTGAAATTGAGCTATCCTCAGCTTCAGAAAGAAGAGATGGTTTTATTAACTCCTGTGCACTGTTTTCACGCCATCCATTTCTGAGTACTCCGAGGTCTCTTCTGAAACAAGGCGTAACCAAAGAGACTTGAGTTCTGATCTTAGGGCCCTTGTCTGATAAGCTGCTTGTTAAATACATTTTTCCAAGGTGATACATCCCACTCACAACTGTGAAGTGTAACTGAGATGGTAATAATACTTTGGTCCAATGATTTCCTACATAAAATGCCATGTGTTTTGTGAAGAACGATTTGAAGACTGCCTGAAAGTAAGGTCAACCAGCTGTCCCAAAACAGCTTCTTTCTGTTTACACCAGTAAGATCTCACCTCCAAACACTTCCCAAAGCTTAACCCTCCGATCTATGCCTCCTGTGGCCAGCAGCCGGGACCCCGGACTGAACTGCACAGCATTGACTTCTCCGTCGTGAGCATCCTGCAAGACAAGCATCCTGCCTCAAATCCAGTCACTGTCAACCCCAAGAAGAGTGAGCCTGATACAAATGGACACTCTGGACACCCAACCAAAGGTCAAACACTCACCCTTAAAGTGGGGATCAAATCATAAATGAACTTGGATCCCTTGTCCAGGGTCTCCTCAGATTCTATTATTTTATTCTCACAGATACAGTTCCATTTATTTAAACCACTTAAAAAGATTCAAAATCTATTTAGACTTAACTGCCTAAAATTTGTCTTTGCATTGATTTTATTTCTTTGTGAGAATGAAATTTCAATCTATATTCTATAATCTTAATGGCTTAAAAGTAAGTCTATGATTAAGTGCCTCTCTTTTGGCCCAGATTGCATTACTATTACGTATTAAACTCTTTATCTAATTAGCATATGACATTGTTTTTCATTGTAGAGAAGGTACTATGGCTTTCTTAGTATGAGTCTCCCCTAATATGGAGTCCTGATATGAGCAGATGCTGGCCCTACCGCTACACATCAGTGTTACAGTGGGATTCTATGTAGTTCTTTCTGGAAGCAATACGGACTAATGCGTACTAGCAGCGTGGACTCTGCCAAGTTTCTTAACTTCCCGAAGCCTCGGTTTGCTCATCTGTAGAAAAGGCCTTCTGCGGGTATTAGGACCTCAGCCTGTGCCTCACCTTGAGCAGGCCTTCAATAAAAGTAGCACCTATTTTGGGGGGAGAATTTAAATTCTTCATTCATAGGGAAATTCTGGAGACTGGCATCCACACTACAATAATAGGATCTGAAAACATGGCATCTTTTTTGTGCTCAGGATGAGAAGGGAAACCAAGTTAAAAGCCTCCCATCCTAGAATGGGAAGAGCGACTGCCATAAGATGTCACTATGATCTACTCTGCTAAAAGAGTATGGAAATATTTATGGAAGAACTATGATGGCTTTGCTTTAAACTGCTCCAGCAAAAGCGAGTGGGGGACAGAGATAGTAAGACTGGCAAATGTGGCTAACCGAAGCTGCCTGACAAGATGACAGTCCCTGGAAGCTCTTTCTTACACTCTCCACTTCTGCCTGTGTTTTTGAAATGTTCCATTAAAAAAAAAAAAAATTACTGTGTAAAATGTGGATTGTGTTAGATCAAAGGTCATTTGTGAAGACAAAATCTGATCTTCACATTTGCTTGGGACTGAAGAAGATGCCTAAACTGAGCCATGACTCCACACTGACTAGGACAGAAACTTCACTTATTACGTTGCTTGGTGACCTGATGCCCCACCCCTCTTGTGTCCTACTGCTGAAAGGCTATGACAGGTGACCAAACCTTTTATCTCCATGCAACTTCCTCCCTCTTCTGTTTATGCTATCTTTCTACTGAGGAGGTCTCAGATTGAAAACTTGAGATCATGCACCATCACATCCACAGCTGCCACTCGTCAATCTCCTGCACAGCTGGTTCTGTTGGATATTTGTCGGCTGTGAACCGTTCTCTCTCAGGAACACACACTGACAGAATCCCAAATTATCAGCTGCTCCATTACCCCATACACATGACTTAAATGTGATAGGAGGAAAAGATGGGCTGCTGGGAGTTGAGGGCAAGGAAGGGGCTGTGAGATTAAGTGCAATCAGACCTTTTACCAATCATCATTGACCTCCGTGTGGTGCCCCGGCCTGGCAGGGAATCACAGGAGTGGACTGGGAATGGGAAGGTGCCTTCCTGGCTCCCCCATCCCACTCCTCATCCAGAGCAGGACTGTCTTTACAACATCCAAGGGCGTTAATCGCTCAGCCAGTTCATTGTGTGGAAATAAGTAACTATTAAGAAAGTTCCTCCTGTCTGGAACTAAAACTCTGCCCATCTAAAGGCCACTACATTTTCGGTGAGTCTCCTTGAAAGTTGGCTCCTTTTAACTAATCCCACAATCTAAGAGTCAGCCCGCTATACAGGTGATACTTTTTCTGCTTTGCCCTTCCACACCCCCATCCCCCACTTGCTAGCCCTGAGCCAACTGCCCTATATTTCCCAGGCTGGTTCAATTTCTGCTCCATCAGCCCAGTGGGGACCTGACTATTCCTTACTCCAAGGACCCAGCTCTGAACTCCAGCCGACAGCCTCAGTATCACAGTGGCCTCTGCCCTAAACTGTCTTGTTTCCAACCATGTGCTCCTAACGGTCAGAAGTCACACAGATATGGGTATGAATCACAAAGCCAACAGGTACCCTCCTGACATTCCTGACTAGACAATTGCTTTAAACAGCAGTCAACTATGGAGAACAACTCTGTCAACTATTCTGATTTCTCACCACCCTAATGAGTTTTCTTTGGCCTCATCCCTCACGCTATCAATCCTTTCTCTCAGCCAACCCTGTATTACAGAGGATGGCTGTAATAAATTCTGTCCCCTGAAACGAAGCAAAATGTACAAATCCCTTCCATCAGAGCCAACAGTTATAAAAGCTTAATATAAATAAAATAATAGAAAGCTTAGCTGCAGCAGGATAAAGGATCCTTTAGTTAAAGGTCAGGCTCTGTTACCACACAAAGCTTGGTGGGGCTTGGGGAGAAACCATACTTACAAAGACATACAAGGCAGCTGTTGGCACCCTCACTTCTTTACTAGAACCAGGATGGGTATCCACATTTTCCTGGGGAACTGGAAATGAAGAGACAGAACGCCTCCTAAGAAGTAACATAAACCAAAATATTAGGACTGCACAAGGCTTCCTGTCCATCAAATGCTCAGAAGGGCTTCAACGACAACTTCTGTCAATAGCTTCTTTTCCCTTGCAGACCCTGCAAACCACAGAAGGATTCTCAATGACTCATCTGCACTCAAACGACAACTGCAAGCTAGTCAGCGCACACACCGGTGCTCTCCTGCTTGCCAACTCATGCACTCTAAAACTCAACGCTGAAATGAGATCCTGAACAAGTGCTTCCCCAATCTGTAACTGCTAAAAACACTTTCAACTAAATGTCCTGCTACCTCAGTGGGAGCTCACTTATATTTTCATAAACTATTTTAAAGTGACTTCAATGCCTAATTACAATCATCCTCAGCATATGCTCGTAGGCAAGGCGGAGTCAAACACATGCCAAAAGAAGGGTGACAAGAGCGTGATTACTGGACAAGAGCTCCACCTAACAGCCGGCGTAGAGGGTTAATGTAACGGCATTCCTAGGAGCATGCAATGTCCCGTCAGCACAGGTACAGCTCATGATTTGGGGAAGTGATGCGGTGATCAGCACGGTTATCAATGACCCACACTCACATGCTGGGTTGAGAGAGGAGAGTATTTTCACCTGGCAGCATCAGAAGAGTGATGTCTCAAAAGGGGAGACTCGGACAGACTAAAGGGTAAGGCCAGATATCAGCACGCAGCGAGATTAAGAGAAAGGAAATTGAGGAAAAAAGGAAGAAGCTAAATGAAAAGCTGAAATTAAGGCATCCGTGTACTCTGCACAACTGAAATTCTGGTGTTCACTTAAAAAGGAAAATACATCATGTACATATACTTAGGTATATTTATACACACATTAATAAGGAAGGGTGAAAGTTTTCTAACCTACCCAAAGATATTAGTGATAGAATCCAGAAGGCCTCCAGCAGGCTGCGAGAGTCGCTTACTAAAGAGGAGGGGAGGATAGGTTTAAACCTTAGAAACATTTTGCCCAAATAATCAATCAATAAAAACAGCCCATAAAAATAGGTACCTGGGAGTATGAGTTCCATTGAGTTCCCAAATCCCAGCCAAGAAACCCCTCATAGTATGGAACCACCAGAAAACAGTGGGAAGACAGGAGGGAGACCCAGCCTTCAGAGTTTTACAGGAAACACGTTGTCTTGTATTAAATTAACTCCCCTGGAAATAACGCTTCAGGTTAAACTGTCTAGCTATGCCAATAATGTCTGGCTGTTAATAATAATCCCCATTCTTTTACTCCTGCTTTAGCAAATGAAACACATCCTGGAGCCCAAGTAAGAATTAAACAGTATGATCTAAACCAGCACCCCGCCTAACCAGGTTTAGCTGTCCATCTTCCAGAAAGGCACTTTTTTCTGCTTCCCTTCACAGCTAGTGGCAGCACTCTTCTGGAGCTCACCTCCCATTCCTAAGAGGTGACCTGAGAGACAGGGACACTCAGGAGCCCACAAACTCTACAACTGTGCAAGGGGGGCCGGATGTTCTAGCGAGGGGTCTGGGAACATGGGAGACTGCTTTTCTTTTGTAGTCATGGATGTGCTCTGTCAAACTGTGACAAACTCTCTCAAGCTCTCCTTTCTTGGCCTGACCTGCCTACTTACGTGGCCCCTCTGCTGATAGCTCGCACAGGAGAGGTCTCCTCAGCGTGATCAGAGGTGTCATCCACAATGACTTCAATGTCATCATCCCTGGAAAGAAGGGCAAGAGGCCAGGTCTTTGATTCTGCTAAAGAGGAGCTTTGTGAGGAGTCTGTTCTGCCAACGTCAACACCATGTCCTGGTCACACAGCCTGTGTGACTTGGCTGCGACACTGATGGTTAAGGGTTCTCTGAAGAAAAAGGAGCTGCTGTGCTCTGAACAGTACTAAAAGAAACATTTAACCTGTTCATTTCAAATCCTGACTTCCAAATGAAAATAATTTTAAAAGAAAGTTTTTGATCCTTTCAGATATAAACAGTTCCCACTTGGAAAGCAGTATAATGGCTTATTAAGTCTACAACCCGGCAGATTCTTTCCACCAGAAGTCTGGTTCCTGCACACGCACAATTGGACTGCAGCACTCACCAATAAACAGCCCCTCTGAGACAGGATGAGTGGCACAAAGGGTAGTTAGGGGCACCTACACAGTTCAAGGACATGACAGTGTTGGGAGAAGATCCCAGTGAGTAAGAACAGGGGCTGCTATACGGGCAATGCAATAAATAGTTGCATTAACACCTCGGCTTTAAATACTACTTGGATAATAACAGGAAAGCAAAATATAGGCACAATTCATTCTTGACTCTGGGTATTTTATGCTTAAACACTTGGTGCTGCTGACACTTGGCGTGTCCATCACATTTCACAGGGAATAATCCAGCTGTTGAACACGCTCTGGTGCTGTTGTCTGGGATTCCCCTTCCTCCCTGTTTTTCTGGTTGAAGGGAAGGTATGTAATTATTTTTGTCTTAATGATCTCCTACAGAGTTACAATCCTCATGGAGAAGTAAAATAATGAAATACAAGAACCTAAGACTTCACCACCTAATGTCTGGACTCCTAAGAACTTGAAGGAAGATTTTTCCATGATTATCTGGATTATGTAAATATATGCTTCAGAACTGGTTACCAAGGAAGTTAAACCAGATCAAAGTAAATTTATTTTTTCCCTTGCTATTGATTCTAGGATTCCATGTAACTAAACCCAGCCTTGGCCAGGATGTAAAAGAGAACAAAGGCAGGCCTGAAAAAGAGAACAAGGCTGGGCTTTCTTCTCATATGTGGTTTGGGGGAGTCACTTGTGTTCACACAAGGGTGACAACAGAACAGCAGACATGGCAAGAATAGCAAACATGGTCTAAGCCTATGAAAACACTTTAGGGTAGAATTCTACAGTCACCAAGGTATGTGGAACTGGGCAAAAAAGGCCCAGAGCCACAAGAAAACACCGTGATTTGGCAACTGGTTATCAAAACTCTTCAAAGATGTAAGATATAAGGTGTCCTTTACTGTTGGACACCCCTAGGTCTGCACTCTAACTTAGACCCTTCCTGCAATCCGGACAGGATGCTCGGCCTGCCTAAATCATGTTATACCTAGTCATCTGTTTATGTGGGAAAATAGGAAGACAAATGATGCTTTTGTGAGCTGTTATTTTTAAAGGAACAAAATCTCACTTCTAAGGCAATTATTTATTTACCTTGTAGTTGGGGAAAAATACATCCAAGATTCATTTTTCACATCTGAATACAGAAAAAAATGTACATATTCTACATCAAAAGCAAAATCTTGGTATGAGAACCTTTGTTTTCTTGTAAATTAAGACCTCTGGTAGATGACTCATAACTAAATTTAAATCACTCTCCTCCATTTCTAAGGAAGCGATCAACATTTTTAAAAAACTGTAGGTTATAATTCTAATATTATACTCCAGGATATATTTCAACAGAAAAAAAAAGAAAACACATCCTGACTACAGGTACAGAGGGAATTTAGTCATTAAACTATCCAGCACTCTTACAGCTTCAAATCTCAGGAAAGATCCTTTACTCCACCTCCAGATTAGGAAAGTTCCAGGCTGATACCTTTTGTGCAAAGAGAGACCCTAGATTTCACTTATGCTTCAAAGGTTTACCCAAACCTCCACTTAAAGGCACAAACCAAGAAGGGAGTAGAAGAAAAAACCCCAGCCCAGCATTAACACTGCAACAGCTCCAATTAGGGGTAGAAACACACAAATGTGCCACCAGGAATCAGCAAGGCTGTCCTCTGTTAAGGATGCAGGAAGTCAGCATTCACACTCACAGGTGAGGGCTCTAAACTGCAACAACTTCCTGGGAGGTAATGGGTGTTTTCTAATTTTTTCCCTTAAATCTTTGTTTTCTTTCTATAATCTGTAAGGTGTTTTATGGAATTCAAAACATTATAAAACTATTTACACAGAGCTGATCAAATTTTTAAGGACACAATTTTGATTCATGTATCTCTACTCACTGTTCAGCTGGTAGAGGCTCCTTCGCTGCTTCTGCAAGCTCTTTCTGCAGCCGGGCCTGCCGCCTCCTATTTTTTGAAAAAAAGGCCTCTATTTATGTTTGCTTCAAGAAAGCGCGGGGTTTTGGCTTTCAGTGAACTCCTAGCTCTAATGATGCCTTTGGGTATCAGTGCATTAAAGTCACAACTGCCCCTGGGCAAAGACCCCAATGTCCCAAACGCACACCAGTAACACCCCTAAGGATCCCCGTTACAAAGGATCTCAGAGTAAAGCCTGGAAGAGGGCTTACACTATTAGAGAAAGCAGTGAATCGGCAAGGGAAAAGCCTGCCTGTGGGGACCCAGGACCTCTCAGGGCAAAAAGACCAATCGAATGTATCCAGGGTTAGTCATGGCTGAGACTGTTTCCTGCAGCAAACTGTCTTACACTAACATACCAAGAGCGTGAATGGTAATCATTATGATTTACTTAGAATTACCTGTGTCTGGTTTGGTTTATTATTTTAAAAGTTTTAACTCACTTAATCCTTCTAACAATGCTTTGAGGTTAAGTACTATTATTCCCAGTTTACAGATGAGGAAACTCAAGTACAGTAAGATTGCTGAACTGTCAAACTGTACACAGCTTCAACTTACTAGGGTTGGACACAGCAGTCCCAGCCATGGCAAAATTTAACATGGCCAACAGTGGCATTCACTCTCCCAAAAAACAACTTCTATCTCTCCTTTCCAGGCCCCGAAGTCAGGAGCTCCCCAATATTTATTTATCCTTGGCCTCATTCTCTTTTCCAAGGCAATTCCACCTCTGGTAGAGGTCTTACTCCCTAGGAGGACCCCCAACCCAGAACTCTAGCCCTGATACTGAGCAACAGTCAAGACCTTGGCTGGAGTTTTTTGTAAGGCTTGTACCATACTGATAACTCTCAAAATAGGGGAAAGGTCTCTAGGTGGATGGGATGAGGTTGTAGCTTAAGAAGTGCAATACACTCTTGAATTATACATATGCTGAGAGGATGAAAAGTTTTACTGAACAAACAAAACTTTTTTTAGCTGGAATAGATGACCTATATATTGCCTTTGAGGGAAAACCTCCATCCGCGAGTGAGATAACACTCCTCTAGAAGAGGCACTAGGGGACAAGGAGAGAATAAAGGACAGATGCAGAGTCCCAGGAAGAAGACACCCACAGCTCAACCTTCATTAGAACAGCCAGTAGGAAATGTCCTTTCCCAACAGTTCACATATTCCCGAGCACCCCTTAAGCGCAGCCACCGGGCCTGACCGTGGGGCCTACCTCAGTCCAGAAGGGAGGCGGAACCCGACAGTGTGCTACACTGAAACCCAGGTCAGCAAAGCTGCCAGAAAGAAGACGACATCTGATCTGGGGGACTGGCAGGAAGCAGGGGAAAACGTCTGAGGAGGAGGAACTATCTGAATAACTTCATTAAGCAAGGCCGTTCTATCCTCTGTGTCCACTGTGATGACCAAGGGCTCCTCCGTGGTGCAACCGCACAGCTGCCCGGTTCTCCCTCAAGCAGGCGTTCAACGCACAGCCTAACGACTTTCAGGAACCCTGATGTCTTACACCCTTAAGCTGCCCCAGAACCCCACAGCGTAAGTCAAGCTATTTTACGTAAGCATGAGACAAACAGAATAAAAAAGAACAGCTCATTTTTTTAAATAGAAGAAACTTAAAGTTAGAAAATATAAACTATAAATGAGAAACCAAACCACGAAATCTCACCACCCAGAAATAAATACTATTCATTCCTTTTAATACGATTCATTCAAAATTTGGATCATGCATACATCACCAGGTTTTATGTCCTACTTTCATTTATGCTAATTTCATGCATTTTCTCATGTCACTAAGTATTTTTAAATGACTGTAAAATCCCACTGTATGAAAATACCACAATTTATTTACTCCCTGAGGAATATACTGCTTCTAATTTTTCACTCCTTTGAATAATGTGCTATCACAAAACCATATCTGTGAACAAATCTCATCACTTTCTTAGGATAAAGTCCAACAAGTGGGAACAATTTTCAGGCTCCTGGTTATGCCCTTCAGGCTGCAGGATGGGCTTTCCATCAGCAACGTGAGTGGCCCTCCCCATCTGCCTCCCGACAGCCCTTCATGCCAGGTTTACTGACCGCATCTATTTCTCTACACTACTGCCTACCCTTCAGGTCCTCCGAGGGCTCACCTACTCCTCACTGACTCTGTATTAAGGCGATTTGTTTTGTAATAGCACATCCCAGTTGACTGTTAGAGTATTCTTTGGTTTTAATAAACCTCAAAATGTTACACAGTCCTTTCCTTTTTTCCATTACTTTCAATGTTTAGAAAGTCCTCTAATACTCCTGTTTAGGAATTTTTCATAAAATAAATAGCAGATAGTCACATTTTTTACTTCTACCACATGACTTCAATTTTTAAAGAGAGTCTGAAATCTATCTGAATACATTATTTGGTAGGGTTAGTGCTCGGTATTATTCTTTTAAGACTCTTTCCTGTTTTCATTATTCTTCTACATTAATCACAAAAATATTTTCAAATTCTAAACTACCGAATTTAAAATTCGGGGATTTTAAAATCTTATGTTCTAATCTGTGCTGAACTCTTATTATTAGTTTCTCAGGTATGTCTTGTGTTTTCTAAGTGGACAGTCATGACCTCCCACTTCCAGTATCTGCTGTCCTATCTGGTTGACTGGCCGAAGTATCTGCGTCATGAGTGGGCGCTTCCTTTTGTTCCTGGCTTTGAGTGGTGCGTTAGACTCTCTGGGGAGAATTTTCAACACACCTATTTCCTTCCATGAAGACTCACTTGGTGAGAGGCTTCGCTGGTGTTATTAAAGGCTCTGTTTCCAGGTTAAGGGTTTTCATCAGGACTGGGAACCGAGTCTGAGCAAATGGCTTTCTCGGGATATACAAAAGTGGTCATATAGTTTATCATCATCTAATGTGATATATTTAGTTGATTTCCTAATAAACCATTTCTTAATTTCTGGAATAAATCTTAATAGGACTGCAGTGAATTTAAAAAAAGATACCAATAGATTTAACTTAGGAATTCCACATTTCTATTCACGTGAGGTTAGACTACAGTCTTGTCATATACTAGCAAGATCAGAATTTTTGGTATGGGTCTGAACAGTTTTATAAAACTGGTGGGGGATAGGAATTCCAATCTTCTCCTAATTTTGATTTAATTTGTACTGTTCAATAATTAGCTTTTCCTTGAAGCACTGAGAGTTCACTGGCAAAAACAGTACAGGCCAAAGCTCTTCGGGGAGGTGGAATCCTTTACTCAGCTGCTCAGTGTTCTTATAAACACAAATCTCTTTTATTTCCACCACTATTTACAATTTTATTGGTGTTTTGTTTTCTGCCCCCACCCTGTGGTTAGAGCTGCCAGGTTTCTTTCTTTTCGAAGAACTAGGTTCTACTTTACTAAAAATGGAAACACCGCCCTGTGGACTGCTCTCCTACCTTGAATCCTTTTCATTCTCTGCATTTAGGCGATTGGCTTCCTGGGCTTTCTCGGCCATCCATCTGGTGACCAGCTCCTGGTTCTCTTCTGTAGTTTTCCTCAGTTTCTCTTCCAAGGCAGTAAAAGTGATCTGCAGTGCATCATACTCATCCCTCAGGGTCTGGTTGGCTCTCTCAAGGTCCTGAAGCTTACTGCGTAGTTCTTGGCACTCCGTCTCCAGGTCAGAGATAGTCTGCAAGCACTCTGCAATTCTGAAAGCATGACAGGTACAGAGGAAGTGGTACCACACAAGAGACCTGCACTGGAGCAAGAGTACCCGGCCAGGTGCTAGAGCTGTGTGAGCTTGGGCCACAAACCATCACCTCAGCCACCACATCACACAACCACACAGGACTCACCACGATTATTACATCTCACTTAGCAGGGCCCAGCCCCAATGGCTTAGAGGACAACCCCACAGCAGAGGAAACACACAGGCTGAAATTCATTTAGGCAATGAATGACTAAAACATCTTTCAGAGAAGCAGGATTTGAAGAGGAAGCTTCTGAAGCTTAAACAGAGTGATAAAGGGATCTCAGGAGGAGGCTGGAGATCCTGTGCACTGTACCAGCTTCACCATGGAGCGAGAGAATGCCTGGCGAGAGAATGCACTCTAGGTCCCCAGATAGTCCTCCCTGCATATTAAGAAAAAAGGCACAGACAGACCCCAGACTCCCCTTCAGCTCAAAGGTCTTAAGATCTGAACTCCCTATTTATCTTGTCTGCCAGGCTTTTCCCTCACCAAGAACAGTCCTCCCCACAAACTCTTCCCTGGCCTCAAGGGCCACACTCGGGTATCTTGGCTCTATCTCCACCACGTAAGATACCAGCTCCCACACGCAGTGGCCACGGGGAAAATGGCCTTAAGGACACCTGCGAGGGCCAAGGGCAATTCCCAGGGGTATGCCGGAAACCTGGATGACTGTGGTTGCCCCTTCCATCGTCAGGGCAGGCTGACAAGCACAGAAATGAAACTCTTGCTGAGTCTGGTGTGGCTACTGTTTGTCACTGATCACCGTGGGAGACCTCACCACAGAGGATGGGAAGGCAGGAAGTGTGCTCCCACGAGCAGGCCACAGGAGGCGCCGTCTCTACTCACTTTGCTTCGTTCATCTGCATCTCCCTGTCCTTCTGCTGCATCTGGTTATTCAGGTCAATCACCAACTGAGCTAACTGGGGGGAAAGAAGAACATTTTCATAAGGAACAGATTCTGAGACCTCAGCTGGAAACGAAACAGTGGGTCCTTTTATTTTTAAGAAAGAAAAAGCGCCTGTGGTGCTGGGCCATGGCCCCAAGAAGAAACAAGCTGGATGGCAGCGAGGAGCCAAAGGGCCTCTGGGGGCCTCCCAGGAAAGGTGTGCTGCTCCTGGGTGAAGGCGGCCTTGGGTGGTGACAAGTATTCTAGGTGACTGTCCGGATCCTGCTGAGCTCACCTGCCTGCCCTCCACCCCAGCTCCCATTCAGACCCTTCAGCTGAACTGATGACAAACTACTTGTTCCTGATTTTCCATTAGACCAGCATCTGGTGTAAACACAGTCCAAAATTTGATTCATTCTAATAAATTGTTCTGAAATTGTAGGGTTCCCTCTTGAAAGCTTTGTGAAGGTGTTAGTAAGACCTTCAGTGGCTCAAGGAGCCAGCTTCCTTTATTTGAAATTTCTCCGCCTGACCTTTCGTGCCATCTTGGGAACATGACGACCGGCGGTTATCGCAGTGGTTTGCTCTCTTGCTGAGGGAGGTAAAGACCCTACCTTTACTGTTTCATTCCCACAGAGAGAGCTGATGATGACCCACAGAGCCAGGATGGCCACACATTCCAGTGGAGGTGGCTGCCTGGCCATCCTGTCCACCATGGGACATGCACACAGAAGACAGAGAGGACAGCGGCTGTCATTACCTCCCCGCGTTTCTTGTGTAATTCAGTCAGCTCTTCTTGGTGTTTAATTCTCAGCTGGGCCATCTCTTGTAACTGACTATCATTCCACGCACCATCATGTCCGGGACTAAATCCAAGCACCAGGCAGATGAACAGATCATGCAAAACAGAGGAAGAAAAAAATTAGGCCCCAAGCCCTTTCCATCATGCAGAACAGTAACTTCAGAATTTCAAACCTGTATATGACAACACAGCCACTGACAGTTCAGTTTCTCCAGGCAAATGTGTTATAAGTCACTACAAACCAGAACTATCCAGTAGGGGATGTGAGACATAAGGTAATAAAATAAACCAACCACAACCCAAACCACCAGTCATGTCAGGAACAAAGGAGGAGTTTCAGAATGAAGTTTAGGTAAATATGGAGGAGACAACGAGGTCCACCCACTCAGCACGTATCTGAGCACCAACTCTGTGCCAGGCACTGTTCTTAGACGTGGGAAGAAGGCTGTCAGCACAGAGCTCTGCTCTCATGCAGTGGACAAACACCTAAGAGCTGTCAGACGAGCAGGTACACTAAGCTTTCCAGAAGTCAGATGGGCTATGAAGAACAACTACGCAGGGTAAAGAAAGCAACAGGGTGTGGGGTCCTGTGCTACACGGGGTAATAAAGAAGGCTTCTCTGAGGGGTGACGCATGACTGGAGACTGCCGAGAAACGAGGAAAAAGCCATGTGGCCCTGGGGCTGAGTGCCTCTGAGCAGAAGGGACAGCCAATGTTGGAAAGGCTTGGAGGCTGTGACACAGCCACTGAACTTGGGGTAAAGTGTGACTGGAGCACCAGTACAGGGGGTACAGGAGGTGGTTGGGGAGACCATGCAGAGACTTGCAGCTCCTCTGAGGACTGTGGCTTTTACTAGGTGTGACTGGAAGCCACTGCAGGGTTTTGAGCAGAGGAATGACTTACATTTGAAAAGGATCTCTAGGTCTGCTGAGTGCAGAGCAGACTGCAGGGAGGCAAGGAACAGGGGGACCAGTTAGTGGGCTAGTACAGAGTCCGGATCTGAGAGTGTGCAGCTCAGCTCCAGGTGGTGCAGCAGAAGCAATGAGATTTGGTCAGTTTCTAGGTCCACTCTCCAGGGACAGCCTATACGATTTGCCCCTGAATAGGATGTGGGGTCTGACAGACAGTCAATGATGACTCCAGGGCCTTGAGTCTGAACAATTAATAACATGTATGTGCCACCTACTGAGACAGGAAGGACTGGGGAGAAGGCCTGTGGGGACTGAGTGGAAACTGGGTAGTAGAGTCTAAACCTCATGTAAGGAGGTCCAGGCTGGAAGCTAACAGGTAGAAGCTGTCAGCAAACACGAAGCTGAAGCCATGGACTGAGTTCAGATCACCTCAAGAGTCAACACTTGGAAACTTTGCAGGTGTTTGCGTTTTATCTCAGAAATAGCAGAAGGTGACTAAACTGTGGGTTTAGTTCAGGAGAGGGGGCTTGGCCACAGCTACAGGTGAGAACTATCAGATTAGAGTGAGAAATTTCAAATATTGCCCAGGGAAGGCACTGATTTAAGAAAAGGAAGCAAGCTGGAAGACTAGGATGCCACCAGCCTCTTCCACATGCCCTCAAGTGGAAAGAAGGAAAGGGGAGCAATGACACTCCCTCCTAACTTTACCCTCAAGCTCTGCAATTCTTTATTATGAGTTCTAAGCACATACCAATACCTCATCCACTGAGGCAACCTAGTGCCTCCCCAGTCTTAGCCCATGAAGGAGAAGCCAACAGATAAGAAAGTGGAACACATTTTACAAGAAACCAACTTAAATTAGGCAAAAGGATTAGATATTATTATCAAATTCCCTTATTTTATTGCTAAGCAATGTGGAATACGCAAAATGAAAACTACTTCCTTCTTCCAAGGAGCTGACATTCCACAGAAGATTCAGGAGACTGAGGCACAGACACAAGTCACTCATTCCACTACCCAAAGCCCCCTGCCCCTTCCCATCTGATTCACAATGAAAGCCAAACCCCCTGCAATAGCCCACTGACAATGCTTCACTAAGTAGATGAGAGAATCAGCGGAGAGCAGCACAGATTCCTGGGCAGCACCCCACATTGACCCAGCAGGTCTGAGAGAGCCAATAACCTGCATTTTTAACATCCCCTCCAAGGGTGTGGCTAGTTCACATGGACTCTTGAGTAGCCATGGACTAAAACAGTAGTTCTCAAACTTGAAAGGTTATTAGGGTCACCTAGTTATATAATAGGTTACCAGGCCTCACCTTGAGTTTCTGAAACACGTCTGGGTTGGGGCCCAAGACTACATTTCTAACTATTTCCCAGACGCTGCTGTCCAGGAAATACACTTACGAAACCACTACTGGGATCAACTATTTCCAGGCTGAAGAGTTTAACTTTAATCTACTCAGTAAGCAAAGGGATTAAAGCACTTAAGAGGGGAGATGGATAACTGATGCAGATAAAGCTTTTTAAACACAGCATGCAGTGTTTCAAGGTTACTTAGGAAGAGGTGGGCAGGACTTAAGGAGGGACAGTTAAGGGAGAAGGAAGCCAAATGAGGTGCCCATCTTCTGTGGTATCCTTAACATACTAGCAAGCACCCCCTTGAGTTGGTTTCCCCATCAGATTCAGGTCTTTGAGAGCAAGGACTCTGGCCTACTCCTCTCTGTATGCCTAACCCACACTGCCGTCACCACATGCCTGCGTAAACAAGGGTCTTGTCAAAGTCCAGGAATCAAAGGGTAGATGAATGAAGTGGGTGGCAAAATAAATGGAAACTAAGAGGCAGTGCACAGGGGACTGTGGGTGAAGAAGAAAAAGGTCTGGGTGACTGACTGCCTATGGGGAGGGGCAAGATACTGTGAAAAAGGAGTCACAGATGACTTGTGGAAAATAAGGATGCCTTTAAGAGAAATGGGGCAGTCAGGAGGAGAGGCCCAGTTATGGACAAATAAAGAGTTGGCAGGAAAGGAAGGACCTCCATTTAAATTACCATCCCAGTAACACTTAAGCAAATCAATTGTTGTGTATTTATAGTACCTTTTGAAGAAGTGTGTTTGGCCAACAGATAAAGGATATAGGAATATAATCACCAAGAGTCTAAGCAGAAAGAAATAAAATGTTTTTAGTTTTCAAATGATTGAATTTAGACAAGAAAAATGAAATGGCATTCTCTACACTTATAAATTGACCAGAATATTACAACTAATATTCTAAATATTATACAAGGCCTCCCAGGACTATAGCCAGCCAGGAGCTCCGGGATTGTTAACAAGCAAGGCCGGAACCTGGGCCGAGCTATCTATTCATCTTTTACATTCTGGCCTGCCAGGAAGCCATCTAGCCAGATGAGAAAACATGGATGGCAAGCAGTTATACAGCAGATGCAGCTGCAGGATAAATAAATTAAGCTACACCTAGCATTTCTAGATTTAAAAAAAATACCTATATTATTAACTTTGTTTTTAAGATTGCTAAGTGTTAACTGATATGCAAAAAAGTATGTAGATTTTAGAGCAATAATGGGCACTGTTCCCCATAAAACTGTCAAATTTAATATGCTAACATGATAAACATATGGAAAAAGAGGACAGTAAGACTCCAGAATGATTTTATTCAGGCTGTTTTGATGAAATCTGGCTTTCATTTTTTGGGACCATGACCGACCATCAAAAAGAAATTGTTTCACATAACCCAAGTAAACATATCCAATCTCCAGTCATGAACACATATGTGCATAGTTAATGAAACAATACTACCCTTCCTAATAAAGAAGAGATTTTCCCTAATCTTTCTTTCTAAAAAAAGGGAAAAAGCATGTTGGAATTTGCTAACTTGATTTCACAATCTACTAAAATATGTTGTGAAACACTAAAACTAAAAAGGAACCAACAGACTGGCACTGTATAAAAAGCAATTTATATTCATGCTGTAGTCAATCCTGTATTAACAAGGTCTTTATAAATCTGGTCAAGAATGCTTACTTGTACGACAGGTAGAAAAAGTGAATCCTGGCAGCTACATACAGGAAGAAGTGTTCTAGTCACCTGCTTGAGGCAACCGCTCAAGCTGATGGCATCATACTGGTGACAAAAGCCTTCGCGTGGGTACACAACACCTTCAAAAAAATGAGCTAAGAGTATGCTAACTGAAATAAGATAAGGACAAATACCCTAGGATTTCACTTTTATGTGGAACCTAAAAGAAAAACAAAAACAAATGAACAAACAAAAAATCCCAGAAACAGATCAAACTGGTAGTTGCCAGAGGGGAGGAGCTGGGGGTATGGGAAAAATAGGTGAAGGGCATCAAGAGCTACAAACTTCCAATTATAAAATTAATAAATCACAAGGATGAAAAGTACAGCATGGAGAATATAGTCAATAATATTGTAGTAACTTTGTACGGTGGCAGATAGTAACTACACTTATGCTGGGCATTTTGTAATGTATGTTACTGTCAAATTACTATTTTGTACACCTGAAACCAATATAATATTGTATATCAACTATACTTCAATGAGAATAAACAAGATTATTAGTTATTTGGCTTCAGAAGTTCTTATTTAAAAGGAGCTGTCAAAAACTGGAGCCCAGAACAGCACTTGTTTTACTTCTAAATCAGAGAAGTGAAAACTGAGCTGAGTCAAATTTTAATTAAGGAGGACATACAAATAAAACAGGAGTTTCAAAATACCTTATCTCATGCCTGTTTGGTATGTCATGCTTCTCAGCTTGTAGCTTATGGGCCAGCACTGAATGAAGATCTGACTTTTCCAGCAACTTGTTATCTATCAAAGAAAAAAAAAAGTTATTTATTATAACATATGTACACTTTATTACTACTTAATATCATATAAAGATCTGGACTGAAAAACAACCAGAAGATGACTGGGTAAGTTTCCCTTTTACGAGGAATCACAGTACTAGGTACTGCACTTTGTCAGCGACTGCAGCCATACTCCCAATCCAGGAACATATATATATATATACCCTTCTGATGCTTCCTAGCAGAAACACGGGCTGCCCGGCCAAAGGAACCGAGGGAAACATCCCTGCAAGAATATCCACCCCCAATTAAAGGCAGATGAAACTGCTTTCTACTTTCAGTTACCTATTTTTACCAGGGAAAGGGAGGTGGGGGAGAGGGGAGGAAGGGGGAGAGAAGAGGGGGAAGGAAGGGAGAAATATACAATGGGAAAATGAGATGTAATGCATCTCTAAGCAAAATAGGCCAACTTTAACCTTATTATTACATTTGGAAATTTTAATTTTTAGATAAGGGCACTAGGGATACAGATACGAACAAGAATCCATGACTTCAAGGAACTCAAGTGTAGTGGGGGGTCAAGTATAAAAGGAGGAGTGACCCTCTACTGATGTGCTTGGGTGGTTCCACAGGTGGAGATGATAGTCAAGGCAGAACTAGCAGTTATTTGTTAAGTGGCTAGAAATAAAAGTTGGAGCCAACACATGAAAGGGCAGGGTGAGAAATTCAGACCTTTTTTACTAGGAAATTATAGATTTAAAAGCAGGCAGTGACACAAACAGATAATTACTAGTAGGAAGTCAAAGATTATTTTGAGGTTTCTTGCTCAGCCAACTGGTTAATGACGCTAATGCATCAAAGAACCCAGGAGCAGAGACCTTATTAAGAAGAGTTCTCTTGGCAAATATAATAAATGTAACAGGAACATAATAAAGAATTCAAAGAGAAGTCATGGCTAGAAATGACATGCAGTTAGGAATGGTGTTGACACAGGTTGGCAAGTCGGTGGTGTGGGTTACTAAGAAAATGAAATTGAACATGGGAAATTGTGTAGATTAACTACATTTGATAGGAGTTTTCACAAGTCCTATAAGTCTGAGATTAGAAATGCTCTAGAACAAAATTCTGATAGAGTTTATGCTAGTGACTATTCCCATTATACGAGTTTACGTTTCCTCTTAAAAAGAATCTTGAGTCTATTTCTCCTTGATAAATGAAAATGGAACTCCTGGGCAGGAACAGTCTTCCTCTACCTTAAAGTTAATAAATTAGCTCAGCAGAACAGCAAGGTGGCTCCAACCTTGGGTATTCACCAGTATCAAAGGGCTGTATATAAGATCTTCAAAATGTTACTTTACATCAGAGCTGTCTGTATTGGTCTTTCAAAGAACATGAGGTATTCGAAATGAATCCTTCCTGAAATTTCCTCTCACTAAAGAGGATAGAGAAGGAGGGAAGCCACCACCTGTCCCTATAGTCTCATCTTCCTTTGCAGACGGACGCAGGGACTGAACAGGAGACTGGGTGGATGGAGGGTCAGAACTTGGCGGGAGGCTGGAATGAGAGCGGGGGAGGTATTCCACAGTCCAAGGAAGGATCTCCCAAATGTCAATCTCCCGCCTGAGGATGACTGTAACCAAGCAAAAGCTACCAGCTCTCCTGCCCCCTGCACCTCATCTCAGCCTCTTCTCCCCGCCCCTCAGTCGTGTACTACTCACTGCAACTGTTTAATCACCATGTGTTCCCTCTCCAGGACCCACCTCTCTTCCTGATGTTTCTGTTACAGCCTCCCACCTCACCAAGACTCCATTTTCAAAACAAAACTATCACTCAGTTGTGTCAATGCAATTATAGACCATTACATAGATGGCTTACATGCACAGCACTGTTTTTGGCAGGCTGGGCAAGCTTCATTCCCATTCTATAGATGCAGCAAACCAGACTCAGAAAGTGTAAAGGTTGTAAGGGATGGATTCAGACCTCCAACAACTTTTAAAGTGTGTCAGCTTTTAAAGACTAAGCATGCGATATACACCCAGTGACGTGAATTCACATCACCTATGAGGGAATCACTTTGAGTAAGAGGAATTTCCTGTGCTTGTGGCTTTCTGAAGCGGCACCTGTCTACCAGGGCTTCTTGGAGTGTAAGGAGCTAGCGCAGCAGTGGTACATCATCTCTCTTCTTCCCTTTTGTTAAGAGAACTGGCTCAGTGAAAGCAAGCGGGGACCTGGTGAGAAGAACAAACGCCAAAACGCAGTAGTTGGGAGCTCTCAGGTTCAAATCCAGACCCTACCAGTAACCTGCTGTGCCTCCCCAGAGAAGTTTAATCTCTTTCAGCCTTAGTTTTCTTATGTGTAAAAAGGGCAACAACAGGACCTGCTTCACAGAATTTTGGGGAAGATACAGTGAAATAATACACACCAAATATTTACCCAGCACTCAAATCTGTCTGCACGTTAGAATTACTTGAGTAGTATCAAAACATTGTAATACCTGTGTCCCCTCCCCACACCTCCACACAGCCGGGGTTTAGTTGGTCTGGGATGTGGTCTGGGCTTTTCGATTTATAAAGGATCCCCATGTAATACCAAATGTGCAGGTAGGTTTGGAACCAGACTGAGCACAGTCAGAATTCAATAAAAGGTAACTACTATTATTTTGAACTTCATCATCAACATAACTCGAGAAACTTTTGTCAGGCTTACGTCAAGGGGTGGAAAGAAACAAAGGACCGAAGAGTGCCCGTTTCTTCCCCAAATGTGTCACTGGCTGTGGTAAAACTGGGAGTGGGGGGAGCAAGGAAATAATGCTCATTAGAACGCACCTAAGGGTACATTTTTGTACTCAAATTGCAGACTGGTGTCGGGGGACAGAAAGCAGACGTTTCACATTAAACTTTTCAGTAACAGTAAAGACTATGATGACCCAAGTAAAAAGTATGCTAAGACTCCAAGTGTGCATCAGCTAAAGAACACTCGGTGGAGCAAGGACAAGAGGTCTGAGGACTCAAGGGCCAAACCCTGCACTACACTCAGAAGAGAGTTGATTGAGCGAGTTATGCCTACAGGCAGTGCCCATTTCAACAGCGCGATGCCCGAAACTAGAGGTTTCTGGAGTGTGCCTATTTCCACACGCATCGTGTGGGTGGCTGGTATGTACAAATACAAACGGGAACGGTGTCTGCCCGTGAAGAACACACAATTTAGCAGAGGAAACCCTCCCCAGTCACACCCAGATATAAAGTGAAAGAAAGACGGCATCTAGAAAGGCGTGGGGCGTCCGCCAGGCCGCGGGGCGGCGCCGGGGACTCGGCCTCGGGCTCCCGCCCGCGCGCCCTCGAGGCTCCCGCCCGCGCCCGGGCCCGCCGCCGCTCACACTGCAGGATGATCTCCTCGAACGCCTGCCTCTGCAGCCGGTCCCGCCGCCTCAGCTCCTCCGAGATGTGGCGCTTCCAGCGGGGGAAGTCGGCGGCCCGGAGGCCTGACGCCATGTCGTGCGCTGCCCCGGCGCTTCAGCGCCGCCGATCCGCGCAGGGGCTGGTGGCCGCGGCACGCAGCATGAGGCGACCGGCATGCGCGGGAAGGCCGGCGGCCCCAGAGTTCACTTCACGCACACGGCGCCGGCGATGCCATCCGGGACCGTCTTCCGGCTCCTGCCGGAAATGGCTTGGGGCAGAGCCGGAAAGCCAACCTCCTCACCCAACGACTTGCGCCGCACGCAAGCACGCGGCCGGCGCTGACGCAGGGCGCCGGCTAATGACGCCCCTCAGAGGCCGGAAGCGCCGAGGCAGAGACCCGGCCGCTGGGAGGCGTCCTGGCCACGCCGGAGGCTCAGTCCTGGGTGGGAAGGACGCCGGAAAGGGGCTTCTTCCGCCCGCCTGCCTTCCTTTGCTGCCTTACGCTGTTTTATATTTTCTTTCTTGGCTTGCCACCTTTTTCTTCTCAGTTTACAAGCAGAAGTGGAGTGTCTCCCCACATAGTAGCTCTGTGACTGTGGATGAATGACACCCTAAACCTCAATTTCCTAATTTCTAAAATGGGGATTTAATACCTACCTCACAGGGCTGCAATGAGGATTAAAAGGGAAAACTTAAATAATGCAGTTAGCACTGTGCCTGGTACATGGTAAGCCTGACCTTACCTAGACACCTGGTACCTTTCCAAGGCCTACTTAAAATCTGGGTGCTTAATCGAGAGCGCCTCCACTGACCTTGGAAATAAGGTTTTGGGGGATTTTGCAGCTAAAAATCATTAGAATCCCAGAAATTATGACATAACAGTAAGTGGGTCCTTAGAAAGCAATCTAAGGATGGGGATACAGGACCTTGATGGAGGAAAAGGACAGTTTGCCAGTAGATGTTTCTCTTGCCAATGGGTTTCAGTCCCGGGCAAGTTCGCTATGGATTCAATGTGACCAAAGAAATTGACAGCAAAAATTTCTTGGGGTGAAAGGGTTATACCCAACTTTATTTAGTGGCAGGTCAGCCACTAGAATCCCATTCACTCAGAGCGAGTCTGCATGCAGCAAGCCGGTCTCTGCCTCTGGGCCCCTCTGTCGACACAGCCGTCCTCTGGGCCTCTCTGCACAGTCGTCCCGCACAGCAGTCCTCTGGGCCTCTGTCCTCAGCGCTGCCACTACTCCAGCCTCTGCTCTGCTCTCCTGCAGCCTTGCAGCCCTGCCACCGTGTCACGCCCAAAGCACTGGGCAGAGCTCTTTATACAGAGTCAAATTGCCCACAGGTGTTCAGTGAGCTAGTCAATCAGGGCCAGGTGAGAATCCTGGCCACAAGAACTCTCATTTTATCCACAATGTTGAAAGGGATCGATGGAAGACCAAGACTTTTGAGAAGATGGCAGTTGTCAACTCAGGATAGAGAAACTTGGTCTAACAGAACAATCTGAGCTTCATCTGCCTTTAGTGAATTTACTGCATGAAAATGGAACTGGACAAAGCAGGTGGCCAGGGCAGAGGAAAGAATATCAGACAATGCCCGCTCTTCCAGTATGTCCCAAGTCCGGAGGAAGACCCTTCAGAGGCAGATAGGAGAGTCTTTCCTCTCCTATGGAGACCAGGAGTGGGACTGTCAGGCTTCTAGACCTGTAGTTAAGGATGTTTTCTTGGCAGTCGTTAGTGAGTGATCTGAATTTGTGGAAGTACCCATGGGATCAGAAATAGAAAACATTTTCTCACAGTGAAGAAAATGAAGAAGCAGGTTCTGAGAGTCACCAACAATGCCTCCAATTGTAACTGGTACCAACCTCAAAAGACCATAGCATCATACAGCATCAAATCCTAACAGTTGAATATGCCGATTTTCCAGACAAAATTATGATTAAAATATATTAACAAATTTGCAGAACCAGTAAGTCCACTTGCAGGAGTTTATGCCAATAAATATTTGGACAATTGTCCATATACAAAAATATTTGTCGCAGCTTTGTTAGTAACAGTGGAAAGTTGGAAACAATCTATATTTCCAACAATAAGAAATTACTGTATATTTATTGTTCAAAAATATCCTAATAAAAGCAGATTATGGTATAAGTCCAGTTTATGTAAATGAAACGTGTACTTGGCTCCTCACAGGTAACATTCAATAAATTTAGAATATAATTTGGTTCAGAATATAATTTCTAAACTAAGGGTACTTAGCTCTGCCAGGTCTGCGCTTTCCCTGACTTCCCAGCTTTGTGTAGCGCACACCACACTGCACTCTAGTGCACATGGGACCCTTAGTTCCTTCTGCTCACCACTGAGCCCTCCCAGAGCATGGACTTCCCTTTGGATTTACTGTGCTTCTGTTGGGCGCCCTCTTCCCTTCTGACTTCTTCAAGTTAATTCCTATAAATTCATTCTTAGCTCAGTAGTCACTGGCTCACAGCCAGCAGAGTACAGACCTTTGCAACTAGATCAGATCTCCTTATTACACATGAACGACTCCTTGAAGCATTTATCACAGCTGCAGCTGGACATGCATTTTGTATCATTACTTGATGAAGGTTTGTCTCTCCCACACTAGACTATATACTCCATGAGACTAGAATTATGTCTGTTTTTGCTCACTGTTACAGCTCCAGTAAGAGCTTGAAGCCGTTCATATATTAGATGCTAAGTAAATGTTGTTTAAGTAATGAATGAAGTAAGTGAAAATACTAATAGTAGTACCTCTGGGCAGTGGTATTGCTAGCATTTTTCTTTTATCATATATATTTGCTATATCATAGAAGCATTTTCTAATTGTTATACATTGTATATGTACTGCATATGCAAGAAAAAGTTATAGACATGATGAACATGTCTTTACTGATAAAACCACATATTCACCAGGGTGCTAAGTGATGTGGGAGATAATAAGCATGAACACCTATACAGTATTAGGGACCATGCATTCTTTTAAATATTTCCCATATTGCAACTCTTTTAATCCTTCCAACAAACCTTCTCAGTAAGGTTATTGTTGGCTGTTAGCATCTTCATCCTCATTTACAGATGAGGAATCAAAGCACAGAGAGGTTAAGTGTCTGGCTACTTAACAAGACCTGGATTGTAACACAGGCGGTTGACTCTAGCATCTGTTCCCTTAACCACCGCAGGCCATTGACCAGTCTCTGTTTCAGCTGACACTGCAGTTTGGTTTGACTGGAATATGTAAACAGAGAATAATTTGAAATGATACAGAATTAATCCCTAAATTAGCCAGTAGGGAGGGCATCCTGGTGAAGAGCAATGTCAGTGATGGGGAGGCCTCAGATGTGTTCCCGGGACCTTGAGGGGAATGACCGGATGGGGGATGCGAAATAGGAGAGAGAGGGAAGTGAGGTGGTCTGAACAGTCTGGAGGCAGATACGGGCTTTAGGACTTTTTATGTGTTCTGGTAAATAATGAGTGTCTGAAGAATTCAGCATGGTTTGTTGGAAAGTGCCATCTATGGAATAGATTCTGACTGCCTATAATGGATGTAAAATATGTATAAAATATCACAAAATTTCTTGTAGGAGTGTGTTAAGCAGCACAAATTTGCTTTCTCGGTGGAAATTCTAATATCGCTGAAGCAAAGTCTGGCCAGAATCTAACCTAACAGCATCTCCACGGCAGCATTTCCACAGCTAAAAACTTCCAGGAGATTTTCACATTAACTGTCGATGCCTACATCTCTCACCTGTGGGGCTCTCCAGTGACGCTCCAGTTCTGAGGCTCTCAAGGCCAACCTTCAGACAGTTGTCCCATTTGCTCTTGTCCTTTCCCCTTTGGTCTTCCTGGTTGCTTTTATCTTTCAATCAGCACGTGCAAACAGCTGAGTCCCAGTGTGTGTGAGGCACAAGGTGAGCACCGTGTGGAAGACAAGAACAACCCAAGCTTGCATCTTACCTCAAGTGGCTCCCACTTTAGGAAAGGAGAAGTGAATGCGTATTATTTATGAGTGTAAGGAACATGAACTAAAAGAGGGCCATCCAGAAGGGGGTTTGATTTTCTTCCATTCTTTTTTTCTTTTGCTTTTATTCTTTTTTAAAATATAACTTCTTGTTTTTAAAAAATGGCTCCTCATCTATAATTCTTTATTTCCACTCCTTTTCAGCCCTTCCCAAAATTAGATCACTGAAATTGGAGGTGGACTAAACTAAGCATGTTACCGTGTTAACTGTCTACTGTGTAAACGTGGTAGCTGCTAGCGTCAGTCGAAGGACTGCCAAGAAGCCAGCTGACGAAGGTTTTCAGATCCACTGATGATCCCTCCAAACCCCACTTTTCTATGACGGAAATATGCTCCTTTACAGGCATATGTTGCTTGACATTTTTACCCCTTGGTTTTTCCTTGTTTTCTTTAGTGTCAGTGAATTTGCATATGTATGGATGCTACAGGAAATTTTCATTATAAATGTACACAGAAACTAAACACGTGCAGGTTTCATCATCCACTCCATATATATGTCGACTCTCAGATTTCATATTCTAAAAATGACAGTGTCTGAGGTATCCTTATGTCCCTCATGCATTATACAAGCATTATAATAAAGTTCCACTTTCTTAGAGGAAGTCCTTGTTATCCCTCCTACGTGTTGGTAGCCAAGTGTCTGGAATGCTGGCTGAAGGATTCAACATGGAGGATTGAACAAGCTGGAATACGATTCGTGGCTCGAGTGTGTGTGTATGTGGGACTGGGGGGTGGGGTGGGGTTATTCCCTTGGTTCGCTCCTTGAATCTGTAAAGAGATGATGCAATTCCTCTCAGACACTACTGCCCTCTCCTACTATTAATAATAGCTAATGGTCATTGAATGATTTTACATGCCAGGCACTGTGCTCTACATGGATTAACTTATTTAATTCTCACAACACTATGATGCAGGTTCTATCAACATTTCTCTCTACAGATGAGGATCTGCACACAAAGGTCAAGTAACTTGTCCGACGTCACAAAGTCAGTAAGAGGCAGAGCTCAGATTCAGTTGAGGAACGCTGGCCCCAGAACCCACCTGGTAACCACGCCCCTGTGCTGTGTATCAGAGTGGTGGGGGGCGCGGGGGGCTTTTTTTCTTTTGGATGAGACAGAGTAAGTGTTAGAATAGTTTTGATTGTGGGCAATGGAAGGGCAATTTGAGCTTCCCTAGGGGAAATGGGGCTATGTGGATACAGAGCAGCAGGGGAGTGGCTGGGCACCAGGAATCACAGAAGCCAGGACAAAGATCCCCTCAGAATGCCCAGCCCTTTGCATCTGCTTCCCTCCATAAGTTGCTGCTTCTTTCCCCTCTTGTCTCAAGGTCCTGCTCTTTTTATTTCCTAGTCCCCCACCCTAGTGGTGAAGAAATGGCTCCTCTAAAGACTCCCCAGTACAAGCAAGCCGCTGACCAAGCTGGCATCTGAGCCCCAGTTCTAAATTCCTGCGAGGTGACTCTGAAGGAGTAGCAGGTGCCCACGCCAAGTGGTCAGTGTGACAAAGGGGCAGGTCAGTCTTCCGGAATGGTTCTCTCTGGACGGAGGGGAAGCGGCAGTTCCCAGAAGAAAAACATGGAGCGCCCATCTGCTGAATGGATCTGTTCATTCTTTCATTAACTGATTCCACCCTCCTGGCTACATTCATGGCATTTCCACCCACCTTCGGGGAGTAAATCGGTCCCAGAGTGGAGCCCCTGCCAATCACTGTCCTTCGCAGGAATTTTCAAGCTGGATCTGGGAGAAAGGGTTCAGTTTTCCCCCTTTGTTTAGGGAGTCTGAGGACGTGCATCATGTTCCACTAGTGGCCAGGTCCCCTCCCATGTCTCATGAAAAGATCAGTGCGGAAAACAAAAATGGAGCAATCACAGGGGGAGAAGAGGAGATGAGAAACCAAGAATCCTAAGGTCTTTGCAATACCTGCTTCCAGCCACTCCCGGACCGAGCCCAGCCTGCTCTCCCCCCTGCCTGGCTGTTCTGGCCAATGCATTCCCGCTTTTCACTGAAGCTGGCTTACACTGGGTTTTGATTGTGACTTGCCATCCAAGAATGCTGATGCATACAGCAGGGAAACCCAAGAAAAGACTAGGACGGGGCAGACAAACAGGTGGTGTGGTGCCCCTGGAGGTGGCCACTAAGTCAAGATGTACCACTGTAAAATCCTGACAAATGGAGGAAGGTCAGTGCACTCTTCGTGTTAATCAGCAATTTCCATTTCCAAACTTCTTGAGGAGAGTTTCTGGATCTGAGATCTTCTAAACTTTTAAGGTAAGCTCTGTTCTAAATAATAGTATCTGTTGGCGAGAGAAAACTTCCAACAACCCAAAAATTACAATCAGAAATATTAGACTAGCCTTGGAATATTAGAAAACATTGCAGCCATATGTTAGAACTATTTCATCTTCCCCCATAAATGGGAAGTGAAGGGACACCTTTTCAAAAGCACTGCTCAGATGACTCACAGGTTATAAATAGATCTGCAGAGCATCTGAGCAGCATTACATGCTCTGCAGTAGAAACCTGTAGAAAGCACGCAGCAGCAGAATAGGATTTTGACTAAATAAATATTGCATGCCATGACATGTGGTTCTTTGCTGAGGTATCGGGTTGACATTTTGTCTTTAAAAAGATCCTAAAGTTGAAGCAGCAATTTGTTGGACTTGTTCTGCAAATCCGAAATCCGAATGCCCAGGCACTTGGCCTTTGGGAGGCTGATCCCCAGAAAGGGAGGAGCCAGCCAGGGATGCAGTGTCCTACAGAGACAGGCCTCCGGTGGGCCGCTCTGTGGTGTGTGACTGTGCGTGCGTGCATCCCAGCTTTTTGTCTTAACTCTCTTCTTCCCAGTAAGGAAATTTTCCTATCCCAACTCAAGCACTGGACTCCAGTCCCTTAAGCTTGTCCACAGTTACAGATTCCCTAGAAATCCTTGCAGAGCTTCCTTAATTTTGTCACAAATTACACAAGGATGGATTACCTGGGCAACCCCAGCACAGCCCCTGTTCCCTGGAAGTGTGCAGGAGTCCAGCCCGTGTTTCCCAGGATCTTGGAAAATGTTCAACTGTCCTTCCCTGCAGGTTCAAGTGATCTGGTCTAGGCCTTACAGAGTCCAAATGAGGTGGAGATTCAGGAGTGGTTTTCTGGCCATTCCAGCTTGCCTCTGAGATCTCCTGTGGGCTTGGGGGCTTCCCTAGGCTTTAGGATGAACACTCGGCCACACCAAGTGGCCTACACCTGCTCTCTTCCACAATCTCTCTAAGCCACCACCCCCTCCTCAACCCTCCCTCCAGGTTCTTAAATTCTCTTTCCCTCTTTTCCTACAAAGCCCCATCTTCTTGGTGTCTGACACCACCTCCACCCTGGAGAAGCTTAAGTTTAGCAGCCATTCTCCACTCCATCCATTCCCTCAGTTAGGAGTGTGTGTGCATGCATGTGTTGGGGAAGAGGGTGTGTGTGTATGCATGTGTTGGAGGCAAGTATAGGTGACCTTTCTGGCCTGGTTGGGAAGCAGGATAGTGCAGAAGCATCTAAAAGACAATCGGATCTTTGGTTCTTGTTAATGACTCTCCTAGAAGACTCACCTTATTAAAGTGTAAGATGGTCATTCTCCTTGCAGATCTTGGCTTCTGTTACAGAGGTCCTGCCCCTCACCCCACACCCATGACCTTAACCTTAAGTTACCAGCTTCAAGAGGTCAGGAGAGGATGGGGGATGAGGCAGACACTCATCCTCTCTCACACGTGGGAATTCAATTAAGATGTGCTCTGGAGATTTGTAAGCCTGCCTGTCAGTGTACCACTTCACAATGGGGATTAGAATGACAAGAAGCCTTAGGTCGCCATCCTTGTACCAGCAGTACTTACCCCTTGTAGAAGTTAGAAGGATTTCAGCTGCAAGCAGCAAAACCTTAACTTGTCATTTCAACCGGGGGTCACAAAACATGGCCCACTGCCCAAAACCAGCCTGCCAGCTGTACAGCCCTCAAGCTAAGGAGAATTTTTCCATTATTTTTTTTATTAGGAAGGGCTTTGAGCTTGTGCCTCTCAGATCTCCCACTGGGGAAGTGTGATTGACTCATGTCACTAACATTCAGTTCTCAGTCCTCATCTGACTTTGCACACCAGCAGGACTTGACCCAGCTCATCACTCCCTTCTTGAAAAATGTTTCACTTAGTTTGTGAGACAATATTCTCTCTGGGTTCACCTCTTACCTCACGGGCTGCTACTTCTCAGTCTCCTTTGCTGGTTCATCTTCATGTCCTAGATGCAGGATCGGTAAACATGGCCCATGGGCCAGCTGCCCATTTTTGGAATCAAGTATTGTTGAACATAGCCACACTCATTCATTCATATGTTGTTTATGGCTGTTTTTGTGCTACAAAGGCAAAGTTAAGTCATTGCAACAAAGAATATTTGGCCCACAAAGTCAGAAATATTCCCTATCTGGCCCTTTAAAAAAAAAGTCTGCCAATTCCTAACCCAGATGTATATTGGAGACCCCAGAACTCAATCTTTAAACCTCTTCTCTACTTATACCTACTCTCTAGGTGATCTCATCTGGTCCCATACTTTCAATATTATCAAGATGCTAACAACTTCCAAGATTTTTCTCTAGCATAGACCTGGCCCCAGCTGCTGCTCTCTGAATTCACCACTGCATTCAAGCTGGGTTCGCGCTTCCCACAGATGTCCTGACCACGAAGCGAGCATGGCAGGGGACCTGTGCAGGACCACTCCTGACATGCTGGATTTCTCTGGCTTTGCCTCAAGGATGCTGTTATGGACTAAATGTGTGTCCTTCGTGCAATTAGGTGTGAAGGTGGGGCCCTCAAGAATGGGATCAATGGTTTGTAAGAAGGGGCACCTGAGAGAGGATCTCTCTCTCTGAGGCTGTCTGCACATCAGGGAGAAGGGTCTCAACAGACAGAATCTTCTAGCACCTAGGCCTTTGACTTCCCAGCCTCCAGAGCTGTGAGAAATGAGCACCTGTTATTTAGGCCCCCTGGTCTATGCTGTCTTATTATTGCCGCCCAAGCTGATGACACAGACAACCCACTGGCTCTGAGAGGACTGGCCTTGTCCAACAAAATCCCCATCTTCCCCCTCAGGTATCTCCCTCAGAAATCTCTACATCTATTTCTCCTTGGCATGAGCTTTTCAGGGATCCAGAGGAGGCTGTGATGAAACTCAAGTGCCCAGAGAAGGGTGGGAAATCAGGAGCTGCCAGCTATGCTGCAGACATTTTGGGGGGATCCCTCCCCTACCAAGTCCCCTTCTCTTTCCCTCTAATGACATCGTGGGCCCGGTGGCTATTTCTGCCACACACCAAGACCTTTCTGACCAATTGCTCTTTGGACCAGCAATGGAAAAATGATTCAAACTGGGCCAAATTCCTCTTTGAGGGGTCTGAGTATGGGGAGCTAGCTGGTCTTCAGGGTCTGGAGCAGCCAGGCAAAGATGAGGCAAAGCCTTGGTGACCAGGAGTGAGCAGAGGAGCTGTCTGTGGACAGGAGCAGGGAACAGGTGAGCAAAGGTCCGGAAAAGACCAAGGCCTGGGGACTTGTGTCCAGCACCATGTGCCCCAGGCCTGCTGTGCATGAGCTCTCTGGAGGCTTACATCGCTCCGTCTCCATCTGTAGCTAATTTCTCTTCCTTAAGCCTTGACTAAGATGGAAATTTAGAATTTAGAGCAGGAAGCTCCTTCAACATGATTTTATCACAGAGACTTAAAGAAGAAAATTCCCTGTCCTGCCTGCGTTTGCCATTAACTGAGGAAATGAGCCTCTGCGTTCCCCGGAGGAAGCATGGAGAGCTGTTCCAGGTCCTAGAATGGGTGTGCGGGCACTCAGGCCCTGAGTCCTGACCGGGGAGGTGACAGCCGCTCATGCTGCAGTGTCGGGGGTCAGCCTGTCCTGTCTGCCAGACCCTAGGGTGACCTCTTATGCAAGGGCCAAGTGGGCAAGTCTCCTGCCTGGGAATGAGTGGACCCTTCTCTTCTCCTCCCCACAGTCCTGTATTTCCATTTGTCCTGATTTCACAGCCTCTCCAAGATCAACAAGTGGGAATTTACATTACCTTTGGGTAACTAAACAGCCTGTTTCCATTAATTTTTCAAAAGAAAATGAAGTCTGGGTAGATATTCTCATGGAATATTCAGAGAAGGCTTCTGCTATAGAGGTACCACCTTCAGAAACTGCAAACTGCCAGCAACCTTTTATGCAGCTGTCCTGTAAAAAATTAAAAAACAAAACACTTAAATCTAATTTCAGGTGCACACTTGTTTTATGGGTTGAAGCTATTAAAAAAAAAAAAGAGTGAATGTTTTTCCCAAAAAATGAAGTGTCTTTTGTTGATGAGTCTATTATAGCTGTGATAGGGGAAAAAACCTCTATAGTTGTGGTTGATTTTTAGTGAGTGAAGTTCAAAGAGAATCAGGAGAATTCAGAGAATTCTTTAAATGGGTGTTTTGAATTTTGAAAATGAAATAGTTATTGACCTGGCTTCAGGTTGATAAGATCCCTGGAGGAGATTTTTGAAACTTTGAAAACATGGTACACCTGTCAAAAGTACATGAAATCAGAAATTCCAATTATGAAACTAGATGCCAACATTCTACTAATGTTGGGTCACAGGGTAAATGTGACAAAAGTCATCCTGGTGCATGCATACACACTCGCACACGTTCTCAAGTCTTCTCTGCCATTTATGGCATTTGCATCCTAGGCGGGATGGCTTGCATATTTTCATGATGGGCTCTGATGCATGATCGGATTCATAGCCAAAATCAAGTTAAATGAAGAAAATGTGTATAAATGGCATTTCACCTTGAGCTAATAAGTTTTTGACAGAGCAAATGGCCTTTCATCACACAATTATCTGGGGATTTATAAAATGTCTTTAAGGACCTAAAAAAAACCACATTTGTCATCAGAAGTACAATTTCTTGATGGATTTGTTTTTTTTTTAATGTTGTCCTTGTGATAGAAAGTTAAACCGAAGAAAAATTTTGATCACCCAAGTAATCTACCTCTTTCTCTCTCTTTTCTTCCATTTTAGTCCTCCTATAAACCCATCTGGCTGGTTTCAAAGGCTTTTCTCCATGATTTTCAGATTATTTTGGTAGGTAGGGTACCAGCAGGAGTCTGACTACAGTAGGTCAAAGATGGCGAGACTGGCACCGTGTCTACATAGAGGAGTCATGCAGCTTTCCGTTGGCTTCGCACGTCTCTCTTCTGCCCGTGCTGTAGAATGTTCATTGTAACCTCTTCTTCACCAGTTTTGTAGCACAACTTAAAAAAAAAGGTGTTTGCTAGTTTGACAGATGACAGTTGTTTACATCTTTACTAAAATTGAACACTTCCCATCTATGCGTTTGCTCATCATTCATTCTCTTTTGGGTAATGTCTGCTTAAACTCTTTGCTCATTTTTACCTAGGCAAGGAATAAATAATTCCCTGAGAGTTATTTGGGGAGAAGGGTAGGAAATGATTTTTAAAAGTTATTTTCAGGATTTGTCCAAGACACCTTTTCCGTAGGCAGCTAGGACCCGAGTGCTGGCTCGGCCCCTCTCCTCTGGGGCCTTAGTAAGCACCCTCTGAGGAAGCTGTGAAAGGTCTTGTTCAGTGTTTATGAAGCACTGTCATATCTGACTGTTCCCATATGTTCGTGCTTCCCTGTCTTTGGGTGAGAAGTTCTGCTAAGTCAGGTACTATCATCAAAGTGTTCACACTTGTCCCAAGTTGAGGCTTCTGAAGGAGAGTAAAGACACATCAGGGGGGCAAGAAAAAGCTTAACAGGTCCCCAAGGACAGCAGCTGTACCGGGCAGGGCAGCCTTGGGCAGGCACACAAAGCACATTGTGTGGACGACTTTGTATTCATCGGGACCCAAAAAGGATACAGTCTGTGCATTCCTGGAGGAGCCGTAATGGATTGGCTAGAGCCATTTATACCATATAAAGGTTTACCTTTATACATCCTCCCTTCTTTGGGACAGGGTCCCTTTGAGACTTAATCAATTCAACAAGCATTTATTAAGCACTTCATATATGCCAGGCACTATTCTAGGCATTAAGGCTAGTCCGGTATTTCCATCCTGAAAGAGTTTCCATTCTAATGGGGGGAGACAGGCCATAAAAAAACAAACACACTAAAGAAGTTAATTATGTATGTGGGAGGATGATGAGAGCAATGGACAAAACGAAAAAAAGCAGAGCCCAGTGAGGGCGATGGTAAGGGGGAGTGCAGAAGTTTGCACATCATTAGGGTGGCCAGGGTGGACCTCATTGAGAAGGTGAATTTTATCAAAGAACTGAAGGAGGTAAGGGAGTCAGCTAAGAGGTTATCTGGGGAAAAGCATTCGTGCAGGCAGTCAGCCGAGCAGGCTCTGTAGCAGGTGCTGTTGGAGCCCACCCAGTCCTCTGCAGCAGGCAGCGCTCCACCCCCTGCTGTAGTGGGTGCTGGCTGTTAAAAGGTTCACACCTGTCCCCTTCTCTGCAGGACTGCTCTTGGCGGACCTGCCCTCCTAGAGATGCCTGGGTGTTGGCGAATGACTGACTGATGGGAGGTGCCCAGGGCCCTTGCCTCAGATCAGGACAACCTCTGTGATGCAGTGTGCACTCTCAAGCACCCCATGAATCATGCTGAGGCTAGGCTCTTCCTAAAATTACAGTTCTAACTTCCTCTCCTCATCTATCCTGCTTCCCTCAATGCCTATCTTGATGCTCAGATTGAAAGCATTTCTTCAGTGCATTGCTTGTACAAGAATCCCAGTCTCTGGCTCTGCTTCTAGGGAACCCAGCCTAAGGGACTCCTACAGCCAGAGCTAGCCTGGTATGTCCAAAAACCAGCAGGAAAGCCACACACATACACATTTGCATATAATTCTGCCTGAGACCCTATGGAGCCAGATTCAGAGACATATTTTTCATGCTCTGGCCTAAGGGTTGGTAACAATACGTGTTGGTTTCTTGAGACACTATCCATTTCTTCACAAAGGAGTTAGAAGGGCATTTCTGGAGACAGAACTTTCTATCTTCAGTCAGGAAAAGCTGCCCATTTGCATCTTTCCTAAGTTGCTTTCCTGGAAAATCACTGAATCCATCTACTATGGACTGAAACGTGCTTCCCCCACCCAAAATTCATATGCTGAATCCCTAACCCCCAGTGTGACTCTATTTGGAATAGAACTTTTAGGAGACAATTAAAGTTAAATGAAATCATAAGGGTGGAGTCCTAAACTGATAGATTGTTGGCCTTGCAGGAAGAGGAAGAGAGATCTCTTTCCCTCTCTCTCTGCCGTCTCTCTGCCGTCTGCCTCGGTGAAGACACTGAGGAAACTGCCTTCAGTGAGGTGGGAAGCAGGAGCTCACAGGAAACTGAACTGTCTGGGGTTTTACCATGGTAGCCTGAACAGATCATCAGAACTACAAAGCTGTCAAAACTAGAAGACCATTTAGAAGATTCTAGAGTTAGGTTTGTGAAGATCACTTTTCTGGCCCTGTTGGGAAAAAGCTCCTGCAATGCTGGCAGCCAGCCCCAGGGAGCCAGACCAGGGTGTCCGTGGGCCATGGATGGAAGGCTTGAAAACCCGAGGCAAATTCAGACTCGACTTACTTGTCTACTTTCATACCTGACCAAAAGGTGGAAGTATTGTAAAAGGTCTGAAGATAGAGACTGAGGGAGCCTTTTCTTAGAATTTTAATCATTTCCTGTGCAGCTGCTGTGCTGTGAATACAGAGTAATCTTCTCTTACATAGAAGATTAATTCTGAGAGGTAATTGGTTTATTATTTTATGTAAAGTGCTTAACCCACCTCCACATATCCTGGCATCCTGGCATTACAACTGAACCCTTGACAAGGAGCTGGAGAGAACACATTTGCAGACTGGGGATGCAGACTGAAGTCTTGCTTCTCCACCTTTCTTGTATGAGCTCTGCCAAGCGTACTGACCTCCCTGAACCTCAGTTTCTTCCTCTATAAAATATGCTTAAGCCCCACCCTACAGAGAAGCAAGGAGTAAGTGAAGAATGCCCATGACAGTGCATTTTTATCTGGCTGGAAGGCACCCAGCATGAGAACCCCTGAACAATCCCTGAATAGGTAACAGGCGGCAGGTCCACAAATTTACTTTGTTTGTGATTAGATTTTCATACAGTCAGGCCAAGAGAAGTTCAAGAGCCAGAACATTCTGAAGAATGTTCTGAAGTCCTAGATACACCCCTGCCCATAGGCCAGTGCTTGAGTGGATGTCTGGGTTGGAATCTGCTCTCAGGGGAGGGAATGGGCAGCTACAAATGAGGCTAGAGGAGTGCCTCCAGGCAAAATGGACTAGTTAGTCCCCAACTAGCTGCAGCGGCATCAGCTGGGGGGTTGCTTAAAATGTATGTTCCTCGTCTCACCTCTCCTGGAGTCCTCACAGCTACTACATCGCATTCTCTGAGGAGGGCCCCAGAGCCTGCTCTTCTGAAAGGACCTCAGGTGATGTTTTTGTGCACCTAAGTTTGAGACCCATAGGTAGAGTAGAGCTCCATCAGGATTTGCGGTCAGTAACAGCTTACTGTAGATTTTGTACCTAAGTTATAAGTAAATATTTTGAATGGCTTTCTTGAAACAGTTTTCAGCTTAAATTTACTCCCCATAGTAATATTCATAGGCTATTTATTGACCCCCCCAAATTAGATCTTAACATATATCATCTAGGATTAGTAATTATATTATGCAAAATATTCCTCAAGTCACATATTATCACATACTCACATCCAAGTAAGGCAATTTAAGAGGAACCATTGGAAACTCTTTTTGCACATATTCACTGAGAGTCAATTAAGGGAAGACCCCCAGTGGTAGTTAGAATCTGAGTATAATCAAGACTATTATATTATGAGGCCTGATTCTTGTTTTCCAGCTTTGGGGACTGATCCCAGGATGCACAGCCAATTAATGGCAACAAAATGTATTTTGCAATGAACAGAGAGCAAAGGTTCACTTAAATTTAGCTTTCTGACTTCATTAAGTTTTTTTTTTTTTTCCAGCACATAGAACATGCTGTGAAAAAGAAATCACAGAATGACATAAAACAACCCCTCTGTCATCTGGGAGACTATGTTTAGAATCATTTCTAAATGTTTCTGCACCACTGGGACTATGCAAAAGATTTTCCTTTTCATTATGCTACATTATGAACCAGAACCAAAAATTTAAGAAGGCTAGTTTTAAATATTGTTAACACCATATTGTTGAATGGTTTCATGCCAATGCCAGGAGAGAATGGGTAAAAAATCCGTTGTCCACATGCTGCAGGATGAATAATAATTTCCTGAGTGGAAAGAAGGAAAGAGTGAGCCTCAGAAACTATGAAATGCATGACATACAGTAGTGACAGCAAGGACACCGTGCTGGGCATGAGACCCAGCACGTCTTGCAGGTCCTCTTGGTCTTTGGAGGTGGGACTCCCAGAGCTCAGTCATCTTGAGGAAGGTTTGCTCAAGGAGCTTCTGGGTACAAACAGTGACCACCACTATTTTTAGTCACTTTCATCTGTTACCTTTAAGTATAATCTTAGGTATATTCATTACCTTCTTTGCAAATGACCAAGAAGGTAACTGCCTTCAATTAATCAACGGCAAAGTTGGGATTTGAACCCAGCTCTCACTCCAAGTCATTTCCCCACTTTATCTACTACACCAGTTTGCTTCCTTTGTGTATGAATCATTTATCCAGCACTTTGAGCAGCAATTCCCCAAATGTGATTCTTGACCACTGCCATCAGAATGATCTAGAATGCCTGTTGAAATTCAGATTCCTAGGCACCATGCAGCACAGGGGGATCTATCATTCTAGCAGGCCTAGGAATCCTCACTGTCACAGGTTCTCCAGGTTCTTCTTACACATAGTGCAGTGTGAGTGTTATTATTTTTAAGAATGCAGAAGAATCTTAAGATACAGGAGCTGCCCTTCATGCTCTTACAAGCCAGTTGGAGAGAGCAGCTCCCATGAAACCGAAGCAAAAACTACCCTTTGCTTTTGAATCATCCGCAGCAAACTGCAAAATCCCAGCCTAACTTCTACCTTGGGCTCAGTGTACTTTTGAGCCATCCTGCTTTGTGATCAAGTGGTATTTACTTGAGGAATGAAATCCTCATATTAACATAAGCAAAACATAATTAGAAAAATCTGTTATAAAAACCATTCTGCCTACCAAGCCAAATATAATTACTTTGGAGTAAGTCATGCCAGGAATCCCTCTTTGTTAGCCCATATAATTAAGAGTGATTGTCATGCCAATTGTTGTCAATGTCTATTTTTCTGAATTGTCTGGACATGTGCACCCCTCACTCCCAACATCTTTTACTTCTAATGTATGTACATCTTGAAAGAGTTGCCATCAAAAGATGATCTTACTCATTTTTGTAATAAGTTGTGTTTGTTTTTCTCCTTTGCTCCCTGTCCATTCTGTGTCCCTCTCAGTGTGCTCCACATCTGGACGCTGACCCTATGGACAGAGTCACCACCTGGGCTCCCTTGCCTTCTGGCTTCTGGTTGGTTTTGCCAATGGGAAGAACCAGCAGGGGGTAAAAGGGCAGGAGAAGAGGGAGGTCATGGTGTGTTTACCCCATAGCCTTCTCTACCTTCTGGGTTTCTTTTATGGCTATGGCTTCTGGCAGGTGCCCCTCTTCCTGGCTGCAGCTCTCACTGCCTCAGGCAGCACCTCTTCCCCCTTCAGATCTAAGGGAAGTGATGGCTTCCTGCTGTAGGGAGCCCCTGGGCGCCTCAACAACCTTTGCTGGTTCTCTTAACTCTTGCCTGCATCTCTGTAAGTAGTCTCTTCATTAAGTTCTCCCTTGAATGTGCCCTGTTTCCTATATATCCAGGTGCGTTTATTTATATTCATGGGTTATGTGCAAAGATATCTAGTCTATCCAAATTACTGGGTTAACCTGGCAAATGCAATTGCTGAGTTAAAAATTATTTGGTTTATTTTCAAATATAAATGTGTGTGTATGCGTATACATACACACAGACACACACACACAGACACACACAGACACACACACATATGAAAAATATTAAAGAGTAACAGCCTACTGCCTCCCACCTTTCCGTTGGTTCCATTGAGGAAATTGACAGAGACGGCCCATGGGGAAAGGGAGAACAGGAGAGTCGAAATTCAACTTGATAAAAAAAAGGGATTTCGTGAGCTAGGACAGACAGGCAAATGCTGAAGAATGGGTACAGAAGTGGGAGGAAAGGGAGGGAGGGAGAGGGAGAGAGGAGAAAGGCCACAGGATGCCACAAGGTATAGATGTGAGGTTCTTGGGGAGAGAAACGGCAATGAACATTTTAAAGAAGCTTTCTGTGGACTGGGCAGTATTATTACTCCCCTCCTTGCTGCCTGTCAGTTATGATCCACATTTCTCCTCAAGGCTGTGGGCTTTTAAAACATATCTGTGAGTTTTTGACATTTCTGCCCTCCAAAGGTAGGGCCTCTTCCTGTGGAATGTGGGCTTACTTTAAACAGAATGCAGCAGAAGTGAATCCGCCTAACTTCAGAGGCCAGGCCATAGGTGTCCCAGCTATAACTGGGTCCCAGCTGACAGCCAGCATCAACCACTAGGTCTTTGAATGAATGCACTTTCAGGTGGTTCTGGCCCCAGCCTTCCAGCCACCCAGCGAAATGGTAAATGGAGCTGGGACAAGCAGTCCCTGAAGAGCCCTGCCCAAATAGAAGATTTTTTTAGCAAAATAAGTGTTGTCATTTTGAGCCACTAAGTTTTGGGGCAGCTTGTTATGCAGCAGAAGATGACTAGAACAAAGCTTTTACAGTCAGACTTATGCTTCTTAAATTGGCCTTAAGGTGGCCCAGTGTTTCTCAGTAATAAGATGATAGGGAGAGAGTATCTTACTCTCTTAGCAGCCAGCCTTTAGGAGAAACTCTTCCTGGGAGATTTATGTATGTCATTTATGACAAGCACTGTGTGTCCAGCACATGGGAGGTGCTTAATTTATATTTTGGATGAGCAAGTAAGCCATGTAGGCTAGGGAGTGTGGCCCCAGGGGCATTACTTCAGGAACAACAGCCTTTGAGGGTGCGTTATGATGCCTCTAAGGCACTCGTTTGGCTCAGAACCTGGCTAAGTGGATGATGAAAGTTTAGGTTGGAACTCATTTGTTCTGTTTACTAGACAAGAGAGTCAGGAGCGGCTTGATGGTGAATCTGCATGTAGGAGGGAAGGAAAGTGGGCTTAAGAGCTAGTAGTGGAACTTTCCAGAAAGAAACTGTCTTTTTTGTAGCAGAACATCTATGGTGAAGCAAGGAGCCCCAAGGGCTTTGAATGAGAAGGGGAACCACACTGTTCAAGAGGACAAAATAAGCAGATTGTGGAGCATTCTCAGGATAGGGAAGGCAAATGCAGGTGCAGGGGGACCCCAGAGAAAGTAGGTCAGAGAAATTTCTGACGGCCGGATGGCTGAAGCATTTTAAGAAGAAAGATGTCTAATAGACATAAAGATGTCTAACAACTTACAAATTGTTGTCCATGATATTCTGTCATAGAGCCACCATCCACTGCCCCAAAGTTTCAATAAAGTCTGTCTTCCACATGGACTTTCCACTGTGGCATCTTGCAGAGGGAAGGAATCGGGGCAGGGTCTAGCAAAGCACAGAAAAGGGTCAAAAGCCCAGACACGTGGAGGAAATATGGCTATGGAAGCAGAGACCATTGGAAGAAGCACAGCTCCCCAAGAAGCCCTTTCTTTGGTGGTTACTCCAGAGATTAAAATGTACATCTTTACCACATCAGTCTATTTAGAGTTAGTATTATACACTTCTTGTAAAATGTATAACCCTTGCAATCATGCAGCTCCAATCCTCACCTTCTGCTTCCTTTATGCTGCAGCTGTCATAAGTATTTCATCTGCATACTTTATAAACCCCACAATAAAATGTTATAATTATTGTTCTACACAAATTTTAAAGAAATTAAGAGAAAAAGAGTCTTCTATATTTATCCATATACTTACCACCTCCAATGCTTTTAATGCCTTCCTAAAGATCTGACTTTCCATCTATTATTATATCCCATAAGCCAAGAAATCATTAGCTTTTTTGTAGTAGATCTGACAGCAACAAATTCTCTGTTTTCTTTTATCTAAAAATGTCTTTATTTCACCTTAATTCTTAAAGGATTTTTCACTGGGATTTGAATTCCTGGTTGCCTTTTAAAATATTTTTTTCTCTGCTGAGATTTCTTATCTTTTTATTTATTTCAGGAGTATTTTCCTTTATGTCCTTGGGCATAGTTATAATAGCTGCCTTAACTTCTCTGTCTGCGAATTCCAATATATGAAATGGTATTGATCTCTTTTGCTTATCTTTTCTCTTGTGATAGGTCATGTTTTGAAGATTCCTTTTATATAAAGCAATTTTGGATTGTATCCTGGATATTGTGAACAATATTGTATCCTGGATATGGTGAAGGATAAATTGCAGATCCTTAGAATTCTATGTTCCTCTGAAGAGTACTGACTTTTTTTAAAGGCAATGTGGCTAAACACAAACTACAAATTCTGTCTCCCCTGAGGTGTTAAACAACTTGTCCAGTTATGCAGCTGATAGTTAGCTAACTTTAGACAACTTATGAGTTAAATGCAACTTTGACAGGGAATATTTACCTAAGTTTTCATTTGTGCTTAAAAATTCTACCCTAAAACAAGCACTCCTTTTGTTTTCATTTGGTTGTCTTCAGTGGGAATCCAGAACTTACAGTTTGGTCTGTGGTGGGTGTCATTTACCATCATCGTTCTTTACTCCTATAGGCTTGTGCCTTCCAGATTCAAAGTGCTTCATTCCAGCTGTGAAATCCAAGTAAACCTCCAACTCTGGGTGGGTGGAGACTTTCTCTGCATACTTAGATGGGTGGAAAATATTAGGGTTGGCAGATAAAATTCAGGATGCCCAGTTAAGTTTTAATATCAGATAAAAACCCACAAATTTTTAACATAATTATTTGAGATGAACTTATTTTAGAAATAAAGACCAGTCAGATGAAAGAAGCAAAGGCAATCTATGCAGAGCTTGCTGGAGCCAGGGAGTCAGCCCCTGTCACTAGTCTCGGCAGACGGAGGGGAAAGCTCTATGATGGGAGAAATGAAGGCTTCAGGCATGCCCTGATGGGGGCCTATGGGCCCAGGGAAGCTGGAGGTGGGCCCACTGTACATGGGGCACCCTGTGCACTGGGTACCGGTGCATACTGGGCTTTCTTTGGCTGGTCCTAAGTTGGAAGCAGGGACAAAAGTTAGGAAAGCAGTCAGTTATTAATCAAGCCCTGTATGTTTTAGGCCAATTGTTGCAGGGGTTGTGTGGCTTCCTGGATAGTCAGAGACAGCTGGCTGGCTCCCCCTAAGTCTGACTTACATACAGCAGGCTGCATTTCTGGGCCAGTTACTGTAAATAAGGGGTGGGCTTCCTGGGTAGTTTACTTCAGCCTGTGGGTCAGAGTTCAATTTTATATATGGTCTGGCCATTGTCTGTTTGTGTATTCTGTCTCTCAATAACTATTTGGGACATCCTTATATTAAGTATCTCTTCAGAGATGTCTCTCTGAGCCCCCAGGAATGTCAGCCCAAAGGCACAGAGTAGAAATAGGAGAGGCCAGTGGCTGGTGGGCTGGTTTGGTTCTAGAACTCTGTCTGGTAGTACTGATCTTATTGGGTGATGGAGCAGACACGTTGGTGCCCCACCTCCCACCATGTGGCTCTTCTTCCTCCTGGCCATTGGTGTCACCTTTGCTGCAAAGGCCAGAAGAGCTGAGGAATTCACAATCCAGAAGCAGCCCTCACATGGCTCCTGAGAGCTGGTGTATAAGGAACCGGCTCTCTCCTCTTTGGACGGGATAACAGAGGTAGCTATGTGTCCACACTGGCCCCCACAGAGTAAGCCCCAGGGGACCTCAGGGCTGCCTGCTCCCACAGCATCTTTTACCGCTTCCTTTCCTTCCTGCTCCCAATGTCCTATGCACCCCCCAGTGTTCCCTGGAGATACCCCCAAATACTCTCCTTGCACCTGAATCTTTGTCTTTTTCTGGGGAACCCAAACTAACAAGAAAGGTGGAGATCAGCTGACCCCAAGTTGCCCTCCCTGGAAGTTTTAAATGCAGGACACCCTAAGAGAGGGCCAGGCCTGGGAGCCAAGTAGAGACAAGAAGCCCCAGATGGGTGAATATTGGCGCTCGGCCGTGTAAGGAGGAAGAAATGCTGGTGTCTAATGGAATCTCAAGAGAGGGCCACAAGGCTGACCCTGGGCTCATGAGTAGGGCTCTGGACCCTGACTGTTGCTCCCATTCTCCTGGAGCAGGGCTGTGCAATTCTGTCACTTCCCATGCACCCTGGTGACAGACCCCACCCCCTGGGTGACCCCCGCATCTTTGTCCCTTGAAACGTAAGGAGCCTACCTGGCCAGGTGATGTTTGTACAGATTTGTGGGGAGAGGCTTCTTCCTGAGGAGGAAATGAGGATTTCCTGCTTTTGGTTGTTGTTAGGTGTCACAGTTAGTATCTTTATCGCCTTTAATACTGAACAACTCCTTCGGTACGGCAGTTATTTGCTTCCGGGCTGACTGCCTCCTTCCCTTCCTCCAGTGGGACCTTTGGTAGGATCTAGGGGTGTGTTGGCACCTAGTGGGCAGAGGCCCGGTAGGTTGCTGAACATGCCACAGTGCCCAGGACACCCCCCAACAAAGAATGATTGGACCCCAAATGTCAGCAGTGCCAAGGCTGAGAAACTTCATCCTACGATGGAGCCTTTTTCTTTATTTTTAGTTCCGCATGGGTTAGTGCCTCCAGGTTAACCTGCCAGCAGGGGCTTGTTCAAGCTGAGTCCACTGCTGCCTTATTTGAGTCTGTCTCCAGACGGGACTGGAGAAAGCAGAGGAGGACTGGGGGAAAGAGTGCGGACACTGGTACTGATGGAGCCGCCTGGCACGAGGCGCAGGGGCTGCGCCTGGAGGCTAGGGCTGCTCCGCGGTGCCCACACCTCTCCTGGAAGGCACAGGGCATTAGTTCTCCTGTCCCAGGTGTCATGGCTGTGGCCTGCGGGAGTGACCTGGTCAAGGCCAGGCAGCTTATCACATCTGCAGCCAGGACCGGGCTCAAGAACCCAGGACTGAAGGCGCTACCCAGGAGAAGGGGTCGAGCGGGGCAGGAACTCACAGCAGCTTCTGTGGAAGTGTCTTTGTAGTAGCTGAGGCTGAAATGGAAACTAAGAATTATGTTGTTTTTGTCAGATCATCACATTGATTCCAACCAACGTTTACTGAGGTTGCGGGTTTACAGGGAGCCGAAGTTATTTATCACCAGTAGGTCTTTCAATCTCCGCAAAAACCGTGATGTTGATGTTGTTTTTTTCTTCTTTTTACATGTGGAGAAACTGAGGCAGTGCCAAGTTAAATAGTTAGCGAAGGTCATGCAGTAGGTCAGTGGGGCTGGAGGCCACACCCAAACGGTCTGACCCCAGAGTCCAAGACCTCGCCATCATGGAGATGACCATCCCAGATCCTAAACCCTAAGACGTTTTCCCAGCTGATTCCTGAAGAAAACTCATCCTACACGTCTTTTGTCCGCATACCTCTTACCACGGGGCAATATAACTCTTAGCCTGTGTATTTGTCCCTTCTCAAAGCCAGGTCATTGCCTTATTCCTCATGGGCCTCACAGCCTGGCATGGAGCCTGGCACATTTTTGGCACATTTATGCAGTCTGGCTCCAAAGTCTGTGTTCTTAGCCACTACCTAAACTAACACTATTTAAAAATAGCTGAAGCAAGACACCATTTCTGGGGATATGCTAAAAATTAGGCATGAAAATTCAATTTATATCCCATGTACTAAAACAGGATTCTATGTAATGCAGACGATAGCCTCTTCTGTCTGCATCCGCCCTCCATTCCTTCCCCGGACCCCTGTCAGAGCTGCAGATCAAGCATTGGAGGCCTGTCACTCACGGCAATTCACTCCTCCACGTGCCCTGCAGGCTGGCGTAGGGAGAGGCAAGTGGGGCCCCGGGGCACTGCATTTAAGGTGGACACCATTTAAGGTGCTCCCAGGGCCCACCACCACCACCATTTGCCTACCCTATTCTTGACCTTCCTCAGTATGTGAGCAGCGTGTCACCCGTCTGCTGAAGTCGCTGTGGCCTTCATCCCCGCAGGATGAAGACAGGGCTGTGAGTCATTTACCTGGTTGGGAAGGAGGAAGGAGCCAACGGAAGTGGAAACAGGAATCTGGAGCTGCCTCACGGGTCAGGCCGATCCCAACTGTGGTACAGAGGGTCCTAGACTGCTGTGTGGGGATGGGGACTGCAGCATGGCCCCAGTGGCAAGGGTGCTGGGAGCCTGTGCAAGGACTTTGCACACATCCCTGGGGTCTGCACCCACTGGCAGCTCTGCTCTGCGTAGCTAAAACGATCCAACTACCCTCTCTGAACCCAACCAGACCCCTTTGCCCCCAACCTCGGCTAGTCCCCCTGGCCTCAACTAGCCCTGTCTTCAAGGCTTTCCCAGTCCCAACATGCCCCTTGATTTCCTGCCTTTTTGGTTTATTGTGCTCTTGCCCACACCTGGGAGGCCTTTACCCACCTCATTCCAAGACATTCCTATAGTCCCAGAAGGCCCAGCTCAGACATCTCCCTCATCCCCGCCCGGACCTTTTCCTTCCTGCTCCCTGGGCCCTCCCATACTGTCTGGTCTCCCAGGAAGGGGGCGGGGCTAATGTTAGGGAACACCTACAATGGGCCAGGCGCTGAGTCTCTGCAGAGCTGAGCAACACATCGAAATCCACGCAACCAGGCCTCCTTTCCCCCATTTTATAGGCGAAGAGACTGAGGCTCAGAAAAGCTAAGTCCCATTACAAGATCATAGTTTTTAGGAAATGAAAGACAAGAGATTTAAATCCCATTCCATCTGACCCCACAGCCCAGGATACACCACCCCTTCCCCTGTGGCCCCCCCCTTAATAAGCATGGGCCATAAGGACCAGCACATACCATCAACATGTATGTGGTTCCAGGAATAAAGGAAGACCATGGGCTTCCCACATTCTTTTTCACATGTAGAAGTGCTCACAGACAAGCCCAGTGGTCCGGCCTGCTGTGGCCAGAGGGAACTGACCAGTGCAGACCATCCACCCAAACAGAAGACAAGAAGGTAAACACTCCTGAACTCTACCTGTCAGTTCTGCTCCCGGTGCAGTGCCGATCTCCCAAAAGGGGACCTGGGCGGGGGCGTCACTCTCAGCTGTGGGTGGGGGTGTCTGTGGGGGTAGAACCATCATTTGCATGACAAAGGGTCTCTCTGCAGGAGTGAAGGCTGGGAGCTGGGCTTGCTGCCTTGCAGAAGGGAAGCTTCTAGGTCTTCAGATAGCTGGATCTCCATGGAAATTAGTTTCCTGAGAGAAAGGAGCTATTTTAAGGACATGGAGAAGATAAGAACCTGTAGGCTGGGGTTAGGGAAGGTACTGTGGGAGAGTCATTTTCTGAATGACTCACTAATTTCCCTCCTATCGAGGTGGAGAAAATGGCATGGAAAAGGGGCCAAAACCCAGCCCGCACCGCTGACCCCATCCCTGGGCGAGAGGCTGGGGACAAGCTGCTGCTAGAGGGAATGCCCATTACGATGACAATGCCATAAAATCTGCTCTTTGCAGCCAGCTTTCATATAACATGCAGAGAAGGAAAAACTTGTTTCTTAAAAAAAGAAAAAGTGACTGCAACAGCTTCTGCCATCTCAGGGGGTGATGGAATTCATCCTAGCAGTAGGGGGCCCTTTTGCAGGGAAGCCTATTCATTAATCTGCCTTCTTGGTGAGGGAGCTGGGTGGAGCACAGCTGAAACAAAATAGAGGCAAATACTTAGGTAATAAAGAGGTGGGGATCCCTGGGTTCCCCTGGTCCTGCCATAGGAGGGGTAGTCGGGGGCTGGGCGGCCTAGGACGGGGAGTAGAGATGGCCGAGAGGCCTGGCTAGTGTGGGCCCAGAGACGGGTGGGCCAGCGCCCGGGGAGAAAGGTGATCGGCGTCCTGTAGGGGTGGTTGCAGGGCTGAGTGGTTGAAAGGCCAAGGATGAAAACTTACAGTGCCTCCAGCTGCGGGTGTCCAAGTGGGTCCTGTCATCCATCAAAGTACAGTCCCGCACAGGTGTGTGGCAGCTCAGGGCAGAGGCACTAGGGGCGCTGCGCTTGCTCAGCCACTGAAAGGCAGAGCAGAATGTGATGGGGAGTCCACGGTGCACCCCACACTGCTGCTCCTTGATCACTTCCCCCGGGAACCCTCAGCAATTGTAGGGAGGGCCTGGACATCTGTTCAAGGAGCGGGTGAGCTCGAGCTCTTTGATCTCCCTGTGGGCAGGCCACTGCGGGCACCTGGCTGCACGCTAGCCCACCTTGGCAGCCAACAGGGTCCCCAGGTGCCCTGGTCCTCAGCTGTATTTGGCCTAAAGGATGTCTGAGTGTCTCTGCCCTGGCTCTTGGCCTATGCAGTCAGAAAGCTGGGGCTGGGGACTTGGGTCAGCTTCTTGTGGGGATCAGGATGTGAGCCTGAGGGTGAGGGGATCCCATCTGAGTGGGGGACAGAGCTGCCCCTGCAGCCTCCATGTGCCACTGTGTTGAAGCACCGTGAGTGGTCTGCTCTGTGACTGCCAGGAACACCGCTCCCTCAAGATCTGCCTGGAGTCCAGACCTAGTGTCTGTGAACTGGAGCAGAGCCCCAGTAGTAGCCTGAGTTGGAAGAGCAGCTCAGGCCAAGGCACCCTGGAAGTGGGGCCAAGCAGGACCCAGCCTGGCCCTCTGGGCTGGGGCTGCCCCCTCACCCATGGGCACTGCAAGCTGCCCTGGAATGCAGGGAGCTGCAGGCCCAGGACCTGGACATTGTCTACGTGTGCTTATTGTCTCTGGAGCTTAGCAAGGAACGCTTATAAAAGCTGGGAGGAAGTTGCGGTTACAGGACAGCAGGTGGTGGAGGCTGGCAGGAGGCTGGTGGAGTCACGTAGGTGGCTGCAGGGTGGCTGGACCCCACGATGTGACGTCTGCCTCTGTTCCAGGTCCATGCCCACCTTCAGTCTTCTTTTTCTTTTTAACAAGGCAATAAATGCCATTTATGACATCTTTAAATTTACAAAGTATTCCAACTTAATACCCTGTAAGCTATAAAAAAAAAACAACAAATACATGTACAGCAGCACCACTGGTCACCAAAATGGAGGGGAAGGAGAGTTTGTAATTGTGGGGAGGAGCAAATGTTCTCATTAAGGCAATATTGACCCACACCACCATTTACAATCTGTCGCCTCAAATGCCTCACCACTCTGGAATGCCCGTTTTGACGAACATGCATTACTGTGCAGCAGTTCCTAAATTCTCACATGTTCTTCACTTCCTGATTCACCTGGTGACGGACCCTACAGAGTCCCCTGTCAGGACAGTGCTTCTTTACTGCCACAAACCTCAACATCCTCCCTCCCCTGGTGGCCACTCTGCAGCCCCAATAGCCTAGAAGCATGTCTGGGGCTGAATGCCAGGAAAAAATGCCACACAGATGGGAGCAGGGTGAGAAAGACACAATTTATTGGACATGTGGACTGACACACACCGGGATGTGGGGTGCGTACCCATTCTCTTGCACTCATACACGCTTCTGGATCTGGTTTCCTACATTAACTCTGTTTTTGTCAAAAAGCAACATAAGAGAAGACATCACCAATCTATTCAATCAAGGAAGCAGGGCCAAAGCCACGGAGTTCAGAAGGAAAAGCTACAGCTGTGAGAGTCTGAGCCAAGAGGCCAGCCCTCCCTGGCAGACAGGCAGGTGAGCCTGGCTCTTGGGAGCGACCCCAGCAACTCTTCTATTAGCACGATGAGGTAAGTGTTGGGGAGCTAGCCTCGACCCATGGCCTGGTGGAGGCTGCCCACCTCAAGAAGTGCATGGGGGACCTGGCACAGGACTGGGCAGCTGAAGTCTGAGCTTTCCACTGGAGAGCAGGAGCTGATATTCCTTCTCCTTCCAAGCGAGAACCAAGAGGGCCCAGAGATCCCTGCTCTCTGCACCAGCTCCGCCAGAGCCCCCAGGGCTTGAGCTACAGTGGGCTGCATCATGAGCCCAGGCCAGGTTCACTGTGCCCTAAATGGACCACTCAGTCTTCAGCTCCCTATGGGCCCGGCCCAGTCTCACTCCACAAGGGCACTGGCTTTAATTCTTAATGCTTTGTTCAAACCACTCAGGACTATTTTGAACCAGGGGGGTCTGGGAATGCGGTTTTGGTTGGCCAAAGAAGACTCAACTCACAATGTTCGTGAAGCACTTAGCACAGTACCTGGCACATGGTGAGTGCTCGATACATGTAGCCATTATTATTATTATTATTAATATTATTATTATTTATATCTCCACCCTCAGATCGGTGCTTAGTTCCTTTCTTTGAAATGGCGACCGGAACAAGGCTCTTGGGTTCCAAGTACCAAGGTCAAGCTGAGGCCCAGGTGCACTTTTCCTTCTAACCTCTGCACTTGGTGCCAAGTTGGCAGCCAGCACACTCTGCGGACCACACAGAAGCTAGGCTCTCTCTTGAAAAATAGGAAGCCCTGCCCAGGAAGCTAGGTAGGAGGAGCCAACAGGGGCTCCAGGGAGAGGCTCCGAGTGTCTTCGTGCGGCTCCTCTGGGCTCCCATCCCGCTGGCAGCTCACTGGGGGCTTCACTGGGGGACAAAAACAGAAGACCCTGTTATAAGTACGTTATATATATTATGTATATGCATGTGTATTATATGTATACCTAGTAATGTATATATATGAAACAAGATGCCACCTATAACTACATAATAGTGATAACATAGTAAGAATATGTAATAACATTTAATCCTCCCTATAAAACTTGTGAGGCAGGTTCCATCAATAGCCCCTTTTTACAGATGCGTAAACTGAGGCTCAAGGTACAGAGCCAAGTCGTAGGAGAGCTGGGATTCAAACCCAAGACAATCTGGCTCTAGAGTCTGCTCTTAACCACTATTAGTTTTGCTCAAAAAGGAATCTATTTTATAGAAAGGAAACAGTGCATCTTAAGTCTCTAAAATACTAGGAAAATTGGAAGTGCCAACACTAAGGATGATAATAACGAAATACAAACAATGAGGGCTCTTTGTATTTTTGCAGTCCTTTTCCTATGGGCCCCACACCGGAGGACTCGGTTTACCCACAGCCTCTCTTTTAACATAAGAGTATTAAATTTAAGAGCAAGGGCTTTGGGAATACACAGCCCCGGGTCCAAAGCCTGACTCCATCCCCTCCTCTTGGAGCAGCTCCCAGAACCAGTTTCTAGGAACCGAGTCCTGGGCCTTGTTCACCATCAAGCGCACCCCCGGGGCACAGAGGTTACAGCACCCGCACAGTATAGACCATGTGCGCACACACTGACTGCACCACTGGGCACAGCGCTACAGCACACACGCACACCAAGCACACGTGCGAGCACCGTGGTTATAGCATATACATATGTGCAGCGAGCATACACCCGTCACCGTGGTTACAGTACACACACGCGCGCGCACCGAGCACACTGCCAGGCACAGCGCAGCAGCACACGCAGCCCGAGCACAGCATTGCCGCACATGCGCTCTGAGCGTACCTGCATGGCTGCCCTGCCGAGCGGCGCGTCCTCGGGCCGGTGCTTGCCGTGGTGCGGGAGCTCGGCGTTGTCGCGGTAGTCGCGGCCCTTGGAGTGCTGCAGGTGCAGGACCGCCGGGCTCTTGACCGGCAGTGGTGGCCGCTGCGCCACGGCGGGTGGGATGGGTGGCATCTGCTGGCTCAGTTCCGACCTGGAAGGCTTGATGGGTCTCTTGGCTGGCACTGGGGCCTGTGGGCCGGCGGGGGCCTTGGGCTTCCCTTGGCTCTTGTCCCCGGCGGCTGGCCGGCCCTCGGCCGGAGACGAGCAGGTGAAGGAGCGGAGCCGGGGCGTGGGGCTGAGGAAGGGCGCGGGCGTGGGCTTGCTGGTTGCCTTGCTGCCCTCGGCCTCCTGGACTTTGGAGAGCAGGATGCTGGGCGACAGGACTCCCGGGTCCGGGCAGGGCGGGGGCTCCTTCCTCAGCATTTTGGGGGATTCCTGCTCTTTCCTGGGAAGCAGCTTGGGGAAAGAACTCACAGACCCGTACAGCGGGTTCTCAAACATCTCGGGCTTGGTTGGCTGCGGGTCCTCCAGTGCCAAAGGGTCCACGGCATCGCCAGGCCTGCAGCGGGGAGGGAGACCCGGGGAAGAAGCCCCATTGGGGAATGACTGCTTGGGCGTGTGGGGGCTTTCTTTTGGGGTGATAAGAATGCTTGGAACTAGATGGACGTGGTTGTGACCAACATGGTGAATTTCACCTCAATTAAAAAAAATAACAATGAGAGGGTATTGCTACTCATATGTCAATGATCTCACAGGTGACCCTCATCCTTGCCTCAGACCTTTGCCACCACGAAAATCGTTCACTCCAGGGCATTAATGAGCACGGGGGACTTGACTGAAGGTTTTGTAGGAGAAAGGGAAGGAGGGGCTTACGTGGTACCCCGAATATCAAAACTACCTCTCTGGTCCTCAGCAGAGAAGCCTGCCCTCCACAGCTCCTGTCCCCTCCTTGCTGTTAACAGACCTCCCTTCCCAGCTTCCGCCCAGGAATCTCTCAGCCTCTGCTCTTTCTGCCAAACTGTGCTGTGACCCTAAGGGAAACAGAAGCCTTGCGGGTGATCAGACGTCCTTGGTGACCATCTGTGTTATCTGCGGTCTCAGCCCTAGGGGCTCCCCTAGACAGACACGCAGGAGCCCCCAGGGTGAGGCGCTGCTATGACACCAGGAGGAGGCCAAGGGTGTGCTCGGGACTGACTTCACGCAGTGTTCTTCCCAGCCGCACAGTCCTCTCCCCGGAGCGCTCCTGGTGAGTGTGCTTTCCTTCAAGCCCTCACTCAGAGCAGGAAGGAAAACGGTCATACTGACCATCAGAGGGAGCCTGGACTGATGGGAGCAAGTGCCGGGGAGACAGGCCAGTAGCAAGAAAACAAGCCAGATTGACTTATGGGCAGAGAAGGGAATCCAGGTTGTAACCCAAAGCAGGTAAGAGTTGCCTTTGTTTCCTGGTTTATTACTGCTCTTACTTGAGGTGATTTCCTGCTGAGCAAATTGTGAGAATCAGGAATGGGGGCACATTTGACTTTGTGGCCGACAGTATAATCAATCTCCCAGGGGAATTCCCTGGGGTCTGTTCTCTCTGAGAAAGGAAGCTGCCATGAAGAAAATGGGAGTCCCTGGAACCCACCAGACCAGACTGTCCAGGCTGTGATGTCTCTCACTGATGGAATGGGTGCTGAAACACTGCTCAAAAGTTGCCAGACAGCCAAGGCTGGTAGTCTCTGGGGAGTGAGGCAAGATGTCATCCTCCCACAGGTGCCGTGAGACGAGATGATGTGGGGTGTCAGTATACTAGCTTCGGGGACATGCCAAAGGGGGCTAGACTGCAGATTCGGATTTTCTGCTCATTACTCTTTGGAAAGACCTAGATGCAGCTGCCTAACGAGAAATGTTGGGGCCTTGAACAAAGATTTTGGAAAGGTGCCCTGCCATCTCTGGACATCCTCTGCACCCCCATCTGGACCCTCAGAGACCTTTGCTGGGAGTTAGCCTAGGGAGGCAGGTGCAGGAGGGTACAAGCAGCATTGATCAGAAGTTTCTGATGAAGAGGCAAGAAAGAGAAAAGAACCATGCATGGCCTGATACCTGGCAGCCCACTGTCAAGGACAGACAGGAGGGGGTTCGCCCAGAACTAGGGGAAGGGTCAGGAAGAGCACCCTGGATGCGAGCATCTAGATGATTCCAGTAAAAGAGCAGAGGTGGAGGCGTGTCAAATCGTCCCTCCAAAGGGGCTTTTTGTCACTCTTTGAAAGGGGAAGGTGTAGGGGTGACTCGGGAAAAAACCAAAATAATTTTAAGAGGTCTTATTTCTCTGAGCAGGGAAGGTAGCAAGATACTGACTCCTGTAAGAGCCACGGTTGTGGAATAAGTGAACCAACATCCAGGGCACAGAGTTAATTCTTGGGGCAAAATGTCTCACTTCTCAGATTCTGGAGTCCTTTATTTTCTAAAGTAGAGTACTGAGCAGGTCTGAAGAGCCCTCTTCCTAACCACACGATGTCAGCCCGAGGTGACCAGTTGTCCTGGTTTGCTCAGGATACAAGCATTTCCCAGGACAGGGGATTCCTAGTGCTGAAATACGGAGTCTTGGGTGAGTTGGGGTGGCTTAAGTGTAGGGTGATGTTGGGGGCACAGGGAGGGTGCTGGTGACACGTGCTTTCCCACAGCCTTCGCTCAGGCTGAGCCAGGATCTGCAGCAGCGACCAGGGCTGTGGCAGCTGTGTGGGCTGCTAGCTCTGGCCTCTGATCACCTCCTTGGTGAGAAGTGAGCCTAGAACCCCACCCTGAAGCTGTCACCCATGGAACTAGGGGGGACACATTTTCCACCCAGTTCTAAGCTGTGTGCCATGTTCAAGTCGTTAAGCACAAAGACACGTTTACGTGGGAACTTAAAAACATTTCACTAAACAATCTCCTTGCTCTTTGTGGTTGTTCACAGCTCTATTTCTGGGGTTGTCACAGAGATGACCTTTGCCAAAGAGGCACCTCCGCACCCCCTATATGGTGGTTTTTGGCCTCTTTTTTTCCCAGGGAGGAAATTTGGGGTATTTCCCCTTCCCCCAAGTTCCTTACGGAATGACCAAAGTCCATAAATATTATCAACAAATTCTGAAAATTAGCAGTACAGATAGCCCAAGGGTGAGCTCAGGGGCAGGCCTATTTAGTTATCCTGTCTGGTTCTAGCACAAACTCCTCCCTCCCTCCATCCCTCCCTTCCATTCATCTATCCATTTTTTCAGACAAAAAGCTTAAGAAATAAAACTAAACTGCCCCTCAACCTAGGCCAGGCATGGGAAGGTTGGAAGTAGTGGAAGATTAGGGAGAAGAGTATTTGACAATAATCCCTTTCCTGGCTCCTAACAAATGACAGAAAACACCACTGAGGGACCTAAGACCTTACAGAGGGCAAGAGAGACCCAGACTGTCCCCCTGAAGGCACATAAACAGGAGGAGAGCCACCAAGGGAAGATGACGCTAATGATACTTAGCACATCTTCAGTCACTGTTCATTGGGACCTGCAGGGTCATCTCCCTGGCAACCTGTGCTTAAGAGAAACATGTGGAGCTCACTCTCCTGCATTTCTATGAGGTGGCGCTTATGCGGATTGCCTGTTACTTGGCACAGAGATGACCTTTGCCAAAGAGGCACCTCCGCACCCCCTATATGGTAGTGCATGAGAAGCGGTTGTGGCTGCTCAGCCAGTCTCCTCCCCAGCTCCTCCCCCTGGCCTGTGCTGTCTGGACCATTCTAGATGCAAGTGGCTTTCTCCATCCTCCTATCCGTTCCCCAAATTTCATAGCCAGACCCCCTCCCTCTGCAGGCTAGCTGCTCCCCCTCCCTTTAGCCCTCCCATTCCTGGCTGCCGCTTTCTCCAGTTGGCCTCAACAGGAGAGTTGTGCACGGGACCAGGAGCACTCGTGGCTGAGAAGATGGGGAACTCCACGCTGGTGAAGAACTTTTAGGTGGAAACTCCCACCTCTGTTTCTTGAGGGAGTGGGAGACTGCCTGAGGGTGCACAGGTCACAAAAACATAGTTCTCAATAAATGTAGTTTCACAGGAGGGTATTTTGGGGGCAGTATCTTAAAAATTTTCCATCCTGTTAAAAAAAAAGAATTTCAGGTTTATACCAATAGGGCAGGACTTGGAGATTCCACAAGTGCTTCCTGAGTGTCCACTGTGTTCCAGGAGGAGTCAGTGACCCAAGGATGAGTCGTGGCCCAAGTGGACACACATCCTTGCCCACATATAGCTTTTGTTTGAGGGCTGGGTGTCCCAGCAATGAAACCCCAGGGAGAGGCTTTGGTGAAGAAGACACTCACCTTGACTCCTGCGCCCTGGGGCAGGGGCCCCGGGCTGCTGCCGAAGATGAAAACTTCTTCGGTGATACAGGGGGCTGGGAGGGCGGTGTTGGAGGGCTCTCTCCCCTGCCGGGCCCCAGGGAGGGATCCTTGAGTGGCTGGTCATAGCTCCAGGCTGTGGGCTGCTGGTCGGGGGACAGGGCCTGCTTCATGTGCCCGAAGGACCCCATCCCCATGTAGTTGGGGTTGATGACTTCCGTGATGCTGGAGCCACCACATGGAGGGACCCTGCAAGGGAGACACGTGGTCACGCCTCAGGGTTCCCTTCCCTTCTGTGGGTCAATGCCAGCCTGAGCACTGTCCTCTGATGTCCCTCGGGGCCCCTCAGAGTCACCTCAACGCCTTTACTTTCAGACAGTGGGTTCGTTCATTCCTACAACAGAGTAGTTACTCCTGAGTGCCTCACAAGCACCAGGCCCTGGGCCAGGAGGAAGGAACATGGTCCCGGATGGGCAGTCACAGTCTCTGTTCTCACGGGAGAGACCATCAGAGCAAACCCAGTGACTGAGAGACATGGCATTTATGCTGCGGTCTGCCTGAGAGTAACAAGAGGCAGACAGACCAGCGGGACGGCTGGGACCGACTGGGCAAGGGTGTCCAGTGCGAGGTGCTGGGATGGAGGCGGCCATGTGGGCAGCAGGAAATAGTGTGGAGGTCACAGGAGTCAAGGCTGGGGCTGCAGACGTGGGGCAGGCAGCTTGAAGCTATCAAGGGGATGGCCCAGAGCTGGGTGAGGTGACCCTGTGGGACACTTGTGCTGCTTCTCGGTGGCAGAAGTGTGGTCCTTCTTGTAAGATGTGCTCTCATGAGGACTGGCTGGTGGAGTTGAGTGTGTCAGTTATAACCAACGCTCCCCAGCTGCCATTGGTTCAACCAGCCTGATTCTGAGTTTTTCTCACTCCCGTGGTCAATGCCTGCTTACGCAGGGTTAATTCTAATACAAGCCAGATGGAAAATAATTTGTTGGCCTCTACTGATCCTGATTCTGGGACCAAGTACACATTTGAGAGCCGGGATGAACTGACTGATAGGATAACAGTGGAAGAAAAAGATTGAAAGGGGACACTTTAGTGCCCATAGCTACAACCATTGGAAGTTGGCAGTGGACAAGGACATGGGTTGGTTGTGGGCGTGTCTGGGCACAGAGGGCAGGTTGGCATGAGGTGAGGGCTGGATGGACAGGTAGTGTGGGAACCAAAAGCAGGAGCACAGTGGGCCCGGCTCTGCAGCAGCTTCTGGAACTCTGCTCGGCTAACAGGCACAGCTGTGCCCGCTCAGCAGGCAAGCTGGGATGGAGACCACTGGCTTGATTCTGGTCCTTGAGGCCACATCAGTGACCTGAGGTGACCCTGCTATCCACTGGGAATACAGACTTTAATGTCTGGATTATCCCCAGTTTGGGCTCTGCCAAGAGCAGCCTGCATGCATTTTCCCCATAGTAACACAATGAGGTTTACTGACCACAGGCCATGCCTGCTCGTGTCCCTGGTCCGCAGGAGTCACGCAGCCATTCCCTGCAGACATCTACTAGGCTGTGGCTCCCACGTCAGGGACTACGCTAATGGGCCTTGGTCTCTCTAGAATCTGACACATGCTGGGTATTCAACTGATGTTGTGGAATTGAACTGAACTTTCCAATAAGGAAGCGTCTCCCAGGCCTTGTCAGCAACATCTACCTCCCCAGAGCTGGCAGCAGGGCAGTAACCCCCTGGGCCAGAGCTTTCTTCCCTCCTGGTTCTTGGTTTCCCTGTGCCCCACTACCCTCCCCTAGGTGCTGGGTCTGCAAGCCATGCTAGTTTGTAGCGAAGCCCTGCAACCCCCTGTCCTACCTGTTGGCAGGTTCCCACTGCTTCATGGCGTCATGGCTGGTGAGACTCTTCAGGGCCTTGGGCCCGCTGGACTCATCTCGTTCAGTCTTCACAAAGTCTGCAAGCAGAGGGTCAAGAAAGCGGATGTACTCAGAATGCTCAAAATAGAAATACCATTTGACCCAGGAATTCCACTCCTAGGAATTTACCCTAAGAATGCAGCACTCCAGTTTGAAAAAGACAGATGCACCCCCATGTTTATCGCTGCACTATTTACAATAGCCAAGATATGGAAGCAACCTAAATATCCATCAGTAGATGAATGGATAAAGAAGATGTGGTACATATACACAATGGAATATTACTCAGCCATAAGAAAAAAACAGATCCTACCATTCGCAACAACATGGATGGAGCTAGAGGCTATTATGCTCAGTGAAATAAGCCAGGCAGAGAAAGACAAGTACCAAATGATTTCACTCATCTGTGGAGTATAAGAACAAAGGAAAACTGAAGGAACAAAACAGCAGCAGAATCACAGAACCCAAAAATGGACTAATAGTTACCAAAGGGAAAGGAACTGGGGAGGATGGGTGGGAAGGGAGGGATAAGGGTGGGGAAAAAGAAAGGGGGCCTTACGATTAGCATGTATAGTGCGTGGGGGGCACAGGGAGGGCTGCGCAACACAGAGAAGACAAGTAGTGATTTTACAGCATCTTACTATGCTGATGGACAGTGACTGTGAAGGGGTATGTGGGGGGGACTTGGTGAAAGGGAGAGCCTAGTAAACATAATGTTCTTCATGTTATTGTAAATGATACCAAAATAAAAAAAATAAAAAAATAAAGAAAGTGCACGTGAGGGCCCAGTGCCCAGAGGTGGGGCCAGGGTGGCACCGAGGTTTCCACTGACATGCTGAAGCTGGATGGTGAATAACGGCTGCCTTGGGAGGTGAGGTAAGCAAGATTCTGAGGCCTCATACAAGCTGTGATTACTCATGCCTGCCATGGCTCCGGAGGGAAGACAGCAGGCATGTGTGACCCAGAGTGGCCATCCCATGTGAAATTTCTCACCTGTTGGTGTCAGCAAGGGATAAAATAGGCAACTTCTTTCTTGCAAGATGAGAATAAAATGGATATAACACTGTGGCTGCACAGAGCATTTGGTACCCAAAGTCGGCCCTCCCAAAGCCTATTCAACAGGCTTAAAGGGCAGCCAGGGCCCATCTTCATCTCTGACTCTGGCTTGTGGTTGCAGAGATACCGAGTCCTCCTCACCCCAACCCATAGCCCTGCTGGAGAAAGGAGCTCCCTCAGGGCAGGGGGAAGTCACATCCATGGGAGACAACAACTCTGATGGCCTAGAGCCTTCCCAGGAGCAAGGGGTGCAGCCCGCCTACAGGCGGTAAGACCTGCCCTCTCACCGCTCAGGTGAGAGGGCAGGGCGCCATCATATTGACGAATTCCAGCTCAGCACCAGGGGAAGCTCCACTTTCAACTCAGGCGAGCCACTTACTATTACGTGATCTTCAGTCAATCACTTACTTAATTGTTCTGTGCCTCAGTTTCCCCATCTACCAAATAAGGATAATGCTTGGCTCTCAAGCTCTTGTGAGGGATACATGAGCTGATGTTTATAAGATAATCATTTCATACATTATCAAGTATAAAGTTAAACCCAACTCATTTTAGGCATTATTATTTGAGTTCTTTTGAGCAGGAATTAAAGTAAACAGGAAAAGAAAAAAAAATCACTCGTTGCCTGTGTGAAAAGCAGGAAATGCTTGATTAACGAATTTTGAGTAGCTCTGTACTTCTCAAATCTTTTTTTATTATTTTAAGCAGAGAGGTTTTAATGTGGTAGACACCACTGACAAGTCCGCATTAATTTCCAAGTTTCGAAATCTTAGGCAGGATTTGAGAAAATTACAAATTCAAGTCTCCATGCGGCCTTGCATTCTCTCGTGTTATTAGGGTCTCTCAGCCATATTTCAATATTCTCTAATGGAGTGGGGTGACAGTTCTTGGTAAGAGATGAGTCACTCCCAATTGCCTACAGGGAATCTGCACAGTCTCCTTTAGGGACAGAGAGAGGACGACTCCCCAAGGCTGGCATTTCACACGGGATCAGGGAACACGTGTGATGAACACTTATTCCCAAGCGGGGCTGCACTGGTATCGTTTCAGGAGAATCACGGCAAACGTGCCTCCCTACAGACGGCCCAAGTCAGCACGTGGTGGTCAGCAGGACGGGAAGATTTGAGTTCAAGTTGAAAGGGATGAGGGGAGCCACCAGGGAAGAGGCCACGGGACACTGCTATTTGGGGGGCGGCTGTGGCTAGAATAGGGAAAGGCCAAAGAAATGTGCCAAGGATGAGGCTGGAGACTTCTGGATGCAAATGGCATACGAGAGCAATCTAGAAGGCACAGGAGCCCTGGGGGGACACCAGGAGAGCAGAGGGCACATGCCTACGAGGGGTGCATGGATGTGTGGGTTGCACACCCGTGGGCCCCGAGGAAAAGCAGGCAAGCTGCACGTAAGAAGTTCTAAATCTCAGCCACAGCCATAGCTTCAGCCCTTCGCCCTGCATCCTGGGAAGAGCTACTGAGTGTTAGGTGGGTTTACTGTGTGATCTGGTCCTGCTGGTTGAGGTATTAAGAGGGAGTGACAGGGCCTAAAGACCAAGAGAAGGCAAGGACACAGGACTGGAAAATTCACGAGCTCCACACCCTTAAAAACATAAGGGGGGAGGGTGATTTGTGGTTGTGGGTGTTAAGGTTCTGTAGGAAATTCTTGAATCAGCTAAGGGTTGACCACTTGTGTCTGAGATCCCTTTTGATGCCGGATTTTGGTTTTCAGGCCACAGCAGAAAAAATAGTCAGTAGCTTTGCTGAGAGAAGCCTCATTCCAGTCCCTGCGTGGCAGCACTGAAGAGAAAGCAAGGAGGGCCGTGCCCACTTACCATAGAGCTTCTCCCTCGTCTTGCCTTGGGACGTCTGCAGCTTAATCTCCCCCCGGAAGTGACCCATCATCTCTCCATGGTGGGTGAGAGGTGTGTAGATGGGGAGCAGGGTTTCCGTGGCCTCCAACCGTAAAGCGATGCAGCCCTCACCTGGGGAGGTAGGGGATGGACAGTCAAGCCCCCACCGTTCCACGGGGGAAACACCACTCATTCGGGCCAGAAATTTGGCCCTACCACCCCCAAAGATGGTCCAGCAAACCAATGGCCAAGGCAGGGATTATCAATAAACCTTTTAGAACAATTCCTCTGCAATTTGGGTAAAACATCTCAAACCTTACAGCCAAATGCACTCCGTGTGGATTAGATGACTGAAAAAAATGAAATCATAGAAAATCAGCAGAAAATCAGATACTCATCTGCAGGAGAGAATAATAAACTTCCCAAGGTTTGAAGCGACGTAAGAAACAACAAAACAAAGCTGACCGGTAAGAAGATAGAAGTGTAAAGCTTCTACGCAGAAAAAATGGACTGAAACAGAGTCCCACTGGGAACATGAACTGCAGCCAGCTTCACAAAGGCAGTATTTTATCTGAACCAAAACCAAATCCCCAGCAGATAAATGGGCAGATAACCCCCAGACATTTCTCACAGGATCGTAGCTGGTTAATTTCAAGAAATGGAAACTAGTTCAGCTTTCCCAGCCATCCAAAAAATAAACTGAGGCACCACCAAGGGACTCTCTCACAGATATGAAATTAGCACAAAATAGAAGGAAGAAAAAGAACGCCCAGTGCCAGCAAGGATCTGGGGAAACCCACACACTCTGACATGGCAAGCCAGCCTTTCCAGCGGTCAGTTTGATCAATACCAAGAACCATGAATGTATTTATATACCCTTTGACCCAGGAGAATTGGGAACTTATCCCAAAGAGATGATCCAAAAGAATTAAAAAATGTAGCCAAAGGAGAATTAAAAGTGCCCACAAAGACATCCACCTGAGTGTTACTGATAATGCCAATGACTGCCTACAAATCTATAGAATATTATGAAGCCATTAAAAGCAACCATCATGAAGGCTGCATAGGAGGATCGTGGCAAATGTGTATTACCTAATACTAGGTGAAGAAAGAACATAAAATGATCTCTCTCGCGGATGATCATAAATACAGAAATAGGTGCATGCCTGTGTATGAGAATGGAAGTGTGACACAAAAATAAAAATGACTGCTGTAGTGGGGATAGAGACTGCTGGTTGACTTTTTTTCTTCATTATTATTATGATATGCTGTTTGTGAGAATGGACACCAAGAGGAAGGATCAAAGGAGGAATACAGGAAAATGGAAGCTGTGTCCCTGTTTCCTGCCACCAATCTCCCAACATTCCAGCGTCCACATGGAGGCTTCTCTTTGCCTGCCACGATGGACGGGAGACCCCACCCAGAGCCAGCGGGTTCCTCGGGCTGTGCGGCCCTCGCCCTGGCTCAAGAACCCTCTTTCCATCGCTCACCAGGAGGGGGTGGGGGGCATGATTCTGGAGCTGGGCTGCCCGGGTTCAAACCCAAGTTCACACAGTAGCCTGTCAGAGTCACTCAGTGCTTTGTGACCCTGGACAACTCACTTCATTTCTTCACCTCTACAAGAGGGCAATGATTGTACCCACATCCCAGGGCTTCTGGCAGAGCATGTACAGGGGCAGCCAACATGCCTGGGCACTGTGTCCACAGCCTCTTCCTGGGTCCTGGCCTCCACCAAACAGCATCGAGCACCCTCAGATTCCTCCCACTGCAAACACACACCCTTCCGGCACCCAGGTTCAGTCTTGCCCGCCTTATGCCCCCTGCCTCCTCACCCCCATCCACTCCCTAACTGCCTGCAGACGCTGCTCTCACAAGTCCACAGATGGTCCCCGAGCCACTCTGTCCAAATGGCACTCAGTCTGCATTCTGTGGGCTTCTGGCCACTTTTACTAGCATGAGCCCTCCCTGACTGCGTCCCCTACACCACAGCCTGTTGCTCTCCTGCCACTTCTCTGGCTGTGCCTTTGGCATCACCTTTGCCTGATCCTCATCTCCCGGTCCCCATGCCAATGTCCCTTTTCAGTACCTCTCAATTTTATCCTGGCTCCCTCATCTCTCATCCTGATCACCGCAACACATGTTTCTGAGATGCCAAGCCTGTCCTGTTACCGTCCTTCCTGATTCTTCAATGTCTCCCTACTGCCCCCAGGATAAAGCATTTGCCCCTAGCCTGGCTGCCGTGAGATGCTTCTGACTCTGGCCTCTCTGGCCACCTGCCTGTTCAAGCACACTCAACGTACCAAGTGCAAGGGCGAGCCTGACACTGGGCCGAAGCCACCAACTGGCTGAAGATGTCAGAAGATGGTGTCCCTCTGGTAGGACAGCTGGTGAGGCCACAGGCCTCCACAAGCCAGGCTGGAGACTTCTGGATGCAAATGGCATACGAGAGCAATCTAGAAGGCACAGGAGCCCTGGGGGGACACCAGGAGAGCAGAGGGCACATGCCTACGAGGGGTGCATGGATGTGTGGGTTGCACACCCGTGGGCCCCGAGGAAAAGCAGGCAAGCTGCACGTAAGAAGTTCTAAATCTCAGCCACAGCCATAGCTTCAGCCCTTCGCCCTGCATCCTGGGAAGAGCTACTGAGTGTTAGGTGGGTTTACTGTGTGATCTGGTCCTGCTGGTTGAGGTATTAAGAGGGAGTGACAGGGCCTAAAGACCAAGAGAAGGCAAGGACACAGGACTGGAAAATTCACGAGCTCCACACCCTTAAAAACATAAGGGGGGAGGGTGATTTGTGGTTGTGGGTGTTAAGGTTCTGTAGGAAATTCTTGAATCAGCTAAGGGTTGACCACTTGTGTCTGAGATCCCTTTTGATGCCGGATTTTGGTTTTCAGGCCACAGCAGAAAAAATAGTCAGTAGCTTTGCTGAGAGAAGCCTCATTCCAGTCCCTGCGTGGCAGCACTGAAGAGAAAGCAAGGAGGGCCGTGCCCACTTACCATAGAGCTTCTCCCTCGTCTTGCCTTGGGACGTCTGCAGCTTAATCTCCCCCCGGAAGTGACCCATCATCTCTCCATGGTGGGTGAGAGGTGTGTAGATGGGGAGCAGGGTTTCCGTGGCCTCCAACCGTAAAGCAATGCAGCCCTCACCTGGGGAGGTAGGGGATGGACAATAATAGGTCAAGCCCCCACCGTTCCACGGGGGAAACACCACTCATTCGGGCCAGAAATTTGGCCCTACCACCCCCAAAGATGGTCCAGCAAACCAATGGCCAAGGCAGGGATTATCAATAAACCTTTTAGAACAATTCCTCTGCAATTTGGGTAAAACATCTCAAACCTTACAGCCAAATGCACTCCGTGTGGATTAGATGACTGAAAAAAATGAAATCATAGAAAATCAGCAGAAAATCAGATACTCATCTGCAGGAGAGAATAATAAACTTCCCAAGGTTTGAAGCGACGTAAGAAACAACAAAACAAAGCTGACCGGTAAGAAGATAGAAGTGTAAAGCTTCTACGCAGAAAAAATGGACTGAAACAGAGTCCCACTGGGAACATGAACTGCAGCCAGCTTCACAAAGGCAGTATTTTATCTGAACCAAAACCAAATCCCCAGCAGATAAATGGGCAGATAACCCCCAGACATTTCTCACAGGATCGTAGCTGGTTAATTTCAAGAAATGGAAACTAGTTCAGCTTACCCAGCCATCCAAAAAATAAACTGAGGCACCACCAAGGGACTCTCTCACAGATATGAAATTAGCACAAAATAGAAGGAAGAAAAAGAACGTCCAGTGCCAGCAAGGATCTGGGGAAACCCACACACTCTGACATGGCAAGCCAGCCTTTCCAGCAGTCAGTTTGATCAATACCAAGAACCATGAATGTATTTATATACCCTTTGACCCAGGAGAATTGGGAACTTATCCCAAAGAGATGATCCAAAAGAATTAAAAAATGTAGCCAAAGGAGAATTAAAAGTGCCCACAAAGACATCCACCTGAGTGTTACTGATAATGCCAACGACTGGCTACAAATCTATAGAATATTATGAAGCCATTAAAAGCAACAATCATGAAGGCTGCATAGGAGGATCGTGGCAAATGTGTATTACCTAATACTAGGTGAAGAAAGAACATAAAATGATCTCTCTCGCGGATGATCATAAATACAGAAATAGGTGCATGCCTGTGTATGAGAATGGAAGTGTGACACCAAAATAAAAATGACAGCTGTAGTGGGGAAAGAGACTGCTGGTTGATTTTTTTTCTTCATTATTATTATGATATGCTGTTTGTGAGAATGGACACCAAGAGGAAGGATCAAAGGAGGAATACAGGAAAATGGAAGCTGTGTCCCTGTTTCCTGCCACCAATCTCCCAACATTCCAGCGTCCACATGGAGGCTTCTCTTTGCCTGCCACGATGGACGGGAGACCCCACCCAGAGCCAGCGGGTTCCTCGGGCTGTGCGGCCCTCGCCCTGGCTCAAGAACCCTCTTTCCATCGCTCACCAGGAGGGGGTGGGGGGCATGATTCTGGAGCTGGGCTGCCCGGGTTCAAACCCAAGTTCACACAGTAGCCTGTCAGAGTCACTCAGTGCTTTGTGACCCTGGACAACTCACTTCATTTCTTCACCTCTACAAGAGGGCAATGATTGTACCCACATCCCAGGGCTTCTGGCAGAGCATGTACAGGGGCAGCCAACATGCCTGGGCACTGTGTCCACAGCCTCTTCCTGGGTCCTGGCCTCCACCAAACAGCATCGAGCACCCTCAGATTCCTCCCACTGCAAACACACACCCTTCCGGCACCCAGGTTCAGTCTTGCCCGCCTTATGCCCCCTGCCTCCTCACCCCCATCCACTCCCTAACTGCCTGCAGACGCTGCTCTCACAAGTCCACAGATGGTCCCCGAGCCACTCTGTCCAAATGGCACTCAGTCTGCATTCTGTGGGCTTCTGGCCACTTTTACTAGCATGAGCCCTCCCTGACTGTATCCCCTACACCACAGCCTGTTGCTCTCCTGCCACTTCTCTGGCTGTGCCTTTGGCATCACCTTTGCCTGATCCTCATCTCCCGGTCCCCATGCCAATGTCCCTTTTCAGTACCTCTCAATTTTATCCTGGCTCCCTCATCTCTCATCCTGATCACCGCAACACATGTTTCTGAGATGCCAAGCCTGTCCTGTTACCGTCCTTCCTGATTCTTCAATGTCTCCCTACTGCCCCCAGGATAAAGCATTTGCCCCTAGCCTGGCTGCCGTGAGTTGCTTCTGACTCTGGCCTCTCTGGCCACCTGCCTGTTCAAGCACACTCAACGTACCAAGTGCAAGGGCGAGCCTGACACTGGGCCGAAGCCACCAACTGGCTGAAGATGTCAGAAGATGGTGTCCCTCTGGTAGGACAGCTGGTGAGGCCACAGGCCTCCACAAGCCTGGCCAGTCTGGGCACTGAGCAATGTTGGGCAGACCTGTGTTCAAAATGGTGCTCAGCCAGTTACTACCTGTGTGACTCGGGCAAGTCACTTAACCTCTCTGAGCCTCAGCCTACTCATCTAATTGGGAGAATAGCAACTGCTTCATAAGGTATTGTCAGGATTAAATCAAATAATAGCCACAAAGCTCTTGGCACAGACTGACATAGGGAAGGTCAGGGAGTGGGAGATGCTGTGGCTGCCGGCTGTTATTCCCAGAAGCCCAATGGGGCGGGAACGATGACTTACCAGTGGGTGTCCCTCTGGTGGACCTGGGATGGGGAAGGAGCAGCAGCAGTATGGGGAGGTGGGTGGGCTTTCGGTGCAGCGACGCCACCACCTCCCTTACATCCGGGGCCACCAGCCAACAGCAGAGTGGCCCCTTCGGCTCCTGTCTTGGGACCCTTACCATAGGATTCGTCGCTGTCGGAGGACTTAATGCTGATCAGGATGTGCTGGTCCAGCAGGTACTCGGGGTCAGAGATAATGGGCTTCAGCTGAGAGAGAAAAGGGCACAGGGTAAGGGATGAGGGGGGACAGGTTGGGGAGGGTCCCCAGCCCAGATGAGGGGGATGCTTGAGAAAATAGGACTATAGATGTTCTTATTAACCAAATTTGAATCTCTGCTTTTTGTGCAAGAGAGCAAGAAAGAAAACCCCTATGCACACCTATCCAGCAAGGCAGGGTTATCTGCCTTTCCTGCCCCCCATCACACTGCTTCCCCAGGTCCCAGGGAGAGGGCCTGACCCCAATATGCCCCACCTCCAGTGCCTCCCACCCCCTCCTTTGCACACCCCAGGACCATGGGGAGTGGGGTCTCAAGCCAGGTCTGAATGCACCCCACTCCCCACACCAATGCTCCCTGTGTAGGCCACCCTGGAGGTGGCATCACAAGACCTGCCCTTCATCCGGGAAGGAGGAGGCCTCTGTGTCCACCGACAGCAGAGCAGTCCCCAGGGTGGGTCTGGAGAATCCTGCAGGTTGTGGGAGGGTGGCACAGCTGACAGTTATAGATCCTGAATGCCAGCCCTGTCCCCAGCCTCCTGCTGGCTCCCAGCTGCCCTGCTGGTCTGGTTCAGGGAATGATCACATCAAGCTTTACACACGGGGAGCTTCATGTGTGCACCAGCACCCACGTGCTGGCTAGTTTGTGACTTTGGCAACTGGAGCCTGTTCCTCACACTGACACCAACCAGAGGGGCCTAATAAAGTGGCCACATGCTGCAACAGGTTGTCCCTTTTCTTCTCATCCAGATGCCCAGAGACCCCCTGTGCAGGCCTTTGGAAGCCATGTGGATGAACAGGATGGGCTCTATCTCCATTCAGAAAGCTCCAGAATAAATAACTGGAAGTCACCATGGATGCTCTGGGGCATTCTGGGGCTCCAGAGCCCCACCAGCCCCTTGGCTCACTGACTCATGGCGGCTGGCCTGAAGTTAGGCCGGGGCGGGTGCTGCGGATGTATCCTGCCCTACGAACAAAGAATGTTTTTGAGGGACACAATCACAATGGTGGGGGGTGGGGGGCAGGGAGCCTCTGCCAGGTGCTCAGTGTATGTTAGAGGGTGCAGAGAGGAGGCTGCCAGGTTAGGGGCAGCAGGGAGTGAGAGCCCTGAGGGGCTGTGGGGCAGCAGACGAGGCAGAGGTGGGTGGGGGCCGGGAGCCACACTAATGAGCTTGGGCTCATCCCATAGGACACCAGGGAGTCGACAAGATGGGCATTCCAGAAAGATCTATCAGGCTTCAGGACGCCTCTGCAAGAAAGAAGGGATGGAGCACCTTGGGAAGTTGCAGAGGGGTGGAGAGGAGGGGCCAGAGGCAGGAGGAGTAGCAGGTCTTGGCAGCGTTAGGATGTGGGAATAGGGGTGCCCTAGAAGTCCTGAACTGGGCCAGAGGTGTGCATGCTTTGGCAACTGGGATGCTGGCATCTTTCCCGACTTGCCCAAGGTAGGAACTGAGCTACTTGGGTACTGAGTGTGAGCAGCAGGTGAGGAGCGGGCGGCGGGAGGGGACAGGTACGACGGTGCCTCCTTGAAGCCCAGAGGCAGGGTTCGGGTGTCTGAAAACAGCCCCAGGATGGGGACTTCTGATTGCAATGGCCTGGGCTTGTGGAGGACCCCACTCAGAAGTGTCCCTGAATTGGGAGACCCTGGGATTCAGGCATCTGCCTCTGCGCCTGAGATGTGGATGGCCCGAGAGCTGGTTCTAATCAACAATTAGTCCAGGGTGCACAGCCCAGCTCCCTGAAACTACATCCTACCCCAGCTTGTGGGGGGATGGCTCCCTCCTTTGTTTAAAGCCATCATTTAAAAAACTCACTTTGGGTGTCACTTCCACAGGAAACTTCCAGGAGAGCTCCTAAGATGCCCGACCTGTGCAGTACATCTGCCCAGCCCCAGACTCCCCCTCTGCAAACCCCTCCCTGGGTGTGTGACAAAGAAACAGGGCCCTGCGCCACTGTGGACCCAGCATGAGCCTGTCAATTTAACATCACAAAAGCAGTTTTGGGTCCCAGATAGAAAGTCACTTTTTCTGCAGTAAAAATAACTGTTTCCAAAGTTTGCCTACATGTTTTCCATTTTACCCCCTACTTGCGTGGGGCCATGGACACGTCGGGTTCTTTCTGCTTTTAGTGTTCAGGTGGGAGCCAGGGACTCCTCTCTGCTCCTTCCATTGACCCTCCGAACCAGGGCTGGACAGGGGAAGGTGCACTGCAGGGGAAGCACGGCTTTGGGGCACAGGTCCTGGGGCCCTCACTGCAACCAGGTGGCTGTGAACGAACCTCTCTGGGATCTGCCTCAGTTTCCTTCTTTGTAAAGACACAAGGTCGGATAAGGCAATCGCTAGATCACTTCCATAATCCACTAGGGGAACTGAAATCCATTTAGGAATATTGGGGCCACGAGGCATGGGCTCATGTTTAACCACTGCTGCCAAGTGTGCCTTAAAGCACCTTGAAAGAGAGCTGGTCCCGAGGGTCAGCAGGTCAGAGACGGCCTCTCTTGCATTCATCCCACAGGTTCCCCATTTGTCTAACCAGACCCGGTTGGAGCTCTGCCACCCGCTGGTGAGTGCGAAGTTCTCCCTGGAGACATCCTGTTCTTGAATTACCTTTGGAAGTGTCTCGCTGAACTTCACCACCAACTCCCCTTCCTTTCCTTCTTCATTTTCTCCTTCCTGACTCTTGACGAAACCTGCCAGGGGACCAGAAGGCTGGTTTGCAGAAAACAGAACAAGAACCAGACAGCAAAGCCCCCTGGGGTCATGAAGAGCCTCCCCCTCTCCTCTCACAGGGGCCGCAGCACCATTCAACGAGCCAGGCTTCTTGGGGATTCTGTTTTGGTGCAGGGGATGGTCATTTGCCAACACAGTGTAATTATTTTTAGGAAAACCAAAGAGATTCCCCTCCTTTTTTGGCTCCCCTTTGCAGCAAACCAGGAGAGGAAAAAATCATCAATCATAGGCAAGATTAGGAAACATGACAGCTCGTCCCACACCACTCTAGATAGCAGCCTTTTGAAATGCTAATTTAAGCTGTCTAATATGCTGTTTCCATAGAAATGTATGTAAATGTCTCTACAGTTTATTAAAATCACCCCCACACAAATCCTCATCATTTCTGGAAGTGTTCTGCCCCTACTCGGTGACCTAGGACCTGGAGACTTCGTGGACAAGTCAGGTCGGTCACCAGGAGCGGGCCCGGCTGAGCGGAGGAGGGGAGGGGCTGAGATGGCATGGCAGCTGGTGGCACACCTCTCCCTGACTTCCAGAGGCAGCGGCCATCCCGTCCCCAAATGCCTCCTCTTGAGGAGCTGATTCTGTCCCCCACTGCCCCGCTATCCAGACCATCCCAGCAAAGAGCTAGAAACCACACGGGCCTTCCTGCCTCGCAACAGCTTCAGACAATGTGACGAGGAAGGCCGCCCAGAAAAGGTGTATCCCATCCACAGTCTGCAGTGGCTGCTGCCGGCCAGGGAGGCCGTCCACCTCTAGCCTGCTCTCAGATGCGCCAGACTGCTCAGAAAGATGCTCGTGATGCAGGAAGAGCAGGGGACCGCGGGTAGGAACGGGAGGCTACCAGCAGCTACTCAGGCTCCAGTGCTGCCTCCATGAGCTCTGGACCTTTGCCCAGGAACCCCTGGTTGAATCAGAGCCCTGGCTTAGGGGGACCCTCAGGTGGGCTCCACTCTGCTCTGGCATGGACAGAATCCAGCTGCCTAGCCACCTACAAGGGGCTGAGGGGTCAGGGCCTCAGTGACTGCCTGTCCCTGGGGCTGGAGCAGCAGCATTGCAGGCTACTGGGGGACCTCCACAGTACCTCAGTGCTCCCCCTGAACCTCTACCTGAAGCCCCACTTCTCTGAACCCCTTTGAGGCCCACCCGGGAGTCCTTCCCAGAGACAGATGGGGCAAAGCACATTCAATGAAAAGCCAGTGAGGACGTAGTGCCTGCCCGGCCGAGGCCAGCTCGCGCCACTCACTCTCCAAGCAGCTCGAGTGGAACTCCAGGTAGAACTTGGTCTGGGACTTGGTCTTCAGCGTGGCGAAGCATCTCAGAAACTCGATCTGCCCCTGGCTGTCGACAGTCCCGGGGCCTGGAAGGGGGAAGAAGAGCGGCTCAGTTCCACGGCATTCCTTGAGAAGGGAGCATTTCAAATCAGCCCCCAACACCAAGCTCTTTCTTAGGGTCCAGGGAAGGTGAAGTCCCAGAGGAAGGAGAGGTTTTCCCTGAAACCTCACCACCCACACTGAGCATCCCCAAAATGGCAACTGCCTCTGATGGACCCAAGACGGCAGAGGGCAGGGCAGGAAGGGGGAAGGGCTCAAGGGTCAAGAGCCCCACTCTCAGTTTAGCCTCTGAAGCTGCGTGGCCCCCGGCAACACCCTTAACCTCACTGCCTCCGTTTCCCGATTAGTTCTGGCAAAGAGAACTTGGTTATGGTTCAGTGGCTAGATGCCCAAATCTGTCCCACTTCCAAGTTCAGGCAATAAGGGATGCCTGCTCTCCCTTCCTCGGGCAGAGACACTGCCCCTGCTTACTCTGAGCAGCTTGAGCTCATCGCTACTCAGCTAACTTGCGCGTCAGGGTTTTACTCAGATGACGCTTTTGCAAGGAGATGATGCTTTTGACTTCGGCTGGCTTTGAACAAGTGTTCTGTTTCTATATAACTTCTGAGCCACCTGAGAACAAGGACAGATGTTCCCTGCCTCCACCCCTCCCATCCTTCCTTTCCTCCTGTCTTTTTCTACCCCCACCCCCAGCTTTATTGAGGAATAATTGACAAATATAATTGTGCATATTTAAAGTATACAGCATGATGATTTGA